TTGAGTAGTAATATCATATCATCAGCGCTCACTTGCTTACACCATACAGACACAGCCTTACGGCATATACATAATATAAACCCGCCACGCTACGACTTGCATTGCATGCAGATAAGCTACTTTTTTACTACTACTGTAACGTCTCATTCAAAGAAACGACTAAGCAAGGGGGGCGTGTACAGCAAAAGTATGAACTAGGCTGGCAGTAGAGTAAAAAAGAAACCCAACTAGGGGGCCGCAGAAAAGCGAACCAACTAACGTTAACTTGAACTACCTAACCTACCGTACCAAGGCTCTCGCTCAGCGTAGTAACAACAAGGCGAGAGACGTATTGCCTTGATACGTGTGTGTGTGACTGACGCCGTTGCTGATGAACAAGGGGGTGACCTTGCGGCGCTAGGAGAATTTAGCCGCTCCTCTAACTATCAACTTCGCCTCCTACAAACAAGTTAGTTAAAAGCAGGGAAATGGTAACACAAGACATTTGCCGCTTGTTGGTTGCCCCCAATCATTTTAGTACCTTGACTAGGCGATGGCAGAAGACGTTAAGAACTAAGCTTAGGATACGGAAAATAAACATGTAGCCTAAGAGCGGGTCGAAGATGGCCTAAAGTGATTAAACTATTTTATCTCTTAGGCAAACACTGTCAAGTTTTCTGCAACTCTGAGATATAAATCTCACACTTATCTATATAATGCTGGAACTGTTCTTCACTTAGTGCTGTCTAACAATTAATGTATTTGCTGTCTTGAGTAGTACCTTTGGGTCCGACTTAGGTCCAACGGGCATGGCTTTTCTGAACCATGGTATCGGGCTTGGTAGAGTACGTAACTCTCTAGTCTAAGAAGGGTGTCAAATACCACAAAGGTGAGAGTAGAAATTGAGGTAATACCAAGACAAGACTTTCCGGCGGGTTGTCTCTGTGTTTGGTGTGTGACGAAGTAGATTGGGGTGTTGTACTACAGACAAGGTTGAGGGCCCGGAACACTCAATTGATTGATAGGCAGATACGAGTTGCGTACGCGACTCTTTGTATTCTTCCAAATCTAACAAGGCTCTCAATACGTGGCTTGTGATTGGGAATTCATGACCAATGTGCGTTTCAGAACATGTTAAGCGAAACGTTATGAGAAAACCACTACGTAGTCGATCACTGTACATCTGTATAATCAGGTTAACCAGATGATGAATGTATATCATCTGGTCACAATTCTACAACAAATACATGTACGTCCCTGAAAGAGAGTTGTTCAGTAGTTCCAAAGTTGTACCTACAAGAACAGGCCAGGAACAAACCCAGGCGAACCTAGCGAACGCACAACCACGGCACGGTTAACCCGATCCAACCATACACCCAGAGGGACTGTGCTCAAGCTTTTTAGAAACTGGCGCTGCACACAAACATGAACAAAGGATCTCTGCGCTTATCTTAGTTTGCTCCTAGAGGAACGAGATCCATGAAAATACACTGTTTGGCCACAGTGTTGATCCTTGCAGATATCCAGTTGCGGTCACGGCGTAGCAGTGTTGTAGGGACAACAACGACGAGTTGACGTGGTAGGTTCCAGACGTCCAGGGGGGCTTACTTTACACTCTCGGCGAAAATAATGGCTTCTGATAGCTTTGGTATACATCACATACTTCACAATTATGTACTCCAGGAACCAGAGGCTAGGCTCCGAGACTCTCGCAGCTATAACAGAACTCAGCATACGGATGAGAGCTCATTCATGTACACAGGTATTTTGCAATGAGAAACAGTCACTAGGGCTCGCATCTATCGGTTGAAGTAAATTATATGCAGATCTGTTGTCTGAGCGTGTTTGGCCGTTACATAACTGACGTCCGAAGACCCGATCGAGATATGCAATTCCGAACGGGCCATATGCAGCTAAAAGTCCAACTGTTCCTCTGCATCGAGGAGAACATAATCTACAGGTGCTACCGATTAGAGGCCGAAACATGTTCAGGAGCTGCCGGAACTTTGTAGAATCCATGACTCCAAGACTTGAGGGAGTGTACACGTTGTCTGCATTATATACGAGACAGAGTTGTTCTCAACAATACTGACGAATTTGAGAATCAGCTGAGAACTGTATAAAGCTAATTCAAAACAGTGGCTCTTGTAGAGATATCTGATCATCTCTCTAACTCACATTAAAGTTACTTGAAGTCACTTTGTTTACGAGTATCGTGAAATGTCGACACATACGAACTAACATTCATTCACTTGTCCGGTTTGGCGCGAGATTTGAACCTGATACGTACCACCATCGTGATTTATTCGTGAGAACTGTTTCCTTGATCCTTTTGTCTCAGAACGTTATTTGACGCTTTTCTCTGTTCTTTGCTGATGACGTGTGGTGGTGCTGCAAGCGCGTAGAGCGCCTAAAGGAAAGAAAGAGAGAAAAAAGGAAAGAAACCAGACGGGTCAAAATAAATTACTATCAAACTGCACGAAGTGCAAGTTAACGCATAGAAATTAGAACGATTCTCTTAATCCCCATCCTTGAATGCGTTTTGGTGCTACTCACTCTCATACTTTTGTGCTGCCTGACTTTTTTTTGCTACCCCACCATACATCCAACCAGTTGTAGTGTACGGCATCAATCTCAACAAGACATCCCACTCATATTTACATCTCAAACCAACACCATCGACCTTGACGGATACTCAAAACTACTTCAGGCAAACTCGGCGCATCTTACCACTTTAGACTTTGACTGTATCACTGAAGCATCATCCATTCTTGCGTCGTCATATCAAGATGGAGCGGGATCTCACGGCTCTCCCATGTCGTCCCAAGGGCTTGACAAAATCAACCTCGGGCGCGTCTTTCAGCAATGGCTCTGCAATGTCAGTACCAGTTCTAGGGTCTCATCCCCTAGGAACTCTTCACGTTCATCAAGCCAACGAGGCACCTCATCAAGAAGAAGAAGATGATGATGACGGTCCCCCACCTCTTGATCCTCCCTCGACACAGAACGAGACTACTTCTTTATACAAAACTTCACAGCATAACTCTTCGAAATCCTTCCACAGTCCGACCTGGGAACCTTTAGAGCACCACCTAGGAGGCGGCGACGTGGTTCTTATTCTTGACCTGCCCGAGGTCTTCACAGTTGGATATGACTCCATATCATTTACAGCCAAGCACTTTGGCGGCGTCAGAGATATACCCCCGGGAGCTCACTTCTTCTGGGTCGCCCATCCTGGAGGCATGTCCACACGCTGTGGCTTCTGGGTTGTCGCAAACAAAACAAATGCTGTCCATGTTATGCAATGGGACCGCTTCAACGAGGTTCTTGGCGACTCTGCTCGTGCTGAGGCACGCATCCAGTCCGACAACCTCGAGGCCATCCACTCTAAGCTGGTCCCTTACCAAGACCCGACTGCGGTAAACGCTGCCCGTGGAGATCTGACACAAGCTGCTTCGCAAAAGAACTTCAACATGTGGGAGCAGCTCACTGGTAAGGTCAACGAGAATCTCCTCAACCGAGTGACTGGCCAGAATTACGACAACTGGACGCTTCACACAGGCGATCGTGTCAAGGGATCAGTACTCATGGCAGCTGAGATGGAGCTCGACAACGCGCTCTTAAATCCCATGCTCATGGCTCGTGAGCTCAACTTTGCTTTCAGCCAGCGGACAAAGACATACTCGACAGACAACACTGGTGCTGATCGAACCCTTGAGGCTACGGACGCAACTCCTTACATCCTATCGCTGATCGATGCGTCTCATAATGTTCTCGCTTCTGACGACGTTGTTGGAGAATTTCAGTTCACGTTCGTCGTGGGTGTGCATCTTGGCAATGATTCGTGTATTCAGCAGTGGTGGCATATGCTGCTCAAGATATTCCTCCGCGCCTATCTTCTTCCTGCACGCCGGCCATCTCTCGTTTCTGCTTTCATTCACACCTTGACAGCACAATTGGCGTACAGTGCCTCTTGGCTTGAGGGTTCAATCTTGGACTCTACCGAGTCACAGACACGGGACCTGCGACTTGCACTTACCGTCTACAAGCGCCGTCTCGAGGAACTCATGCAAGGTCTGGGTAACCAAGCCACACCCGACCACCTCAGCGTTGCCACAGCCTTTGCGGGTCTCGAGGCCGTTGCAACAAACATGCTCGATTGGGATCTACGGGGAGACTACTTACGTCGTGGTAATGTCATGATGGAGGATGGCGAAGAAATAGAGCTGGAAGATGCGGACATGGCAGCTGAGGACGAACGTGGTGAGTGGGCGCCAGAGATTGTTGATCTAGACGAGTCTGGACGACAGCGTGATCTTGTCTCGTGGAATGACTAGGAATGTCTAGCTGCAAGAACGGTTCATGCTTCGAGACGCTGGGGACGAATAGCAGGCAGAGCAACTATCAATTGGTTCAGACAAGCACGGAGGCATGGTCAGAGCATGATTGGGTATGTTCAGGGGTTAATAGTGTTGCAGAAATGCGTTGCTTAATGGGTGAATACGGTGTAGTTGTGTCCAAGATTTCGAGTTGAGCTTGGAGTTGGGGTTTACTTGGGTAGTTTTATGGATGAATGGCTATAACTTAATACTTCTCACCACCTTTTACCCTGATTGTATCACATCAGTTCTTTGAATGCATGATGCTTTAAACCGGCCTGTTTCCCATATGCGAGCGATCTAAACAGATTGGCCCAATTCTCATAATATGCAGTCGCTAATATCACAGGCAAGACAATGCAAAGTGTTTGTTTCGGAGCAAGTCCAGCGGGAGGACAGTTCATTGACATCACAACCATTACAGCGTGAGCCGCATAGTTAACTTGAAAGATTTCATTTGCCTGCCAGATCCTGTACAATCCGCCAAAAGCAAGGCCATGCAAATGTCAATAGGTAACCCATTCCCAAACCAGGGAAATTGTGACTCCGGTTCCTTTTTCGCACTGCCCGTTGTATCCTCCACTGCAACATCGCTCCGACTCGACGCTTTTGTGCCCCATCCCGACAAACATCTTGAACCGTTTAACGGTAAGACTTCTGGAAGCGGGCACGGGCACCGGGACCACCGAACTTCTTGGGCTCGCAGCGGCGGTTGTCGGCAACGAGAAGGGTTCGGTCGAACTGGACGAGAGCCTGCTTCAGGAGGTTCTTGGAGTGCTCATCGACGAACTTCTGGTAGTAGGCAACCAGGGACTTGGCGATAGCTTGTCGGATAGCGTAAACCTGGGAGACCTGAGAAAAATTAATCGAGGCACCTTAAAACGAACGAAAGTAACCCACATGACCTCCTCCCGTGACCCTCACTCTGATGTCAATGTTGGCGAACTTGTCGAGGCCAACAACGAGGAGAGGCTCGTAGACCTATGATGTGTCAGTACGATATTGTGTATTTAAGTCAAGAGAGGAGAGCTTCAGAATCTTACCTTGAAGCGGAGGATCTCAGGCTGGACGAGCTGGAGGGGACGTCCGTTGACCTTGATGAGACCCTTACCGGCCTTTACGTTTAATTTATGTTAGTCTCATGTGTTTAACTGCCATTATCGTATCGATGCAGGATTGCGAACCTTGCAGTGGGCGACAGCAGTAGCCGTCTTCTTCTTACCGAAGCACTGAACGGAGTTGGTGGCGCTCATGATTGCGGTTGTCGTGATGCCGGAGGGGAATGAGCGATCGGCCGTGTCGAGGGTGGTGATGGTGTTGAGAGTTGAGATTTTGCGACCTTCGGAATAGGGCTCTCTCTTGTGGCTGTGGGGCAACTTTTTTCGCTGGTGTTGAGCCAGAGGGAATGAGCGACCACGTGACTTTTGATGAGTCATCACACTTTAGTTAGGGCATGGCCCACAGGAAAGTGCGACCGGAGTTTGGTGGACTTTGTTCTGCTCCACGAAAAAAAAATCGTCAAATCTTCATACTAACCCGACGAACCGCAGCCCACCGTCAAGGTCAGCACAACCTCACCTATTATCAACAATCGACCAGGAATACTGACATTGTTGATTCAAGATGGTTTCCGCCAAGAAGCACGTCCCTATCGTCAAGAAGCGTATGTCTGCCGAATCCGAGATCGAGAGCCGATTTATACTATGGAAAATGGGAATTTCGATATTGACTGTTGTTCATAGGCACCAAGCGCTTCGAACGACACCAGTCGGATCGTTTCATGAGAGTAGACCCCTCATGGCGTAAGCCCAAGGGTATTGACAGCCGAGTCCGCCGTCGATTCCGTGGCACCATTGCCATGCCCTCTGTACGTTAAGACTTCGCGAGGCCAGACCAGAATCACCAACTTTCTGGAGGCCAGGATAGCTGGGAATTTTGTGCTGACACGCCATGACTTCAGATCGGTTACGGATCCAACCAGAAGACCCGTTACATGGCCCCCTCCGGCTTCAAGGCCTTCCTCGTCAGCAACAAATCAGATGTTGAACTCCTCCTTATGCATAACAGGACCCATGCTGCCGAGTACGCCTTCCCTGTTCATCTAATCGACGAATTTCTGCTAACAAGACACTCCAGGATCGCCCACAACGTCTCTTCCCGAAAGCGAGTTGAGATCATCGCTCGTGCCAAGCAACTGGGAGTCAAGGTCACCAACCCCAAGGCCAAGGTTACCACCGAGGTTTAAAAGGAAATGGATCGGTTTTTGGGCTGCTTTACGGTTATGCATCGGAAGGGGGATTGCGTTACTTGCGGTTCTGGCACATAAATCATGCATGCTAGAGAATAAAAAACGCGCCGTTGAACGACAAGGACACTGGCATCAACCGCTTAAACAGCAAATCTCTCGGAGTCTAGAGGGGCATGAGAAATGCATCGCCTCTACTCCAAACCGATGAGGGCGCTAAGGAGGGGTTACGTGAAAAGCCTTGTGTATTATGTACGAGGCTATGAAAAATAAACAAAACCCCTTTGAGGGCCCCATCTGAATGATGTGCTACAACTTGAAGTATGGACAACGTTGAGACCAGTTGTAAATACCAGTCACCGTCTCAATATCTGGCTGCGACCCATAAATCCGTATCAGTACATATGTTTGTCACTTGTCATTTGGTGATAAACTAACGTATTGCAATCATATTTTGCAAAGAACTGATCAGTGAGATTACTTGCTCGATTGCTCCGGGAATAATAAATGTTTGCTTTACTAATGCGGGTCTGCTGTTGCATATCACTGCTTGTCAAAATGTTTGTATTAAAGACGGCAACCTGAATTATCTACCTCATGTAGGCCATGTTGAATTTCAACAGCTTTAACACGCAGGGATGGACAACTCAACAGGTTCTTCTACCAAAGCTAATTATAGAAGGGGCTTCATTTGTTCATTTGATGCTACCAACTGCATTAGTAGGTAGGTAGCTTAACATACGTAGGTAGGCAGGCAGCTACCATTGCCAATACCACCTGCCTTACACCTGCGTGCACTTACAAATGACCGTGACAGAATGTCCAACTTCTTTGACACCAGCTTTCTTGCACCGCGTTGCTTAATATCGGTGCTTTCCATCATGAAGTACCTAGCTTAGTACACTGCATCCCTTACCATCAATTTTTGACCGCGGCTCATGACTTGCCATCACCCCAAAACCGCTCTGCCCTCCTACTGATCATTCCGTTCGTATTTGAGCACTGGAGCATATTTTACGATTCAATCTTTCAGGTTTGTGATGGCGTTTCCACCACGACTTGTGCGATCGCGGACAACAGTCTTCAAGCCACAATGCACACATCTGACTATGGCACGGGTTTATGAACTAGATGCAAAGTGCTTCTCATGCAAGGAACCCGGTCAGTTTGGTTGGCTATATCAGTGCACCCAGGATTGTGACAAGATAATCCAGGAGAAGCTAGTAAGACAGCATAACTCAACACTCATCCCAAGGCTAATTTGATAACAGTCATGTATGGACTTTTTGGACTATGTCTTTCGAAAGAGTATGAGCATACGAAAAGGCAGCCCAGAAGCTCGAAAGGACAAACTTAGCTTTCTTGATGAACTCACTCCTGAGCAGATGGCCTGTTACCGACCAGACCAGATTGCGACCATCTTGAGACAACGTGAGAAAGTATGCTTCTTCCCAATCCTACAGACCTGGCACAGGCTAATCCTATGCCACAGTTGAAGAGTGCCATCGCAGAGGAGGAACTTAAGAGAAGAAGTTTGGCTCTACTTGACAACACGCCTCCACTCCACGGCTTAGGAGCATTTATGGATGAGAATACTGGAGAATGGGCATACGGCGAGAATAAGAGTTGTCAGTACAGAGTTTGTCCAAGGTGTCGTCCCGTGTGCGTCGACCGGTCATTTTTGAGCCTTGATGCAGTTGCCGACGGAGAAATCCCCCCAACCGCCGCCGCAGGTTTTGGATTCGAAGCATTGGGAGGGAGACCAGTCATTGATAAAGATGTCATCAAGTCTATCAACGAGCATCGCACGAAGGTAAGCACTTGTATGTCATCACATTGGCAGTTGAGCTGACTCGCCCAACCACAGGCAAATAACCGCCAAATGATGGAGCTGCTCGAAGAACAAATCGCCCGTATGCTAGGCCGCCATCACAAAAACCCAGATCTTAGAAACGTGCTTAGAAAGACAGCATTTGCGCCCAAACCACGAAGGTTGCCCATCGTGAAAAAAGTTGCAGCCACTGGTCAGTATCCACATGAAAAAGAACCAGCCCCGACCAACATTACCCAATATGACAACCAAGTATTCGCATCTTCACATACACCCGACTTGCTAGAAAATCCCTGGCCATGGTTGAACACGTTTGGGAACGGGTACATGACTGAAGCTTCTCGAGATCAAGTACAGGAGCAATCACAACGGCAAGGGCTGCAAGTCACGCGTATCCCCCGGTAGGTTGTATCGTTTGACTTTACAGACATCTCTTATTGATTGTTACGATGCAGTCCTACCACTCCTTCACGATCTACAAGACGTCGGTTGGCAGATCAACTCATGTTCAGCACTTCACACTCTCCACCCGACGAAGGCTATCCCTGGCGACTTCTTCCGAATCACGGGAATGTCGAGGCGAGAGATCCTTGTCTTCGCAGACGCTCAAAGACCATTGACTCGCGGGGGAGCAGTGTTGGACACAACTTGGCAGAGTGCTCGGCTATGGCAGACAACGGCGTGGCCATGACAGAGGAGAGTATTGAAGTTGGACTCCCCGACGTGGTGACTCAAGTATAACTTTGTATAAGAGTTGGCGTCGGGAACTTGAGAGTGGCTTTGTTGGAGCCCACTTGTGGAAAGGAGCTGTCGAATTTGTTACCCATTGGCTGAGTCATTGTCTAGGTAGAGTCTTGGAGACACATACATATTTAGTTTACTAGAACATCACTTAAGCAAGAGGCTTCTAATACACTACGTATATTGTTTGCTCTGCATACTAATTATCCTTAGAGTTCTCCAGAATCTTCTTCATCATTTGGTTGCCCACCACCTTGGCCTCCTCAAATCGTGGTTGGAAAAATTCCTGGGTGCTCACAAACCGCTTCTCCCATGTCTCAAAGTGACCCAGATTGACACATTCAGCCCAAGCCCGTGCTGCAAAAGTAAACTCAAGATCGTCACTACGATATGTCTTGTCATCAATTGCAGTCTCAATCGCGGCATCCAGCACATCCCCGTTTCGGAATAGATACTCAGTTACACCAAGACGCAAGCGGAACAGAGGGGTGCTGCAGAGCATGTGATCGTACGGCACGATGTTGAGTGCAGCCCAACAGTCGACCATGGCGAGGATGGAGAGGTGGTTGTTGGGTCGAGGCTCATCGGTTGGTGTACCAAGAGAGAAGGACGAGAGGATTGAGGGCTCAAGTAGAGGGCGTGTCTCCCAAGATGTTGACGGACCAAACACCTTGTCGCGTGCACGATAGACTCGCTCCCTGAAACCCTCACGGTTGCCTTCGAGCATGAGCTTGTACAGGTCTGTGACACTTCGTGCATACTGCGAGATCTGCTCTCTAGCTTCGGGGTTCAGGATGGCGAGGCCTGCGTACACATGCCACTTCTGGCTGTAGATGCGTAGCATCAGATTGACCTTGACGTTCTCAATACCACCAACATAGCGACTCAGCTCCCAGGGAAATTGCTTGTTGGCGTGCCACGCCTTGCCCATGGACAAGAAAGCGGCATGAGTGACGGCCTGTGTGTCTGCGGTGATACGGTCATGCTCACGGGCTGTGAGATGGACGAACTTGGACTTGAGGCAGCTCAGGACAGTCTCGACCTTGCGGAGGGCCGAGTCTGGGGCGCGATGCTGGATGAGAACAAGAGGTTGGTTGTAAGGGTCGACGTTGGGACCGTGTAGCGAGTGGCAGGAGATAATGTCGACGTCGGAAGGAAGATGAGTCTCGAAAGCGTCGATCTCGGGGGACTTGCATGAGGTTTGGCCTCCGACGATGGCACCAAGCTTGGTCGCTAAATCAGAACAAGATTAGTTTCTGGTGTTTAGTCTAAGGCCTTTCAGGCTACAAATCACATTACGCGGGACAAAGGGTGCATACATGGTCCGTACTGAGCAATTACACGGTCAATGACGGCGGCTTCCACGCTGTAGATAATGTAGTCGCTTGCGCGGGATACGAAGTGGCCATTTCGACAAATTTCTATATTTTTCTATTGAAAAGCTTCAGCGACTTACGCGAGGCAGAGAAAGACAGGAATCAGTAAGCCATACATTTCCAGCATATTCTTTCTGAAGGCTTTCCTGGTTCTCTTCTCGGTCGCAGGCCAAGATTCTATAATAGTCCGCCGTTAGCCACTCGGCATGCGGTACGGGGTTTGCAGTCACCGAGTAGGATGAGGTATAAGATCTGTTCTTGTATATGTTAGCTTTTGTGTCAAGACATGCGAGGCTAACAAAAGTGTGGTAGAGGTGAAAATTCAGACAGTTGTATGTTAAGGTAGCAAGCGTTTACATCAGTGAGAGCACAGATCCGGATCCGATGGCCATAACGGACACCGGGCGTCTCTGCACAGTACTCGAGCCAAATGCGCTCTAGTCATCATGAAAGAGGGGAAGGGGTATGAAGTTTGAGGAAGATTTTGCTCACCATTGAAGAAAAGATGCTGGGGCTGGAAGCACGAATCGCAAAGGATCCTAAACTTACCTCCAGCCAGCGGCAGATAGCCTTTCGGCATACATCTTGCCCATGTCGCCCATGCCAATCAATCCGACGACGAAATTCTCCATCCCGTCAGGGACGGTTCGAGTTTGTGAAGCCATATTATCTGCTGCGCGAAGATAGCAAGAACAGAAAACAAGAATCACATACTCTCTCTCAAGCGAACGTCTTTCGGTTGGAGCTTTATGCGAAAAGCTCAAAAGAGTGTGTGGTTGAGAGTAGAGAAAAAGATCAGAAGAAAAAAAAGTTCGCGGTCTTCTTTATGGTGGAGATTTGAGATGACTTACGTAAGCCAATAGACACCGCGATATAGCGATTGGTGGGTCTATGAAGCTATCCACTGCAAGCAGAAGCACACAGAACCTCGAGACTGAAGAGCAGAGGAGCTTTAGCCTACACGGACTTCTTGTTCATAATTTCGTTTCTCGGAAAAGATGGGGGTCGTATTTGCTTTGGGTTCGAACGGCTCCGGTCAGCTCGGCATTGGCCACAAAGAGGACGTCTCCGTGCCGAAGCAGGTCCTTTTCCATCCTGATCCGCCAACCTCCCCAATTGTTCAAGTTACAGCTGGTGGTAATCATACTCTACTGCTTACGAAAACTGGTCAACTATACCGGAGTGGCGATTCTACACCCGGAGCTTGTGGACTGACATCTGGTCCTGATGTTGCCGTTTTCCGAGAACTTCAGCTTACCAAGAATGGAGAGCCTTCAGTTGGCGAGGTTGCCTTGATCACAGCGACTTGGGAAGCTTCGATTATTGTGGCTAAGGATTCAGAGGGCAAGAGATCGAAGGTTTTTAGTTTCGGCGCTGGTTTGAAAGGCGAGCTAGGTCTGGGCGAACTCATTGTCCGGACGCCATCAGCAACACGAATTCGAGAATTTCCTCCCCCAGGCACAGAAGTCGTCGACTTGGCTGCTTGCATGGGACATGTTGTCGCAGTTCTTGATAATGGAGATGCCTATGGCTGGGGTAACGCAAGGAAATCGCAAGCTGGTGAGCCAGGCCAAGTCCTTCACGCTCCCCGAAAGATCGAAGGTCTCGACTTCAAGGCTACGCGGGCTGTTTGTGGTAGAGAGTTCACCTGTCTATTTGGCGACCCACAAAGTGGAAACCTCATGGTTCTAGGATCAGACAAATGGAAAATTCAATCAGAAGCACCCGAGACCTGTCCCGAGTGGAAAGATGTAGGAGCTAGCTGGGGAAATGTTTTCATTCTGGCAAAGAATGGTTCTCTGCAAGCTTGGGGACGAGACGATCACGGGCAACTACCTCCCCCGAATCTTCCAGAGTTGAGCAAAATCGCAATTGGCAGCGAACATGTCGTTGCTCTTTCTACTACAGGCGATGTCCTGTCATGGGGTTGGGGTGAACACGGCAATTGTGGACCTCAAGTTGAGAACAACGACGTCAAAGGTCGATGGAATGTCATTGCTTCGTCCAAATTTATTCCCCCTGGTTCTAAGATAGGAGAGGTTGGAGCTGGTTGTGCCACCAGTTGGGTATTCATCACAGCAGAGTGAGCCTGTTCACTTCAAATTGACGCCTTCCACCTCCCAAATTCCCGTCTTGCACGATCAGTCTGGGAAAAGAGCTAAATTCTCGACATCAGCCAGTTGCTGAGTCGGTTCGAGATATGTTGATTCAGCATCTGTAGGCTGTGGGTGTGGCTGCTCAGCTTCAGCTCCAGGACCAGCAGGTGCAGGGTTCTCAAAAAAGCGGCTCATGTCCATTGCAGAAGCATTCTGTTCAAGTTAGTATATAGTGAAGCGGGAGAAACACCCAGACTTACAGGGTTGATGCTATGATCCCATCCTAGCTTGGAATTGTCTTCCATGAGCTCTTCATCATCGTAATTGATCGGCTCCCAACCTTCATCTTCCACAAACAAACTCTCTGATTGGTTGGTAGCGGGTGGCGCTGGTCTTTGAGACGGACGAAGGTCAAAAACTCCCACACGTGAAGCACTGGCTCTAGCAGCACTCATTTGTGGTGTCGGGTTGTGCTGAGGTAGGGATGGAGGAGGGGCTGGTGGTTGAGGCTGTTGTGATTCGGGGGGCGGGATGCTGTGCCTACGTGTAGTGGCTTCGAGTCGTGGCCCAGTGCTTTGGGGTGCATTCTTGCGGCCTTTCTTGGTCCTTTGCCCAGTGTTGGTTCCACGCTCACCAACTGTCATAACAAGAAACTCGCATGATATGGCATCGCCAGTATATGAGAGCTGGATAGGCTGCGTAGGAACTGAGTAGCGAGCCGAGACTTCGTTTCCTGTAATCCCGGCGTGCTGGATAATGGCGCGGAAGTCTTTGACAGAAATCACAATATGGAGCTTGTCTTCGACATCGATATCGTCAAACTCCTCCGCCTCAACGGCGATTGATGTTTGTAGTGGCTTTTTGAGGACCGCTAAAAGGTGTCAGTAAATCAGCATTCGACTGGCTAGGGGTACGCACCATCCTCGCTCACTGTCTTTTCACTGAAACAAGTAAAATTGACGTGATCGCCGTCGGTGTTGATGTCTAGGAATTCGATACCGGGGCCAAAGTGGTCCATCAGCTGCCGTAGGGTTCGTGAAGAGATCGTCCAATGATGAGGAGCATCCTGTTTGTTGAACTTGGCATGAACAGGAACGGCAACTTCAAAAGGAAGGCGATGCGTAGATGTCAACCCGTTGCGGAAAACAAGGCGGGCAATAAATCGGCTTTGGATTCCTTCTCCATCTTCGATAGCGATATCGCATCTGTCAATAAGTGTTTGTTTCTCAGCATCTCTTTGGGAGTCAGCTGCTGTGCGGCTACGAAACAGAGAGACTAGTGCCTATAAATCATCAATTAGGTGCACAATAGATCAAGGGTAAAGAGACTCACGCGAATGTAGAGAGTGCAGTGAAAACGGTCACGGAATTGACGACTTCCCTGGAAATGGTAGCGCGAGAAGAACTTGGTTGTAGCAAATCTGACACTCGCGTAGGCTGACTTTGAGGTGTTGAGAGTGGTCAAGACAAACTAGGAGAAATTCGTAAGTTGGAGGCTCAAGTGAGGTTTCTCAAAATAGTGATCATACCGAATCCTTGCGTGCCTCGAGTGAAACATCGTCACTGAACTTGTTCAAGCAAATGAGGGCGTCACGAAATGCTGCAACACCCTCTTCGCTCAGTGTGAAGCTAAGCAGCGCCATTAGGCTTTAATCAATTGAGGCTTCTCATAGAAGTTCCACCATGACAGATAAGTCTCAGTTGCAAGAATTCAAGTCATTCTAACATGGACCTTGTCATGTCTGCCTTCGTGAACGCGTGCCTGCCAATTCTAGAAAGATGTGGATCCACTTCCACTAGGCCTACCCTGGACTACCTCAGCATTTAAGACATTATGATATCATCACGTCATCGTTGTTTACAAGCAAATATAATGTGAAAGCAAATCAAGTTGAATTAATAGAGAACATTAATTGCTAGTATTTGTCCCTTCTGAGTACCAAACTCCTCCAAACCCATTCTTGTCGTGTCATCATATCATTGTCTTGAAGGCGTGTGTCCTTCTCATTTTGCGAGCATGTGTTGTGAATGCCAAGCCGTCAGTCGTCTAGCGACGGAAACAGCTAAACTTTCCGAGAGAGAATCGCCAAGGACCTCGTCGGACGCCATTCTTGTCGACATGGACGCTGGTGCCGAAGTGGCGGCCACCGACTCCCTTTGACCAGAAAAGACCCATGGTGTTTGCGTTTGTTTGTTGATTTGGGTAGGATGTAGGGTATTGTAGGTGTAAGAGATCTGAGGGTGCTGTTAGTTTATATGCATCTTCCAAGTTGCTCCTTGATGGAGGGATGAGGTATCTATTTACCTTTGTAGGGTTGATGGTGAATGAGGTGTAGTTGAAAGAAGCTTGTTCGTGATGAAATTAAGGTATCGGAGGGTTGGCGATCAGCTTTATACCAGATCTTTGGCGTCAATCATAAACTTGGCAGGGACCATGGAAGTCTGAGTGAGGCCTCTGCTAGCTACCAGTGACATACTGCATGAGCTCTTGTGGCATGTCTGGAATGACGTAAACTGATGGCTGTGCGATCGACGCCACATCTGTCTAACAGCGTCCGTGATTGGAGGACAGAGCTAAGCTTGATTGTCAAGATGGATGGATGGCTGGAAATCAAGTCTTCAATGCGCCAATCTTGTCTCATTTTGTTCAAGTGAAACGTTTTGCAACGAGAAACCACCATCATGATCTTCTTCACAGCCTCCAATATCTTGGCATATCTACGCGTCAACAGTTGATGATGCTGCCACACAAATCTAATGCGGTGGGGCTCAGTGGGCCGCCAAAATAGCTAGGACTGCAACACGACTAGACGAAAATATTAGTGTTTTCTCAACCTATATACTCACCAGGACTGATCCAATATTTCTATCAAGCACCAGATTAGTGCCGGTTTTTATGCGACCTGCCTGCAGTTCTATCTCGCGATCCTCCAGACAGACTCAGGTAATTATGAGGGAGACCCTATAACAAGCCTATAATAACGCTAACGATGGCTAGGTAATTAGAATAAACCAACGGAAAAGGGAAACCTACCGCAGTCTCTTAAAAGAGGAAAAGAAGGAACTTTATGCCAAAGTGAGATAGCACCTTGTTAATAGAGCAGCATAGAGAATAGAAGAAGAGGCAATCAAGTTTCGAAAACACCGTAGCGGCTAGAAAAATGCCCCACGTCACATATGTAATGCGAAGCGCTAAGAAGAGAAGAGGCGGAAGACCTCATCAAGCACAACGAGAAAGAGCGAACACGTCTGCATGGGCATGAGGGCGAGCGGCTGGAACAGGAGAGAAGCAGGAACTTACAGGCCTGAAACGAAAGTAGACAAGATATTGCGCGACAATATCGACAAGCGGCTGCCAGAAGAGGGCAGAAAGACACAAGAAAGCGAAGAACACCACATCAACTCCAAGGGTATAACACAAAAGAAGCGGTAAAGACCTGAGAATACAATTAGAGGAGAAAAGAGAGTATGACCACAGAAGCGAGGAACAATCATGTTCCGTCATCCAACGAGAAACGCCGCACAAAGTATGTGGCCAACAAGGAGAAGATAAATGAAAGACGCCGCGGTAAAGCAGCGAAAGCCAAAGATAACGGCGATAGAGCTCCATCAGTATTTCCACGCAATACCGAAGAACTTTCAGTACCATACACAGAGAAATTGGAGCAAGGAGAGAGCACAGACGACAATGATGTCCCAGTCACGTTTCAAGGTATTCTTGATGCCCTGGAAATCAACGAAACAAACTATGACCCGGATGAAGACTACGAGAAGCAGATACTCCAAGAGGAGTATACCGATGATGGGCAACACGAAGAAAAGATGCCGAAGACGCCCGTGCATGATGGACGCAGATCGACCTACTTTCCAACAGCCGAAGCGATGATCGCTCTGTACAACAACACGCTCCCTGTGTAAACGACGATAAGGAATTCCTCAGGTTCACTCTGAACCTGCGAACGATCATTAATCATCTGAGCCGATTTTCTAGGTTGAGTATCGACCACGAGGACTGGCTTAGGCTTCCTAACAAGGAAAAGGAGATGGTGCGCTTTTTTCCATAAATTTTGCTCAAAGCCAATCCGGATATGTCCTAGAAGATAATTGGAAAAGGAGACTTAGAGCCCCAAGACCTGTTGAAATTGCTGACAACACCAACTGGATCTAGCGTGAACAGACCTGGCCGCGCATGACGAACAGGCACAAAGACACTGGCACCGGTATCAACAACCTCCATTATGGTTTCACTCGAAAAGACGATGTCATACCGAATTTTCGACTTATATCTTTCTAGGCTAATCCATGATTCATACGAGAGACCGATGAACAGGATGTGTTATCAATCTACTATGAACCCATCATGATGGTTCATCTTCAAGTTTTACCATTCGGGCCCATGCTTCAACAGAGAAGCCATGAAAATGCTACCGAAGAGGACGAGCTGGGGCCTCTTATTGGAAGAAAGACTAGATCTCTACTGGTGAGGGTTCCTTAGGGCATCAGAAAAGGTGGCCGCTCGAGGAAGAAGAGACGAAATTAGTAGGTCACTTTATGTTGTTTAGACTATCATTTTAGGCCATTTATTTCTATGCCATAAAGTTTAGGGACCATCTTTTCTGCTACCCACTAGTGGTTATATCTTGCGATGTTCCAGACAGGCGATAGACTTAGATAATTTGACGAGGATGAGGATGAGGGCGAACTGGCCTCTTCTTCTGTGCCCACAGCACCTCGAAAGAACAGCATCGTGCTGGACTGCATCCACGTGCAGTCCCCCCCCCTGACATGCAACCGAGAAATGCAGATGACCAGCAGGCTGTTCAACTGGACGGCGATGCGATGGATCTGGACAAGTATCTGAATCTAGATCTATTTGATGATGGGGAGATGGCTGGCAAAAAGCCGTCGCCCAAAACACCTCTCCAGCCTACCAAAGTCATTGATTTGGATGTTGAAATGGCTGGTCTGAATGATGGATTTGCTAACATCATGCAGCTGCACGGACAACAGTCAGACGAGAATATCCTCAACGATCGCCTGGCTTCTCAGAGGAGATACGCCAATGACAACGACTCACTGGATCAGCTGCGCGCCAGAGCCATGAAGCCTAGTGTCTATTCGGATGTCTCCGAGGAAAGGTAAGTATGCCCTCAAGCTCGCATGTACATGGCAGCCATATGATAGGCAGGCATTGTCATGTACGACAACACTAGTCAAAGTTCGCTTGTTCCAAGGCGAGACTCTACGACGGGCAGTGATCAAGGGGCCCCCTTGATTTTCCACCTGAATTTTCGGTAAATGTAGTTGATTATTCAGGACAAGTAAATAATAGATCAATAAAATATCAAGTGTTTGACTGAACCTAATCTTGAAAAAATGCAGTGAGAGGCTTGGTGGAGGCTTATTGTCCACCTCGAGTGATATGTGATTGTAAATTGCCGCGACGTATCTTAGGAAGTAACAACAATAGTCCAAGTCCACATTTATGCTACTGATATGTAAGCGCCAAATAGGTACTTGAAGCTGAACATAGGTTGGAAATAATGTAGACTTGATACTTCTCCTAGGACTAATTTACTCGGAATTGAGTGTTGTCCATCCTGCGGTGACCAGACTCTCATGGCCCTTTCGATCACCAGCGCCCGTCCAGTAGAACAAACCACCCAAGCCCAAAGCTTTGGCATAACCTGCCTTGATGGAAACGGTGCCGGGAACATCAAATGACACAAACCCTTTATCGCCCTTGTTGTCGACAAAGGATGCCGCTGCAATACTCTGATCGACCTTGGCATCTGCTACCCACTCATCAGGCAAATCACAATAATCAATCTCACCTGAACTCTTGAAAGGATGACCTGGTCCTCGCGCCTCGCCAAAGTATCTGGCATATACTGGGATCCCAAGGACGATCTTGTGACGAGGAAAGCCGTTCGCAATCAGGAAATCGACGCCGCGTTGGCAAGACTTACGGAGTGTCGGGTATACCTCGTTGAGATTCCGACTTGGAGGCAAAAGCTGCGCATGATGTCCGCATACGTCGGTCCATCCTCCCGTGAAATCGTATCCCATGAGATTAAGAAAGTCGAGCAAGTGAGCCACAACTGGCAAGTTGAGATGCTTAAGACAGTATTCGCCCGTGGGTAGAGCGCTTGTAAGCAGGAACTGGGAGTGTGTCATGACGTTTCGAATATCTTGGAGGAAAAGAACATAGTTCCTTCCTGCCTCGGGGGTCTGGGGGTGCTCCCAATCAACTATCAAAAGTCAGCTATGTTGCAATGTGATAGCGATGCCTACTAACTATCAACACCATCGAATTGATGGGTCACGCAGAATTCGCTGATCCGACGCGCAAAAGTTTGTCTGGCTGTTTTGTTTGCAGCAAGAGCAGGGAACTCTTTGCTGCTAGAGCCGCCGCCGATGGAAACAAGTGTCTTGATATGCGGGTGTTGGCTTTTCAGCTTTGAGATTGCTGCAAGGCAGCCTTTCTCGCCATCAACCATTTTCTCATTGTCAGCCCAATTGTCAATGGCCTGGAGCTATAAGTTAGCGGATGATATTTGCGGTTGCAAATTTGGCGCTTCTCACTCGCAGTGTGCCATTCTCATTGACGCTGTAATAACAATGTTAGCTTAGGACCTTTGTTGGAGCGAGGAAACTTGCCCAACAAAGGCGTAGAAAATATGCGTGATGGACGAAACGTCGAGACATGATGGTGGACGCTCTTTGTAACAGCGCCAGGATGGGTAGTAAACAGCGTTGATGGATTGAGCTGGCATTTTGAACACGATTGATAGTCAATGATGGGAACTTGTGAAACAGGAGCCTGAGCAACGGATATAGATATATAGTAATTATCGTGTTCCAGGTATCGATGCAGGGCTTAGTTTGTACAAAGACTCAGCCCAACGACTCCCCGCTGTAATGAATGGCAGTTTTCAAGGTAGTTGGTTGGGTCGGATGGTGATATGATGCAGAGCCAAGGTGAGGGAGAATAAGTAGGTAATCACTTTATACCAGGATGCTGCATATAAATTGATGTCAGTCATTGGTGAGTTGTCTCGAACCCGGAAATCGGCATTAGGGAAGGAATGACTACAGCATGAATCTAATTGCCACTGACATAAGTATAATCTGCACGGATATCAGTAAATCTCTTCATGCTCGTCCGTATCCGGCAGCAGGCTTCAGCTGATTAATTCTCGCAGTCATTACTTCATTATTCAGGGTGCCGATCTCATGACAAGTCACATTCTTGGAGAACTTTACGATATGAAATGACATTTGTATCATTGAGTAGTGACGTGTTTGATTATCAGAATTACTGCATCGTAATATCGTTGCTTCCATCTTCAGAACCATCGGTTGTCATTATACTACCCATCAAATGTTTTTCATTGGCACCATCTTTCAACCTCAACACCCTCAAGCTCATCAAGAAGGTCAAAATCTAGACCTGGCTGTCGCGAGGTAACAACAATAACATCGAATGTCTCCAAAGCATCTCTTCGCCAGTCCTTGTTGGGCAACCGATGTACCTGTGGGAATGCCTCTTGCTTGACAAGAGAATCCGCCCAACAGACATCGACCTCATGCGAGACAACCAAGCTTCTGACCAATTCAGCGCCTGGAGGGTTGTATATCTGCGACTGACCAGCCTTGAAGCCAACGCCTACCACCAGCACCCGAGGTGTTCGACTTACGACTTTCTGACGCAGACTCTTCAGCACCCTCTGAGCTAGCCGGGAAGGCCGAGACTGCATCGCCAGCGTAGCACTATCCAATAGTGGGAAGTGGCTATTGGAAAGGAGATAGAACGGATTGACTGGGATACAGTGAGGCATCATTGTCATTTGTGATGGCCGTGTCCGTGGGCCTGAAATGGAGAAGACGACGGCTCAGTATCTCAAAGAAGATATCTTCGTTGAAAAAATCCACTCTGAGAAGATCCGCGGTGCATACAGAGCTTGGGATGGTCAAGCCATGGATGTTGACATCTCATGGGGTTACTACAGGGGTGTGCCGTTCTACTGTATCATCAAGGAACAGAACCAGGGCAAACGCGATAGTCTCATCGTTGTCCGTTCGTTTCTCTACAAGTTCAACATTCGAGACACCAAACCGACAACCATTTTCTCATCTCGGTTTCTGCTCTCAATGACCGACTGGCTCTCCCAAGAAGTCAGAGTCGACCAAGTCGATCATCTAATCGGCATGGACCCAGATACCGTGTTTCAGAACAACTTTATCTCCGAGCTTCTGAAAGAGTCAAAGTATCCCAACACAGTTGGAGTCTGCGGCTATGTCGCGGTTGACTTCAGTGGAGGCAATTGGAACTTGTGGTCTATCTATCAGAATGCCGAGTACACAATTGCCCAGGGACTGAGACGGCTACATCAATCCATTGCAACTAAGAAAGTATCCTGTCTGCCTGGGTGTTGCCAGTTGCTCAAGATATGCGACATGACATGCGGTGACAAGGTCCTCATCGAGCAATTTGGATACTATCCCAGACATTTGGATGGCATGATCAAACGCATTCGAACCACTGCGTCTGAAGATCGAAACCACATATGCCAACTTCTCACCACCTTTCCCGAAGCGCAGAGTCGTCAGGCTTTACGCGCGAGGGCTTACACTGATGTCCCTCATTCTTGGAGTGTCTTTCTTTCTCAACGTCGCCGCTGGACACTCGGAGCTACAAGCAACGACTTGCTACTGTTCACGGCCCGACATTGCCAATGGTGGGAGCGTATACTAGCATTTTCAAACGTCCTCACCTGGTCTCTTAACGTTTTTGTTATCGCCTCTATCGGTTGTATGATCGTAGCTTTTATGCATCAGCCATGGTGGATTATTATGGCCTTTGCAGGCATCATGATTGTCCCTCTTATTTACTACATCATCATAGAAATTTGGCTTCCAGAGTCAATGCTGGAGAGATTCCAGTACCTCCTCGGTTTGTTCATCTTTGTTGTTCTGGGGCCATTTTTGAACATTGCCGTCATGGTGTTTGCGGTGTTCAATATGGATAGTTTTGGTTGGGGCAAGACTAGGAAGGTCATCGTTGAGACTCCCGAGGAACAACTAAAGGAGAAGCAGAACATTCGAGATACGGGCAGTGATTCTAATTCGCTACCGGGAACTTTTAGCAGTGACCAGAGAGAGGAGGTGACTACAAGTGCAACGGTCAGGAAGCCAGCGGTAGTATACGTGCCTCCAACTACGCAGCACTTGTAGTTAGAATACGAATAGCACGTGATAAAAGCACACCAGAGGAAATAATAACTCTAAGCAACTTAATACTATTCTAAACTAAGTAATTCTTGTAAGAAGCATACATGCTCGTACCTTGCCTAGTGTCGACCTCATGTTCTCCTGCAGTAGTTCGTCAACCCAGCGGAACACCCCATTCCCATCTTCACGTCACCTTGCCGATCTACATCACTTGCCCTTCAACTTTTAGTGCCTCTTTAAATGATTGCCGTTACGTTCAAGTTCAAATTTCACGCCCTAAGCTTAGGCCTAAAAGGCTGGCGTTTATATTTCAGGTAGTCCAAAGTCTGTGTCTGTGGCGCTAGACGTCGGGAGTGGCACTTGGAGACCGGATCGAAACATACTGGTCATGTCTCAGATCGGGAAGATATAATTACGAACCAGGAACGGCCGTGTGTGTTGCAAAACCCATTAGTGAGAACTTATCTAGTTCTGGTAACCTCCTCACACCTACATCATTGTTAATGATGGTGCCTTGGATACCAAGTCTGGATAACCCGGTGAAGCTACAACGTCCTAGTGACTGAAACCACTCAGTCTAAGTGCTCAATTAGGATCCCCGACGTTGTCGATCAGTGTTGTGAGTTCCAAATCTGGATGGCTGGCCACCTCTACCATCACAATCACGTCGAGTAACCCCACGCGATGCTCCGTTGGGATCTCTTCCCTGAGCCCGGTCCTTGGAAAGCAGGATCTAATGGACTAGGTCATATTTTCAACGTTGAATCGCTATTGACTCATGTTTGTTTGGCGAGAAGGCGGTCCGAGGTCGGGCTGGACACTCCCCTCGTCATGAGCTGCTCATTGTGATAGTGCGATTCATGTGAACATTTCTGATGGTGTCAAGGTTCTGGTTGTCAGCTCATGCTTTCGGACCTGTCTCTGCCAAGCACGTCACGTCACGTACATATATCTAGTATTTCCAGCCTACTCATCCACTGATCATCACTGCCCACCATTCACTACTCAAAGGCGTAATCATATCAAACACCTCATTGGATCATCTTCAACCCAGCTTCACAATGAAGTCTTTGACATTCCTAGTCCTAGCTGCCCTGCCAAGTATGGTATATGCAGATGGATTCGTAGCCAGGCGCAGAGGCGCAGAGTTCAACATACACGTTCGTCATGAAGACGATGCTTCATACCAGCCAGAAGGGCTCTCTAAGAAAGCTTCTTGCGACAAAGATGCTGGTTCTTGTCCTAAGGGACAATGCTGCTCTGAATCTGGTCAGTGTGGCACTACATCTGCTTACTGCACTTCACCGCAATGCCAGATGGCCTATAGCAATGGCAACTGTGATGGCAGGTATGTGTATTGTCACGATAGATGATAAGACTCTACTAACAAGCTACCAGCAAGAAGCCAAAGGGTGAAACTACAGCAAATATACCCAGATCAACTTCTGGCAAAGCTCCATATGGTAAGTATAGGAGATCAACTGTTCAACCCACAGTTCTAACTAGGTCTCAGACAAGTACATCACCACCTGCACTACCCCTGGGATTGTGGCACTCACTTTTGATGATGGCCCTTACAAGTATACCAATCAAGTCCTGGATGTTCTCAAGAAGCACAACATCAAAGCAACATTTTTCATCACTGGTAACAATCTAGGAAAAGGTCAGATCGATGACCCTTCCAAGCCCTGGCCCAAGATCCTCCGTCGCATGCATTCTGAAGGCCACCAGCTCGCCTCTCACAGTTGGTCACATGAGGATCTTTCAGCTGCGTCCGCTGAGCTCCGTAAACAGCAGATCATCTATAACGAGATGGCCTTCCGTAACGTCCTTGGCTTCTTCCCTAAGTACCTACGTCCTCCTTATGGAACCTGCTCACGAGTTTCTGGTTGTCTAGACTACGTGACCAAGCTCGGTTACCATGTCGTGAACTGGAACATTGACACAAAGGATTACTTGAACGACTCGCCGAGCAAGATTCAGACCAGCAAGAATACTTTCTCGGACGGTGTCTCTGCTCAATCTCAGTCGAATAGTTACATCGAGTTGAGTCATGATACACATGAACAGACAGCTTATAACCTGACTGAATTCATGATCAAGACTCTCAAGGCTAGAGGATATCGTGCTGTTCCTGTTGGAGAGTGTCTTGGTGATTCCCGCGAGAATTGGTATGTTGTTGCCACAGGCACAAAGTCTGGTAGGTCAATCCAAGGAAGAGGCAGTTACGGTAAGTTATCGTGAAAGTTGTTAATCTGATAGCTAATTCCACTCTGAAAAGATCCTCCTCCTACGTCTCCAGCTACTACCAAAGATGGTACTTGTGGTACCAAGAATGGCCTCAAGTGCACAGGATCCAAATGAGGAAACTGTTGCTCATACTACAATTTCTGGTACGTCCTGTAAATGACAAACGCATCTGCTCAATAGAAGTCACTAATCTAGGATACCATTCTAGTGGCTCGACATCAGGCTACTGTGATGGCGGATGTCAATCCAAACACGGAGAGTGTAACGAGATAAAGCTAAGCAGCAAGCTTATTGTCTCGGATAACGGACTCTGTGGCGAGAAGTATCACCAGACCTGCAAGGGATCTCGATATGGTAACTGCTGCTCTAAATACGGCAACTGGTACGTTCTGCCTGGTGACTTTTGTTTTGTCTTGGCTTTAACATTGTTTCTAGTGGTAAGACGGACGAGTACTGCGGAAACGGGTGCCAGAGTGGCTTCGGAACTTGTCCATACTCCTGAACATCCGGCATTCGTCGCTTCGGTAAACTCGGTTTGGAGATTGTCATATAAGACTATTGGTTACGTCTCTCGTATTAATGGTTGGTTCGTTTAGCTACGTTGTAGTGAATTCAGATTACTGTTGCTCAGACTCTCTTCCGTATCAACAAACTGTAGTTGCCTACCTATGTTAAGATGCGGCCTCAGAGAGTTTCGTCACAAGACTAATACATTTGTTCTTTCATTTACATTGCCAACGCACGAACCGGGCCCTGTTGGCCCTTGCTATCATCTGTAGAACCTGCCTGGGTGGGTAGCCGAGGAGTTGCAGAAGAGAGCTCGATTTTCAGTTCAGCCGTGTCAAACACGGCCGAGTGCTTGAGCCGTAAGCAGTCAACAGATCGTATTCAAGAACGTCAAGGCGCGAGGCTAACCAAAGATGGTAGCCCGCATCGACGACAAACAGTCCCGCCTCGTTCTCGCCAGCCTGGTTAACATAACTACACTGAATGACACACGGCATATTTTAATCTGCACCTTCGTCGTCAATGCCAGTGTCTCTTGATTCGCTGAGATCTTTGGTGGCGTTAACAAACAGACAGGAATACCGTTACTTTCGTAGAACCCTAGGCTCAGTCCGAGTCTCAGCCCTGGTAACTCGAGATAATGGCGGATCTAGCCAGCCACGCGGCAGAACTGCATGTAGCCGCCGCATCGTGCGTGTCTACGGGAATATTGCCCAGTCTGTTAATTTTGTACTATACAAAACGGGTTTCTACATCTTCATTGTTGGCAAGTACTATAGGCTCGGAAACGTAGCCGCGGAAATGAAACTCTAGAACGGAATATATTTGGCCTCGTGCAGGTACATTCAATTCAAATCTGAATTCACTAGCGAGGCTGTCGTCATTTTTGGCAACAAACTAGATTTAAACTTAAAGAAGCCTTAACCATGTGGTGGACGGGCGTTGGCTGAGACTAAGTATGGACCAACAGGCATGACCTTGACAGGCACATACATCTTGGCAACGCCCGCGAAGATTCTTTTAGCTCTCCAGGCTGCAGTTTGTTCGTCAAACTGATTGGCAGCGGTGTGTGTACCGATTCTCATCTGATCTCCATATCGGTATTCTATGACAGAAATTAAGCTAAGCGCTTCACATCGTGTTATTCGTGTTGGTGATTGGACTTGAGAGAGTATTGACAAATTGAAACACGACATATCAAAGAACTCAATGATCAATCAACCAACAACTGACATGGAATGAGGCCACTATTGGCAATGATATGGGATAATCTAACTCGGTCAAGGCATTCGCCGAGTCTACGAGAATTGTGTTGGTGGAAGTGTTTGGTGTTGAATGCTCATGTGCAAGTATAACGTCTCAATCAACACTCCCAAGAGTAGTCTCTGTGACTCATTTCTTGACTGGGGAGTTCGTGTCACTGTATATGAGTTCTAGAGAGATGAATAGTCTACGTCTGTATGAGAACCCTGATAGTTGGGTATTTGTCCTAGTTGTAATAGAACTCCCGTCTTAGTCATGTATAGCAACCTAATGCGTACTGCACTAATGACTTGGCATCTTTGCGTTTCTAGAGTATCACAAGAATGCTTCAGCGTGGACTACAATTCGATCAGAACAAAGGAAGATCGTAATGTTCCTGGATCTTGATTCCTTCCGCCGTGCACACGATGTTTCTCGTACCCTTCCATGTTTTCTGTGTTACACAGCGTGTGCCTGCAGCAAGCACTACATCAACACCATACGCCTCCATCATTCTGGGCCAACAGTCTCACCAAGCTTTTTCTTTGACAAAGCCATCATTGTCCTTGTCAGCTCGGGTCCGAGCTGAATACCATGAAAAGCAATATCAGTAGTCATCCAACAGCCGCAACAACCACACCCTCTGGCAGGCCGTTTTATTGTTAGTCAGATAGCAAACGCGCTTGGCCATGATTGACCAGGAATATCTGTTTGCTTCAGACACGCATGGGCATTCATGTACTCATTGTACAGTACAGTGTGCGAGGCGTCAACGGTTAGCTTCGTCCACCAACGCCCCTCGAGGCATGCCACATGGAAACCTGCGTTGAAGGGAGGTCCAAGCTTCGATGGCCCTGGTCAGCTGTTGATTGCATGTTACAACAAGTCCAAATTGGGACCGACAACCTGTTGCTTTGATCAACTTGTTCATCACCAAGGCATCACCAACAATTATCAAGCAAGACGTGGGCATCGCTGCTTCTTTGCATTAACAAAAAAAGCTAATCTGTCAAATCCCAGTAGAAAACCGTAGGCCAGCCTGTAGATAAATATGCACGGTGAAGGGTGCAATGACAACACCGTAGACCACGTGCATTTAGCGGTTTGCTCGCTGTTTCTCTCAAATCTGCACACACCCTCGGATGATGGATATATCCTTGGTCTCTGAAAAGACTCTCCGAGAACTAACCCAGCTCTATTCTCTTGACAAGAGCCCTGGAACCAACCGTTGCCCGTGATCAAAAGCCATACCCCCAGTCTGTTGGATAAAGACAGAATTGATGAAAAGAAGATAACAAGCAAATAAAAGAGATAACCCCTTGCGCGCAACTTCATGAAAGGGTAGTAGTAATCTCACAGAGCCTCCAACTTTGTAGGCCCTTTTCCCTAAACGCCATGAAAAAAAAATCCCGTAGTTTGTCATTAATAATAACCATCGAGAACCACCAGAGACTGCATGACTCGTCTGTCAAGTCATCCCGCCGTGCGCCGCTTTTGTTGGCAATTTGATGTTTTTGCTCCGAAAAAAAAGGAACAGCGGCTTTCATCCTCGTTGGCGCCGTCAGAAACGATCGCCATGTTGGTGGGAATTGCCACCATTGAAGTCGATGTTCCCATTAAAGGTAATGTTCCCATTGAAGTCAATATTCCCGTTGAAACCAATGTTAGCACTCCTGCCGTCCGAGGCCGTGATTGTGTGGTGGCCAGCAGTCACGGGTCTCTGGCCACCGTCCTACATGACTGTCGAGGCCAGAAGGCGCTGTTCCACATCGTCCATACCCATACCGTCCATGCGAGGGCCTTCCATTCCTTGGAGCCTTTGCTCAATCGCCTGGAACCGCGGTTCGTAACCACCAGCTCTCGCTTCCAGGTTCTCCATCCGCTTTTCGATGTTGTCGAGGCGCTGTTCGATGCGCATTAGACCCTGATTCATGTCGTGGCTTAGACGATCGATCTTGTTTGTGAATGATCGGATAGATGTAGCGAGCGGCGCGTTCTCTTGGCCAGGCGTACCAGCAGGAACTCGCGGTTCATGGTTGTGACGTCCCTCTTGAATAGCAAAGCGCCATTGGTTCCCGAGCTGGACTTCGCAAACAGCTTTGGCGCGAAAGGGACAATCAATCTTGCGCGTAGAGGGATTGCGCTTCTTTGCAGTGCTGTTATACTTAACACCACCGCGATCGCAAACAAGGTCGTAGCGGGTGGGCTTTCCGTCACGGTAGTTTGAAGCGCGCAGCTTGACAATACCATAGCCCTGGTCCTTAGCTACGCGCTGTACGGACGCCATCAAATCATCGAAGGTCCTGAATATCCCTTCTGGCGGGGGTAATAGCGCTGGAGGTGGTGTATTCGGCATGACCAGTGATTGAGCCAGGGTGGCGGTTGTAATGGGTAGTTTGGGGAATGTGGGGGAGGGCAAATCGTTTGCCAAAGGAGAAAAAAAGTGGTTTAGGTGCGGTATAGGAAGTCTTGGTGCGAGGCGCAAGATGCTATCGCGTACAGGCGAGATGTGGTGTTGGTTGTGGTCGCGGTGGGAGTATGTATTGGGATGTACGTAGTATGCAAGAGGCTGGGCTGTGAGGACTTTTCCAATCCGCACTGTCGAACAAGTATGGAAACTAACAAGGTTTAGTGTTGATCCGGTCCGGGCAAAGCGGCCCAGTGCCTTTGAAGCCAAGCCTGCACAAGGGCGGGGCACGGGATGCAAGCTGGAGGGAGGTACGTACCTGAAGCTTTCTTTCCGCGCGTCAAGAGGCCAGTTGCAGGTGAGGTAACAAGCAGGGTACAGAACAGCCCGAGGTAGCTGTAGGTAGCTGATAGAAGGTACAGTGCCTGACTGGAAAGGTTTTAAGGGTGTGGAGGGGTTATTGACGCGGCCGGCAGTAGATACTGAAAAGCAAAGACAAGAGCTCGTGGAGCTTTGAGTGATGCCCGGGTTTGGTAAAGTAATTGGAAGGATGTGAATTCTGGAACGTGAATGAAAAGAGAAAGTGAAGAATTGATGGAATTTTGAGGCGTTGTGGATGTCTTGCTGGTTCCAAGTTCTGATATAAATCAAGTTCGGTTCCGAAGGGGTGTGAAGCTTCACGGGCTAGCAGGACATAATACATCCATGCCAAGCACGTGATAGACTGAATGAAGCGTTTGGGTTGGTAGAAATGTAGAAAGGTTGGTCATTGCCCAGCAGACGTAGTGGTAGGCAACGGGTGGACGCAACAGACCGAATCGGTTGATAGAAATTGATTGAGTGCTTATCTTACTTCACGATGAATCCCCGGACTACACTAACCTACTAACCCACTGGCTATGACAGCAGTGATGGGCTGCGCTGTGCTCTATAACAAACGTCACCCATAACTACTAATCGACACGGTGCGGGCTCTCCCCAAACAAACAAGCTCGCTCCAGTTCCACTCCCCAGTGTTCCCGTTCCTGTTCCTGGTTCCTGGGCCCTTGCTTGATTGAGGCTCTGGCTCAGACTCGTTCTTTGAAAACGATATCTAAGTCCCGAACTATCTATTCGATACTCAACTTTGTTACCCTCGTCTTACTTTTCTGCCTGAACTCAATAGAGATTTCAAACAGAGTTGCTCAAAACCACTGAATGCGGTAGAAGTAGTACCAACGGTCAAAGCTTTCTCCCATCCCCCTTAAAACCAGCCCCCACGTTACGCAAGGCAAAAGCGACAAGACACTCAACTTCTATATGTGTGTACGCCATATACATATACGTATTTTCAATTTCTAGAACAATTCCCTGCATCGACAGAGCAGACTCAACAAGCACTGACCATTCAGACCGTTGTGCCTATCTCGGAATAAAAATAGAGCCCTGTCCATTTTGCCTGTCCGATCCTTTCCCAATCCTTCAAAAAAGGCTCTCATTCACTCATCAGACTTCGGGCAGCCACGGTTCTCGTGTTGCCCTTCAACCCCCTCAAGTCATATATACCCTACGTTCGAACGGGCATACTACCCTATTCGCAACAATGAACCAGCAGCCTGCCGCTCAGAACCAGGCGCATGCTCAAGCGTCAAATGGCGCCGGGCAAGATACCTGGGATGAGCAGCGGCTCGAGGAAGCCATGAAACGGCTCAAGCTTTTGCATATCAAGGTAACGTTGTTCTCTGACACGAAATATGTCAAGCTACAAACTTGCTGATCAGGCTCTCATCTCAGGTCCGACGTCTGAATGACACCATCCCCAAGATGATCAAGCCGCTCGTGCAGAAGCAACCTTCACGTAGGTCGCCCAATTTGTCCTTGTCTAGAAACACTATGAACTAACCATGTTCTATCGATAGCCGATGCCATGTTTGCTGCTTTCATGAACTCAGTCACTGAAGCGCAGGCCAACATCAAAGAAGTCACCGATTTGATGCGTGATGAGAAAAGTCGTGAGGTGTTTGCCCAGGCCAAAAAGAGAAAGGCTGAAGAGCCTGAAGGTATCGAAAGCTGGGAGTACTACGACCATCCAGATTGGTTCAGGATGGACCAGGAGTGACGGGATCATTGACATGGCGTTTGAGAATTCTACTTGGGCATGGTGCTGTAGGCGTTCTTTTATGGTTGGTGCATTTTTCTCACGTGTTCATACATTTTTGGGAGAGGACACCTATGCAGACAATACAAGAACTTGAATAAATCAACATCACTCAATTATTTGTTGATGTTCTAATTCAGCTCCATATTGTAGTTTGATCTTAAAAGACAGCTCCAGCCCTTCCCACTATTTTAGAATCGGCCAATCCAGAGGTTTTCCACAATGTAAAGTCAGGTCGTTAGCCTCGACCTGGGGTGTGGCTGAGACTGAACCCTGCAGGTCGATCAACAACCCATCGTCAGAGCGAAAGAGTAGAACTTGAAGCGAAAGCACGGTAGTTCTGGTTGCAACGATATCGCCTGTATAATTAGATCAGAAATTGTGATAATTATTCAGTTGTGTAATTTCTACAGTGAATGGTGAGTTAGTGCCTCACCAGCAAGTTGGGGCAGAAACACATCAAGAGGGGCTCCATAGAACAGCCACACCCGCTCTTTCTCTTCCGATAAAGGTCACGTGGTCTGGGGCTGTGAGGGAAAGAGCACCCACGAAAAATTTCCCAAATTATCCCAGATCCAACGAGCCAACTCTTCGCCCAGCCGTCACCACCAAATTTTCCACGTCGACAACCTCAACCGCCGCAAAGATGGTCAACATGCGCGTTCAGTACCGCCGACGCAACGGGCAAGTACTCGCCTTTGCTCGTTCGAAATCGAATCGTCGAGCTGTATATTCTAGCCCACGGCCGTAACTAACAATTTGTTGCAGCTACAACACCAGCTCCAACCGAACCCGAGTCATCAAGACTCCCGGTGGTGATATCCGTCTGCTTCACATCAAGAAGCGAGGCACTGTCCCCAAGTGTGGTGACTGCGGCTCCAAGCTCTCTGGTGTAAGTGCCTCTCGAAAACCGATGGGATTTCTATGCGATGTGATGTGGGACAACAAGACGAACACAAGACAAGGGTATTGGGTGGTTTGGGGCGAACGATCAAGATACACCACCATGGACGAAAGGCTATACATGTCATGAACTTGCATGGCACCCGACGACTTGCCATACCAGCCCGATTCGTGTCGTCTTGCTCCATCACCGCAGAAAAGTCCCGACTTGCCTTCGGAAACTAGGAACTAACTCAACTCTCCAATAGATCCCCGCTCTCCGACCCCGCGAGTACTCCCAGATCTCCAAGCCCAAGAAGACCGTCCAGCGCGCCTACGGTGGTTCTCGATGCGGTAACTGTGTCCGTGACCGCATTGTCCGAGCTTTCCTCATCGAGGAGCAGAAGATCGTCAAGAAGGTGTTGAAGGAGCAGGAGCAGAGCCAGAAGAAGAAATAAATGCAATCCTAATCGGATTTGGCTTTCTGCGTGGGAATGGCAAGGACCTCTTGGGGATTCGGTTCATTGCTTTGGTGTTCATTAGGCAAAAAGGGACTGAATGCATGATACATCGGGCCGCGGCCAGAATGGATGGCCCTCTGCTGTCTTAGGACTGCTACTATCCTCTTGGTGACTTGAATGACAAAAGAACATCAAGCTGGCGTGGACTGCTGCCATTCGCACGAGTGATGATTCTGTGGACTGGTCAATGTGTGCCTGTTTCCAACACACATTGGCGTGATGTGAAATAAAAGTTACCGGCGTCAGACGGTCAAAATATACAAGCCTGAAATTTTCTGATATTCGCATCCAATTGTTGATCATAATCATTTTGAAATGATATGCATATTTGCTGTGTTGGAAGCGTACGTTCATAGACCAGGTAGGTTGGTACAATTTCAACATCATGACGTGCGGGACCTCGAAAAAATACCCGTTCCCCACGTAAGTTACATGTCTATGACTTATCTCAACTCTAACATCTAAACTACGCCGTGTCTCACATCAATCCTCCTTCTAACACTCTTCGTGCCTTCGGTATTATTACAGTAACTACGGAATTATGGCAAGCCGAAGCCTCGTCCCATCATGTAGCGCGCATCGTGCCATACGCCAGGTCCTTACCAGCCCTCGTTCCTCGATCACAGCTTTCAGAACCACGGCCGCGCCAGCCTTATCTCCTCTACAGGCCTTCGCTAGAAATCGACGACTCTTTCACGCAGTCCCAAGCCGAAGAAAGGACCAACAGCCACCAGCGCAACCTCCGCCAACCGACTTTAGCGAGCTTGACGTGCTTGGAAACACCCCGACACCCTCAACCTCGGTCGACGTGTGCATGTACGATGGATTCGGGCTCAACAGTGGTCTTACAATTTCAGGCGGCAATGGTGTCCTATTAATTGACGGAGAGGTGTTCCACTGGCGTCCGTGGGAGGCCAAGGGTTCCATGAACCTCATCAACAAAAAGGGCCAATTCGAGCTCCCACCTAGTGCATTTGCGCTCTTTGACCTACTATGGCCTCGACCTGGTATGTGGAATACTACCTTTCTACTGACCGTGCCAAGCGGACAGTGGTGTCTACATAAACCCCTCAGCTAATACAGTTGCAGATCTTCTAATCATTGGGGTTGGACCATCAAATGTGCCATTGGCTCCTGAAACGAGGCGAGCTATATCCGAGCTCGGCATGCGAATCGAACTTTTAGATACAAGGAATGCGGCTGCCCAGTTCAACCTGCTGGCTACAGAGCGAGGTGTAGCGAACGTTGCGGCTGCTTTGATACCCATTGGATGGAAGGACGGTGTTGGAGCGAAATGAGAGCATAGCGTTGTTATATCACAGTGGTGATCTTGTATACGTTTCATTGTAAGAATATGAATTCAGCAAGCTATTTGGCTTCATCAGATGGTGACGTTGATTGAGGACTGACTAGACACATGGGTAATTCTTGACTGTGTCAAAATTCGATGTCTGGCAAAATAATTGCATTACATGAGGAAGAGTAACAGAATGAATTCTATGATAATCCTTTTAACACAATCACTGAGAATTCAAACCGTGGTGGGTGTCCTGCAGGGTAGCTGCCTGCATAAAGATTGGGAGCGCAGTGTTATGGAAAATCAAACAGGACGAAGACGACATCGAGTGACTTAAAGTGCTAGGTTTATCCTTTGGGCTAACATATTCAAGTTTTTTTCTTTTTGCTACATTGAGCGCTAGGTAGCACACTCGGATGTGCCTCTTTGAGGCAGCAATGAAGTTAAAGAATTGATAAGCATCATCGGCACTGATCGCAGTCACCATGATCTCAACGTTACTTTATAATTCATCTACTTCCATGGAAACCAACGCTCTCTTTGATAACCAAATCTACTATATAAAAAGGTGCTCGAGACTGTTATATCTCTGTTTTATACTCAGACCCACAAATTCGCTCGAGTATTTCCTTCCAATAGTGATCTCGTTGCTTCCCCCAATGTAGAAGGAGCACATCCAATTGGCTCTTGCGACTAAACCAAGATGCTCAAACGCAATCTCACAATTCATCATTGTCGATCAAACATCAATTTAGCAAAGCTATCTAGGTAGGTGTTCAATACCCACTAATAAATTCATCGAATACAGTATCGAATTTTGCCATTGTTCGATAAACTCCAACAGGCTGGGTTTCTCTCAAGCGCGCCTGACTTGACGCGGTTTCCGTTGGGCTTCTTCAAGGGTCGAGGTTCAAAAACTTGGCTGGGCTTGAAGATTCATCCAAGCTTTCATAATGTGAGTTTTCACAAGTATTCCAGCTTATATCATTTGTTCTGACGTTGAAAGATTGCCCGCGGTGGTAAATAGCAGCTACGCGAATTTGTGTTACTCTTGTGGCACCGTATTGGTGGTGACTCAACACTGCAATCTCTGATGCAGCTAGACAGGGTGGTTTACCAAATTACTGCTCAGGTCCAGCACACTTCTCCATCCATTATCAGTACAGAACAAGGACTACTAAACCAACATCATATCAGGGCATCCGAAAAATTGGTCGCGAGGAGCTCAAGAGACGAAATCAGTAGGTCAGTTTATGCTACTTAGGCTACACTTCTTAGGCTACTTGTTTTTGTACCATAAGACTTAGGAGGCTAACTTTTCTACCAGCATCACTATCGATACCCTCACTTCAGCCTTCCAATTCGGACTGCCCACGTCATGGCTGCTCCTGCAGAGGTAGTGGACGTCGTCCAGGATACTGTCGACTCCACTGACCCTCATCTCACGGACCCTCCCCTCCTCAGGGATCATTCAGAATTCAAGTCTTACGAGAGCAGCCGTGGGTTTAGATATTCTGGCATTCGAATTTTTTACCGACAACATGCTAAGGCTGATCAACTACCGAAGCCTCCGTTGCCTCTTCTGGTCTTTCTACATGGACTAGGTGGCTCTGTTGCTCAGTTCCACCCTTTGTTATGCAGTCTTGTCGACGAGGCCCCTTGTTTAGCCATCGACTACCCCGGATGTGGTCGCTCCGAGTTCTCGGTCACGGATTGGGCAGCTTACACAACAGAAGCTTTAGCAGAGCTCTTAGAGATCATTATAAATGATTACCGGGACAAAGACGCAGGCCAACGTGTGGTTCTGATCGGCCATAGCATGGGCACTGCCCTGTCTGCGAGATTGGCCAACACCGAACTTCCTCACACAACTGACCTGGCGCACCACGTGGTAGGACTAGTAGCCATTTGTCCAGTAGCAAATCCTCCCAATGAGTCGTTGACGAAATGGGCAAAGAGAGCTATGTGGATTCCAGGTTGGTTGTTCAACTTGTGGCGTGCCTGGGACGGTTGGGGTGGCCCCGAGAGCGCAAGTGTCAAGCGTTTTGTTGGACAGGGTGCCGATGAAGCCACTCGAAAACTGCAGTATCGTTTCAACAAGCAGAGCCGTACCCCGGTTTGGAGGCGAATGGCAAATGGTGCACTGCCGGTTTACAATGATGGTAAACCTACGGGTGGTCTCCCAACTCTGGACACCTGGGCAGCGCTGGACATTCCTGTTTTCCTAATCGCTGGCGAGAAGGACAACGTCGTTTCACCAGAGGAAGCTAACAAGATTGTCAAAGTTCTGGACCTAAAGAGGACATCCCCAGAATCAGAAGATGAGGGAGAGACGCATGAGGCCATTATTGATACTGCTGGTCCTGTCAATACTTCCACAAAACCCCAAGACCATCTCCCACAAACCATCGGTGATCTTACCGATGCAGACTTTATGAAAGTAAAGTCCCCAAACGTCGAAGCTCTGCCTGAATGTGGCAGCTCTACCGATCCCTCAACTCCGAACGAGACCATGACCGAGCTACCTCCTCAGCCAAATCGCCCTAAAAAGGTTGTCCGGTCTTTTGTAATGCCGGCGCCTGCAACACATGCTGTATTATATACACCTTGCTCGGTTCGGGCTGTTGCCGGCTTAATATCAGATTTTCTTGCCGCAAATGTCACGGAAAGACTATCTCTTGCCTGGCAACTGCAATATCTTTCACGTGAAGGGAAATGGGACGTTAAGAATCTCAACAAATGGAAGTCTGTCAACCCTGTGTCTCATCCAATTGGACCTGCTGGGAGACCTATTTTCCGTGCCCTCAAAACGCTCCGTGAAGCGGATGACGTGCACTGTCCGCAAGAATTTGTTTCAAAATGGAGTTCTATTGTGAAAGATGTCATCGACATCTCCAAAGACCAGCCTGTATACGACCCTCGCGGTCTCGAGCGGGCTGGTATCCATTACCACAAATTTCCGACGGTCTCCAAGATCCCCCCACAACCACATGAGATCGAGGCTTTCATCAAGTTGGTCGACGAAATCCGTGAGAAACAGGCTGAGCGTGCCGTTATGGAAGAATGGAATGATTCGGAGCAATGTGTGATCGGAGTCCACTGCCACTATGGCTTCAACCGTACGGGGTATTTTATTGTCTGCTATCTCGTCGAACGGTGCGGCTTTGATGTCAAGGATGCCATCGAAACATTTGCTAAGGCGAGACCTAACGGAATTCGTCACTCTCATTTTCTGGACAGACTTTATGTGCGATACAACGTCTGATGAAAGCGATAATGGGCAAACAACACATGGTTGGTCAACGAATAAATGTTAGCGTCGTCACATAGATAATTAGTCTAGCGGGAAACAGAAAAGTTCACCTTCAAGCCTTTAGGTTATAAAAATAAATAGCCTAAGAAGTATGATAAGCTGGACTACTAATTTCGTCTCCTTGGTTCCTAGTGACCAATGTTTCCGATACCTACACAGTGCTCAGTATAACAAAAACTTGATCTATTAGCTTAAAGGATAGAATACTTTTGGTCACTCTATGCCATGGATGTCCGTCTTGTCTTTAGGCTGTATATCCTTTGTATTCTAAGCTAGACCTCAACTATACGCTACCAGTATGCTCATCTCAAATCATGATCTCTGTCCTCCGCCTCTTTCATAAACCGTGTCTTCATATCGCAATGTCTGTTAGACCTGGATAGCATGGTACTTGTTTCCAAGAGCCCACACCTCATCGAGTTCTTCCATACCTGCACCCTGGACTTCGACCTTGCTCATCTTGTCTTGCAATTCCTCAGTGATGGCGTCAACGTCAACCTCGAGATACTCGCGCAGATACTTGCCTACGTCAGTGTTCTCCACGTTGCCGCGGATGTTCTCTGTTCGTGGTCCACCCGAGCTGTAGATGTTGACATCAACGGCGGTATGACCGTGAGTGCTCCAGCCAATGTGGGCGCGGAGAGAAATAAGAGCCGAGAAGAGAACAAGTGCGCTCTCGGGGTGCTCGGCAATAGTGGTAATCTCTTTGTCCGAAGCATTGGAGATGCCGAGACCACGGATGATGAGTTCCTCGTTGATATACTCCTTGAGCTTTTCCTTGTTCTTCTTGGCTTCGGAATTAGAGGCGATATGGGCGTTGAGCTTCGCGTGGAGCCACTCAGCTGAGGCAGTCGCGTTGGCGAGGACCTTAGGGTACCAGTTGTAAACAGGGAGGTGACCAGGTTCCTGAAGCGCGGTAGCGAGACCGCCTGTTTCGTGATCACTGGTTGCGACCAGGACAGTCTCGGTCTTGCTCTCCTTGATGAAGTCGAGGACAGCTCGGAAGGTCTTGTCGTACTCAAGAACCTCGTGAACTTGAGCGGCGGGATCGTTGATGTGGCCAGCATGATCAATTCGACTGCCCTCAATCATGATAAAGAAACCCTTGTCACTCTTCTCAGTAGCCTTCTCAAGAGCACGAAGGGCAGTCTTGGCCATCTCGCTCAGCGAAGGGTAGATATCGTTGTGGTTTCGGCGGTCAATCTCGAAGGGGATGTCGCTGGGCGCAAACAGTCCGAGGAAAGGTAGCTTCACATTGTTGCCACCTTTGAGAGCATCAAAACCAGCACGGTCATCAGCGTAGGACCAGTTGTGCTTCTCCTTGGCGATTTTGACTACGTCTGTGTCGTCAGCTCGGCAGCTGCCCTCTGCGGTGTTGGGCAGGTAGTTGCAGCGACCACCACCAAGCATCAGATCGACGGTTCGGCCCAGAACACCTTCTCCAATCTGCTGGAGAGCAATTTCATCTTCCATTTCACGGAGAATAACATGCGAGTTGAAGCAGGCTGGAGTCGCATCCTAAGTATAATCGGTTAGCTTCACTATTTCTTAGCTAGGCTTCTTGGGATCTGCCCATACCTCAATCTTTGTAGTCACAACAAGACCAGTGTGGTATCCAGCACGTTTAGCAGCTTCCAAAACCGTTCCGCAAGGATCATGGTTTGGCAGAGTAGAAATGGCACCGTTGTAGGTCTTCTTGCCGCAGGAGAAGGCGGTGGCGCCAGCAGCACTGTCGGTGACAAGGGAGCTGTTTGAGCGAGTCCGGCTTGTGCCCCAGAAATGCTTATCGAGTGTGAGGGTATCGCCAAAATGGAGGTCTTCAACGTGTTGTCGGTAGCTGCGAGTCAAGGATAATGTAGCGGGGCCCATGCCATCTGACACCATGAAGACGAGATTTCGCTTCGTCGCAGGCGTGTTGTGGTCATGCTTTGTCTGCTGTTCATGTTGAGTCCAGATAGCAACCACGATAACAGCGGCAGTAGCGATCAAAGCCCAGGCAAACAGGCCGAGCTCACGGAGACGCGAGTTTCGATGGGCCTTGCTTTCGGCATGGGCATCGGAGCGGTCGTGGCCGGTCCCGGATAAGAGAGGATCACTTTCGTTGGCCTGAGGAGAAGACATTGTTAGTTAGAAACACATCGAGGGATGACAAGTAATGATTGAGTCGAGGTAGGAACGGAAGAAAGAGAGGAGGGAGACAAACCATTGTAACTATCTGGCCGCGTAAGAAAGGAGTGTTGTGCAAGGTTGAAAAACACAAAATGGTTGGAAGGCGACGACGGCATTGTTGCACATGGATGCGACACTACCTGTTAGAGCTGCACGCGGGGAGCTCTAGCTGTGACTTCCATGGAACGCTAGCTGGCACGGCTGGCTGCTAAGGTACGATGCAGGGAGGCTAGCGTTCCATTATCAGTGGAGCTTGTGACATCAGTAGTTCCTGAGAGTGGAGCGGTAAAGCTCCGATCGCACTGAGACATCATTGATAACCAATAACGATAACTCGCCTTGGCCACGGGAGCATATATTTTCGGCGGGCACCTTCTTAAGATCATGGGATACCCTTCCAGAGGGTGACAGAAAACCTAAGACATAAGCCTTGAGTGTATAAAAATATTGAGACCGGGTCTTAAACAATACAAAAACAATATTATCGCCTGGGCGTAGTATTGACTTTTCTGCCATGCTGAGGCTCTTATGGATATCCCATAAGCCACATCCAGGCCTTCACGTAGGTATACATACATAAGCGCAAACTTTAACATTGAGCCCCTTTCAACCTCTAATTACATGACTCGCGTTCTCGAAACCTCACGGCGCGCCATTCTTCCCTTGTGCCTATCATAAGAAGAGGTAGTGGGCAGGCGACATCCGTACCGCACGTTTCAACAGGCTGCGACGGCTCCCAGCGACCCTTCCGATACGATACTATATAATTCAACAAGAGCTCTAAGCAACAAGCTCAAGACCATATCTTCCAACTGACTTTATCTCGGCCATGACAGTGATGGCATTAACTAGAGCTTAGACGATAAGCTTTCAACCTTCTGGAGGGATAACCCTCAAAACAAAACGTTGCCCTTTGGCCTGTGGACGGTCAAGTGGCCGGTTTGCAAAGCCATGGCAGAATTGCATTCTTAACCCGCCCACATAGATGTTCAAATGGAGGAACATGATGGAACCAACGGTTGCTGGAATAAGAGTGACAGCTCGGTGTCACAGAGGGGCTTGTGGTTCTTCCGTCATGCTTGGAGCAACATATCTGCACATTGCTTTTCGGAACGAGTGATGACGGCTGTCAAACCAGTTCGCTAGAGGAGAGTTGCTACACACAAGCTTGAAAGCTAACCAACAATGGACTATCAAACGGAACAGATGCCCAGACCCTACAATCAGCGAAGTCGCTGGTGTAGGTAGCGCGTTCGAACCATTAACAACAAACGACTCTTCCTACTTTTAAACAACAGATTATACTGACAATGATATGTCTTGATCATACTCAGTCAATTTGCCTCCAAGTCTTCCCATCAGCACAATCGTTATGCTTGTCGTTTTCTGGATTCGCTCATGCTACTCGACGAGCGATACACATAAAAACCCCAAAGACACAGAACACGATCTGAAATGCCCACATGTGTGGCTACGTTCTATTCCTAAACCATTGCGGATGTTTTGGGGAGATTCTGTTCGACACGACTTGCCCCCTGATATACCAAGAGATTGATCGCATCAACGACGCAGAAGCGTGGGCAGCAGACTCCAGCAATGAGCTTCCCTTTGAACTCCCGGATCACTGCATTCCTGGCTGGCATAACACGTGGATCATCTCGAGCCATGAAGTTTGCTCCCCTCAATGGTGGTCCAACTGCCCTTCTATCACTGTACCGGGATATCCACAGCTTTGCCATACCGAAAATGGAAGAATTTGAAGTCGAGATTGTACAATAATGACAGTGAACTAGAGACGGCCAGCGCAAGCTGAGGTAAAGGAATGTTAGGGTTGTAACAGGATCGATGAAGATGGCAGCAGCGAATGGCGATATCTATGTAATTCATAATGTGTACACAGAGTCTACCATGACTCTAAACTGTAATGTTCTACTTGATTTTACGCATTAAATGTTGCTGGTGATAGAGGGACATGGAAGCCACAAATCCAGGGCCCCGACCGAAGCTGAGGACGGAGTTCTCTTGATCGTATAACCTTCAGGAGGAGCTTTGTACCTCAGTTGTTCACACCAGGACGAATTTGTCCCCCATTTGGGACTAGTCATTTCTTCCCTTCCCATTTGGCCCATGGGCGATCAAGCCAGACCGAAGATGCACCTTGGTGGCCCCGAGTACCTTGAGTAACGGATTCAGGGGTAGGATAAACGATCTCCTTCTCAGCTGAGTTGTTATACTTCGGAGCTATCAAGGCTAGGATGAATGAGGCGTATATGGTCATGATATCAGATTTCTTCTCAAAGATATGAAGTGAGAAGAATCGGCGTGCTTAGGCTGTCAACCTCGTGGCACAAACCGAGACGCCAAGATTAGCAGATATATGTATGACCGTTTTATGCGGTCCTACAGTACTACGCCAAAAGTTCCAACATGCCCAGCTAAACTGGTTGGGAGTGCAATATCATAAAACTCATTATTGGTATGTTTCTAATGATCCGCATAAAATGGAATAATTTCTTGAGACAGCTAGAAACCAGCTGTCGACTCTTATGAGGAGGTTTGACGGTTTGTTTTAGAGCCCTAGCCTTTATTGGTTGTTTTAGTTTTCCGTAATCTGTGGTATAAATGATAATTTATATAAATACTGTCACTTCAATACGTCGAATATACCACGCTTTATTTTCGTCTTGGTGGCTGTGGCTGCTCAACCAGATACTTCTTATCGATAATATTACTCCATCACCTCCAATGCTTGGGTATCATTAAAACCAAATATTTTGACCATCCAAATGTACTATACGACGAATAGTCAATCACACCTTAAGTTTAAACTTTTGCTGCTTCGACCTCTTCTTCTTTTTCCTCAGCGTGAGAATATGCCTTCTCTGCACGAGCCTAATGAGCCAGTTGTAGATCATTTCTCTCATGAGAATTAATATCGTAGCCACAACAGTTGGAACAGCACAAGCCCAGCTAGGTAGAAAGTATTAGTTAGACCTTTGAATCATCAACAGACTAGGAGGATGGGGGTACACTTACAAATACCAGATACCGTGGTGGATCTCTGGAAACCCCTCCTCGGCAAAGTTCTGTCCAAAGAAACCAGTGATGAATGTCAAGGGCAAGAAGATAATCGTGACCGTGGTGAGCTGTTTCATCGACTCGTTTTGATGAGCTGAAATGGTGTTGAAAATGAGGTTGATCAAGTTATCAGATGACTGTTTGAGCTGCTGGAGAGCCTCGGTGATCATGATACAGTGATCAAGAACATCGCCAAGGTAGGTATGCGTCATAGGGGTCACTATAACACCGGATGAAGGATTCTCAAGTTCCTTCATGGCGCCCTCGTGGGTCATGGAAGTTTTGTGATCGCGAAGGACATTGACCAGGTTGTCGATTGGATTCAGGAAACTGAGCATCTTGTTGATCTCGCTGATACAAATGTAAAGCTTTTTGCTCTGGCTGATACTCGGAGCGGTAAGAACGTCCAACTCGATGTCGGCGATGATGTCCGTATAGATGGCTGTCAAAGGAATAGCGAGATCGATTATAGCATCGATTATGCCTTGACACAACAGAGATGCGTCGTTAGACTCACGGAGAATTGTACCCGGAGTGCTGAGACGAGTCACGATGGGCCGCTCGATGTCGCCGGCCGAGGCCTCAAAGAAGGAAATAACGGTGTTGTCTGATGTCAAAAAGATAGAGACCTGCTCTGCTGAAACAGCCATCTGATAAGGCGCAAGGGAGGAGTGGCTCTCCATAAATTCTGTTCGCGCTTCGTTTCCAGAAGCATGGTATCGCTGTAGAGTTCGTATCATACCCGTTTCTTGTAGATCCAATGCTGCTTCTCGAGCTCGTAGATTGTTTTCGAAATTCTTTTCAGGGTCTGCCGTCTTGCGACTTTTCCAAAACTGCCTAAATGATCCTCTCAGCGCACCCGCAGTCTTTGACGAGTAGGTACTACTAGTATCAGTCGAGTCGTCTTCGTCGTCCACTAGATGAACCAGCTTTTGCAACGTCATGACGATAAATGCATGGTTTGGATACCAGTCAGCCTTGGTTCGATTCCGTATTTGCATTAAATCCTCCAGAGCCAGCTTATGCAAGCCCTTTTTGCTGCCAATGGCCTGAATGACATCCCAACTAAGCCCATTGACGTTGATCCATCGACATCTCGCCCATTCCTCCTTGGGTTGGTCCAGGAAGGCGATGAAACTCGCATTATCGAAGTGGCGTTTGACCATATCGTTTTGCGAAAAGTCGATAACGGAGATTTCGCAAGCGGCATGGAGCGCAGGCATGGACGCGTGCCCTCCATCGGGGAGCATAGGATCGTAGCCAGGCTCAGAACCGGGTTGCCAGCCTGGGCGATCGCCAAATGTAGTATCAAACTCATCGTAGTCCTCAATCGTCTTGAACGTCGGAACACGAGTGAGTCGGCGTCGCAATATCGAAGGAGAAAAATTCATCTCGCGATGGACTTCGGTATCGGATCGCACTGCTCGCACAGGCTCAGCCGGGGGTGGAGAGAGGTTCTGGGTGTTGAGAGTAAGGTTATAGCGGACATGTTGCTCGGCCTTTTCTTCGGAAACGGTATTGGAGGATTGGCTTTGGCGACTGGGCTGTATGTCGTCCTGCATCGAAGAGTCTTGCTCCGCTGGGAGAGCGAAGTCTCGTGAAATCGACATTGAGAGATTGATGGCTGGATGCGAAATGGAGAGGGGGAAGGTGGTTAAGAAATAGAACTCTATCCTTCAGCTGAGGAAGATTAGATTAAGAAGAAAGAATACGAATGTTGAAGATGAAGATGAAAGTTCAGCCATCAGTTTCAGCTGAGGTGGAAAATGGTACTTTGGAACAGAAATAAATCCAAGGGAGCTTGTCACGATGCAGGGGAAGGAAGCCCGTCAGCACCAGCACCGAAAGTGGTTTCGGGACCTAGAAAGGTATGGAGAAGGATTAGGATTAGGTAGTAGGAATAGGGGCTGTTCTGTCGCTGTCGCTGGCAACAAAGGTTACCTATCAAGCTTCATTGGCACATCGCGACTGAGACCATTATGAAGAAGCCGATTATCCGTTTCTAGTGTAAAAGCCGCTTTCGACCATGCATTCTCGTGATACGGATATTGTTCTCGGGACAAGACACGCGAAAACCCCCCACGCCAATCGTCGATGAGCAGTCTCATCTTTTTTTGGCTAAGCTTTCATACTAAGCTTCGTTATCCACATTTATTCCCGCCTCGGCACAACGAGCTAAGCTCAGACTCTACTACAGAGAGGTAGACTGACTACCTACCTACTTGGTGGGTAACAGAAAAGAGCCCACCAATTCTTCTGCTACCCTGAGTCTAAGTGCCTATTATTTCCATAGATATAATAGGTAGTCTACCGAATAGCAATGATCAAGTGCACAACAAGCAAAATGTCTTATTTAAAGAAGATAATGTTATCAGTGTGAAGAATTATGCCTACGGAGATCCTACTTCTCGACAAATGGTTAATTGCTTTTGACATTCCAAAGTGAGACTATTGGTAGCATGGATGAGACTGATTTGCAGTTCTGCGCGCAGTCCCTCTCAACTTGATGAACAACCCGCGCTGCCATCATTGATGAGATGATAGGCATTACCCGCATCCAAATATTCAAGACATAAATATTATTATAAACATACAACTGAGAAAGGCTGCCATGCGATGCTTTATGAAAAAATCGAGTGCTTACATAAGGCTCGCTGGATGGAATACAAGCTTGGGCCCCTGTAGCCTACAGGCAGCAACCACTACTGCCCCATTTGAAGTTCCTGCCCAGAGCATGCTCACGGCGTTTATCTCACCACACCCAAGGTTTGATTGAACTTAAAATGAAGCATATTCCGACTTGAGAGTGGTATTTATACATTCTCATTCATCCACCTCTTGTTGTTTTTCTTTCTTAAAGTTACAGACTCGCTAAGACCGATCTCGACCTTAGCGCGCATTGCTGCTACAAAGCAGTTGGCTGGCTTTCTGTTTTACAACAGAAAGTACCTAAACAAAGCACCATGTCACAAACCGACGACGCAAAGCATGAAGATGAAATCCAATATGGCTCCATGAGAGTAATTTGTGAAGAGTTGGAAGAAAAGTCTGTATTCGTCAAGCGGTCCCCCAAATACGAAACTAATATCATCATCAAGGTATCCAAACCGGCCAAGGAACCACTCAAAGACATTTGTATTCTCCGAGCTCTTTCGAGAAGTCTTCAACCCGCTCAATGAAAACAAAAAGCAGAATGCCGCGGGTGCAGGTCCTAAAAAGGCATTTCGTGGTGTGAACAAGCTCTCTCCCCACGAACAGCGTCGACACATCGTTGACCGTTTCATCACTCGATGGCGCAAAGAAGTTGGTCCTGATTTCTATCCTGCCTTGCGCTTAATCCTTCCAGATAAGGATCGTGACCGTGGGGTTTATGGCCTCAAAGAAAACACTATCGGAAAACTACTCGTCAAGCTCATGAAGATTGATAAAAACTCCGAAGATGGTTACAACCTTTTGCACTGGAAGTTGCCTGGCCAGACAATGGCATCTCGACTGGCTGGCGATTTTGCTGGACGTTGTTTCGAGGTCATCTCGAAACGACCAATGCGAACTCAGGTCGGCAACATGACTATTGCCGAGGTGAACGAGCAGCTGGATAAGCTTGCTGCTTCCACGGGAGAGATGGAAAATCTACGTGTGTTTGAGACTTTCTACCATCGCATGAATGCTGAAGAGCTTATGTGGCTCATTCGAATCGTCCTCAAGCAAATGAAAGTAGGCGCCACGGAAAAAACTTTCTTAGATCTTTGGCATCCTGATGGCGATGCTTTGTTCAACGTATCGTCGAGCTTGAAGCGTGTATGTTGGGAACTCTGGAACCCAGACATTCGTCTCGAACAGGATGAGACAGGCGTTGCTCTGATGCAATGTTTCCAACCTCAGCTGGCTCAATTTCAGATGCCTGCCTCTTTTCAAAAGATGATCGAACTCCTTCGACCGACTGAAGACGACCCCGAGTTCTGGATCGAAGAGAAACTAGACGGTGAGCGCATGCAAGTGCATATGATCCAGGACAAGAGCCACCCAGGTGGCAGGAGGTTTTGCTTCTGGTCACGAAAGGCCAAAGATTACACATATCTTTACGGTGACGGCCTTCAAGACGAAACCTCAAGTCTTACTAGACATCTCAAAAATGCATTTGCACCAGGCGTGAAAAACCTGATTTTGGATGGCGAGATGATTACTTGGGATATGGGTGTCGACAAGATAGTGCCTTTTGGCAGCCTCAAAACAGCCGCAATTTCTGAGCAGCAAAACAAGTCGGATACAGACTCAGCCGGTCACCGTCCTTTATTTCGAGTCTTTGACATACTCTACCTGAACAACAAGCCCCTAACACAGTACACCCTAAGGGACCGACATAGAGCCCTGGAAAAGGCCATAAAACCCGTACATCGTCGACTCGAAATCCACAACTACAACAGCGCAACGAGTGCCGATGCTATAGAACCTCTTCTTCGTGAAGTTGTTGCCAATGCTTCCGAGGGCCTTGTTTTGAAGAACCCACGGTCCATGTACCGCCTCAATAGTCGAAACGATGACTGGCTCAAAGTGAAGCCGGAATACATGTCTGAGTTTGGAGAGTCTCTTGATTGTGTCATTATTGGTGGCTACTACGGCACAGGAAAACGGGGTGGCGCTCTATCAAGTTTCATGTGTGGACTACGTGTCACGCAGAACCATATACAAGCTGGTGCGAATCCTGAAAAGTGCTTCAGTTTCTTCAAAGTCGGCGGCGGCTTTCGCGCAGAGGACTATGCGGAGATCCGACATCGAACAGAAGGCAAATGGATCGAATGGGATCAACAAAACCCACCGGCAGAGTATATCGAGCTGGGAGGAGGAGAGGCCAGGCAATTTGAGCGTCCAGATGTTTGGATTCGACCTAAAGATTCCATTGTGGTCTCGGTCAAAGCCGCCAGTGTTGGACCTTCGGAACAATTCGCTCAGGGGTTCACTCTACGATTCCCCCGGTTCAGACGTCTTCGACTGGACCGAACCTGGAATACTGCTCTCTCGCTTGAGGAATTCCAAGAGCTGAAACAGCGTGTCGATGAAGAATCAAAGGAGAAGGCGATGACGGTTGAGGATAGGAAGCGACGCAACCCCAAACGAATCAAAAGAGAACTCACCATTGCTGGAGATGATATCACCGTTCCCGAGTTCATGGGAGAGGCGTCAAAACTGTTCGAAGGTCTGGAATTTTGTGTTCTTTCTGAAGCACTCAAACCCTACAAAAAGACCAAAACTCAGCTTGAGACCATCATCAAGGAGAATGGCGGCGTCATCTCTCAACGAGCGGTAGCCGGTACGAATATGGTTCTTATCGGCGACAAAAAAGTTGTGAAGGTGGCAAGTCTCATAAAAGGAGGAGACGTAGACATCATCCGTCCCAAATGGATTAGAGATTGCCTTGAGCAGGACTTGGGCGCGTTTCTTCTGCCATTTGAGGATTCGCATCTATTCTACGCAACCGATGCGTTGAAAAGTGCGGCGAGCCAAAACACAGACCAATTCGGCGACAGCTACGCACGCGATCTATCTATCGAAGAGCTTAAACAAGTCATGGACGATATGCCAAAGATAGAAGACGGCATACCATTCGACAAAAATGAATTCCTGCAACAACTTGAGGAACATGGCAAAGATCTAGGGTCCTTGAGAAGCTTTACCTTTCAACGTTGTGTTGTGCTACTACATGCCGTGGAAGCTGGCGATAAGAGGATCTCGAGACTGAAGAATCTTGTTAGGTTTGGCGGAGGAAGTGTCACAGATGACGCAAACGACTCATCCGTGACTCATGTGGTGATACAAGGCGATGACCCAATGCAAGTGGGCGAGGCAGCCGATATGATACGCAAGGAGTTGAGCTCAAGGCATGTACAACCAAGAGTGGTGATATGGGCTTGGATCGACGAGTGCTGGAAAGAGAGCACGTTACTTGATGAAGAGCAATTTGTGATCCCGTAAATAGTAATGGGTATATAACAAATGTATTCTACCTAGCCTTTATGTTTATGCAATTGGAATCAACATCTAAACAGAATTCGTTGACGCTTCTTATTTACCAATGGTCAAGAATAGCCTGTCACCAACATCTCCCAGGCCGGGCTTCAACATACCATCACTGGTCAGCTCGTTGTCCACCGCCGCGATCCAGACTTCACATCCCTCCGGCCACTCGGCAGCAACTCGCTGAACACCCTCATTAGCTCCAATGACAGAGAGAACAAGAATTCGTTCTGCGCCCCATTCACGAAGCGTTTGGATGGCAGCAGCGCAGGTTCCACCAGTTGCAATAACAGGGTCGACCAAGATGGCAAGACTGCTGGCTTTTTCCGTGGAAGACTGCTGAGGAAGATTGTTGTAGTACTCGACTGGGTCGAGAGTTGAAGGCTCGCGATACATGCCCAAGTGGTGAACTGGGACTGCTACAGGGAGCATGGTTTGCACAGCTGAAAAGGGTCAGTTTGAAGCTCTGGTGGTCCCTGGAATAAACATACCCTCAACCATGCCAAGACCTGAACGTAGAATTGGCACTAGACACATGGTGCTTGGCTGAACGGTCGTAGACTTGAATTGAAAGCCCAAAGGTGTCTCATCCTTGTAACTGTTAACGGAGCTCGGTGTGTATCGACTCATCATATTTCATACCTGAGACCCTTCTGTAGCTTGCAGAGATGAAGCGAAGGCTTCACAAGAGACAATCAGAGAAACCTCATGAATCAAAGACTTGACTTCTCTAGAGCTGATGGACTTTGAGCGAAGCTGGCTCAGCTTGGCTCTGAGACAGGGGTGCTGAGAGACATGGACGTTGGACGGTAGAGAAGACATTATGTATCTTGACTTATTTGTTCACAATGATAAGTGTAAGAAGTCTACGAGGAAACGATTAAGCACCTGAATCGATAGATGCTGGGACGAAGCCAAGGAGAGGAAGAAGGAGAAGAAGGACAGAGTGCAACGGGAGAGAAAGGAGAAAGGAGGGGGTTTTGTATCTGAGAAGAGCGCTTGGGTTTAGAGAGACACGTCAAGCAAACAGCACGGTGCAATACAATACCTCTTTATCAGCATATCTTGTACTACCGTACATGGACTATAGTACAATGCCTGGGCTTACCTTGAAGTGATGGATCCAATCGACGGTCTAAGCGGGAGGGATCACAAGGACGGCGGGGTAGAGCTTAGCTGGTAGGCACTACAGAGGAGAGACAGCGGGCGGATGCTCGGAGGAGGGCGGGGTGCGATAAGATAAGCGGTGAGCTCCGTTTCGTTTGCCTTTGTTTGTTAGGTATCGTTGCAGGGCTGTTATCGAAACGCGGTGAGACTCAACAAATAATTATATGGTCCAGTCCCTTTGGAATGCCTCGAGGTGATAATGACCCTTGTTTAGGCATCAATTAAATACAATTGGGCCAAACAGAAACCGTCATCTTGTCCTCTCTATCCGGATCACTTGACAAACACTTGTGGCTTGTTATCTCCCTTCTAGACCCTTGCTTTCTCCTCCACAATTAACCTCGACATAAACGCCTCCACTTGATTAAATACAAAGACACGCCAGTTCATCTCTAGTGGCAGACCCTTGGGGACGTTACTTTCCTCATAATATGCCGTCATATCCGCTAGATCTAGCCACAAACCATAACTTTGACAGCCAGCCATAGTTAATATCAACGAACATTCAGCCTCCTCTTCAACACCATGATTCTTGACCACCACCACTCATGCTATCATAGCGCGCAGAGATTCTTGACTTGAAGTGCTTATCTGAATCCAAACGCGACATGACAAGCAACTTTTCCGAGCAGAAACGGCTTTCGAGTGCCGGAGTTTACAATGCGCCAGAAGAGCACGGTAGTATTGGCGAGAAGACGGAGCCGCACCTCAATGACACAGTTGCGAATCACTTGACTCGATCGCCATCGCAGGCAAAGCGATGCGACTCAGGTACCTACGACGTCCCCCAAGACTATAGCGACTTGAACGAGACTGCATCAGTTCCAGCGCTTGATACACTGTCACCGAGACCAACGCAGGGTCAGTCAACAAGGCGAAGCAGCGCAGCCCGCCATGAAAATACAACTGAAGAACCAGAGCCTCCAACACGAGGGACAGAGAAGAACACATCGAAGCTTCTCACCGGGCTATACACACACTCGTATCTTGTGCTTTTTGCAATTATCGGAACATTGGCGCGCCTAGGTTTGACAGCATTGACGCGTTACAGCGGTACTCCTGTGATTTTCAACACAATATGGGCAAACTTTACTGGAAGTCTGGTCATGGGGTTTCTTGCAGAGGACCGAAAGCTTTTTCGCAACGAGTGGGGAATCCCAAAGTATGACGATGCTATTAAGCGTGCTGCAGAGAAGCGCAGCGAAGGGGAGGGCGATTCTGGTTCGAGTCGGCGAAATGAGATAGATCTGGAGGCAGCGAAACGGGCGCACTTGGCCACCAAGAAGACGATCCCGCTGTATATCGGACTCGCGACGGGCTTTTGTGGAAGCTTCACGACGTTCTCGAGTTTCATCAAAGATGTTTTCTTGGCCCTGTCCAACGAGTTGGCGACCCCTGGATGGCCAGACTCACCTACAAGCCGTAACGGGGGATATTCTTTCATGGCCATGCTGGCTGTCATTATCACAACGGTTGGGTTATCGCTGTCCGGATTAATTGTGGGAGGTCACTTGGCCATAGGTCTCGAGCGCATAACGCCATCGATACCATTTTCGCTGAGTCGACGCGTGTTTGATCCGCTGAGTGTACTCCTTGGTTGGGGCTGCTGGCTCGGCGCTGTCCTGCTTGCCATCTTCCCACCTCATGAAGCCTGGAGAGGTCAAGCCATCTTCTCACTAGTATTCGCACCCTTGGGTTGTCTCCTGCGCTTTTATTTATCCCTTCACCTCAACGGAAAGATGGCGACATTCCCGGTGGGAACCTTCTCTGCCAATGTGCTGGGAACAGTGTTGCTGGGAATGGCGTGGGATCTTGCACACGTGCCGCTCGGTGGAGTTATCGGTTGCCAAGTGCTGCAGGGCATTGAGGATGGGTTCTGCGGATGTCTGACCACAATTTCTACTTGGGTGGCTGAACTGGCTAGTCTACGAAGGCGAAGTTCGTGGATCTACGGGATAACAAGTGTCGTTGTCTCTCTGGTGATGATGATTGCTATCATGGGAGGACTGCGATGGAGTGATGGGTACAGCAAACTCTCCTGCAAAAACTAAGTCAGGGGCCACTTCAAGAAGTTACTTTCCCAGGTTGAAGGTATATTGTTCGAGGCGACTGCCTTATGAACTCTCTTTTCAAACTCTGTAATATGTCTTCCTGCTGCAATTAACAGAAGCTCTTTTCTTTCCCCATTTCGTAAACACAGGCTGCCAAACACTCCACGATTGCATTGAACACCATCAATCCTATCCTTTACTTTGTCAACAGATCAAGGCCACTCAACAGAAAAACACCGAGCTACGAAATCATACCCACCGAAACAAGCACCCTGTGCAACGTTTAGAACATCGAAAATGGGTTTACTAAAACCGAATACCAACACATCTGCTGCCGACCAAAGGACAACTACGGAAGAAAGCCTGGACGATAAAACCCCCAATCCTCATATCGACGAAACCAGCGCCCAGGAAGTCAAACCTGACAGAAAGGAGAGGCGTAAGTTGCGGAGCAGACTGCGTAGTCGTCACCATGCTTCTTCTAAGACAACTAATGGTAGACGTGATGATGTTGACCTTACCGCACACGTAGTTGTTCCTGCACCAAGCACACTGGACTGGGTCACAGACTGGGATGCACTCAAAACTCCTTTAATTACACGCCAAGGCGACGTAGACACCCAGAGTATTTGTGTTTGCGAAGATATAGATAGGCGCACAGTTTCGGAACCATAACGCAGCAACGTGTACCCGTACGCCAAGAGCCAACACATTTGAACGGTACTCGATGGATATTCTTAGTTTGCTCACCTCAGCCGCATCCTTGTCTTCGATCCTTTACTTTGCGGCTTTGTCTCAGGGCTAACCAACGAGAACAGCTTAAACCCCTGCTAAGGAGATTCAGCCCTATTTGGTCTAACGCAGTTGCAACTCAGCCCAGCGCCACTCGTTTGACTACCGCACCAACAACCAATTGTTGCCCAGAGATCTGAGTTAGACTGCCTAGGACTAAGGACTGTCAGCAAAGCACGGCCAAACCCGCCCATACTCAATGCATGTTTGCGGCTATGCTATGTTTATGTCCTACGTTAGTAGGTAGGCATGGCTGGCAGCTAGGAATCCTGAGGCTGGGTCATCCCTGATATTGACACGGCTGCCTCTGACTGCTTCTTCCCCTCTTTCTGAGCGGTGAATTTCTTTACTTTCATGTTTTTCCTCTCATGCCTTAAAAACCGATCCTCTTCTTCTTGTAGGGGAAGTGTTACAAGATCACTGTCGCTACAATGTATTCAAATCAGGCTGGCGTGGACGCTCGCTATGAGCCTCAAGCGACAGATGATGCCTTGTGGGAGACCAATTCGGAGAAACTCCCCACTAACCGAAAGAAGACATTTTATCGACCGACTGCTTTGAGATGGTACTTTATAGTCGGACAGATCGTGTTCCTTCTGGGTGTCATGGGCCTTGTTATCTGGGCGTTGATAGAAATGCCAAACTCTGACGGGACTGCAAAGATTATCCACAAGCGGTATCCCAACGACAATCCAAACTACAATCCCAACTTCCCAAGGGGTGACGCCTCGAACGACTCGCCTATGACTCCAATGATCAAAGGAACACGACTAGCGACTACAGTTATCGTGAGCGACATCTCTACTGTAGTCACAGTGCCTGGCACCACTGGCAAATATACCGAAATGATCACAACAACAGAGTACACCACACGCTGGGGCTATACAACGACTGTCAAAGATGGGTCAACGTTTACCAGTGTGGATGTAACTGTCATACCAACAAAGGTCATTACAGAAGTCGTCACCACCGCACCAGCAGAAATAACAGAGTCGGTTATTACAAGCATTAGCGTTGGCTACTCTACCATATACCCCTCGGAATCTGACGCTACCGCCCCTGGCACTTTGACATATTCAGAAGCAATCACCATTACTCAGGCGTATTCATTACCTGGATCGGTAACCACATACACGTCAACCTTGGAAGCAGACAGAACAGAAACGATCTGGACCACAATTGTCGAAGATGGAGAAACAAAAACCATATCACACATCGTCACTGAGGAGGCGCCTACTGTATACGAGAGTGTGGGAGAAACGACTGCGTCAGCAAGCACTTATGTCTCATATGGTCGAATAACAATCACGTCAGTTTATACCGACACGAATCAAAAGCCTATGCCGAGACCTAAGCCCACGGAGAAGGCTAAGCCTACCGTTATCGATGTTGTTACTGTTGACCCTGATCGCACCATCAAGCAGGTTGAAAAGCTGGATCCTACAACTTACGTGACCAAGGTCGAGGAAGTCGAAACAGTAAATGTGGTTATTTCCGATGGGGTCGAGACATTCGTAAGCGAGTTTGAAGCTGTCGAAACTACAGTCGATGTTGTTGAAACTGGTGCAGACGGCCTACTTACAACTAATAAAGTCGTCTCTACAAAGGCTGCTTCTTCGGAAATAATCACCAGGCCTGCTGCGCCCACCACTGTTGTATCGACAAAGTCTACCGAGAAGCTCAAGACCATAACCTCGGACCGCACAGACTCCTCAACTTGGATCTCGACTGTCAAGGGCGCTACAAGGACATACGAGAAAACCACGACGATCGCTCCCACTGCCACCGACGACGCATCTGAATCGGAAGAGACTGGCGGGGTAGTCAAGACAGTTATCACAGTGTTCGAACTTGATGCTGCAAAGTACTTCCTTGGAAAATTCCTGCCTCCTATGCTGGCCGTCATGTTATCAATCCCCGCTCGAGTCATCGATTATAACGCACAGCTGTTTCAGCCGTTCTACGCTATGAACCAAGATTATGGCGCCAGAGGACCGGAGTCGATGAACCTTCATTTTGGTGGTTTGGGCAGTATTGTAGAGCCTTTTAATATCTTGCTTGAAGGCCACCCTGTGCCCTTCATCACGATGCTCATTGCCTGGTTTTCTGCACTGCTGGCACCAATCGCCGTCGAAGCTATCGGTTTCAAGATGCATGGCCAGTGCAAGATCAATGCCTTTGAAGGCTGTGCTCCGGCACTTGGTGTTTCCCCGCTATCTTCACGCATACTTCTGGCCCTCCTGGGGTTGATCATCTTGCTGCTCTGTGCATTGTTGTTTTCCCTGCGAGACTTTCACACTGGTCTTTACTCAAACCCATGGAGTGTCGCGGGTATTGCATCTCTGGCTGCCAACAGAGACATCAGACCCCGCCAGGATTCTGAGCACAAGATCGAAAAGGAGATGGCAGAGAAACGATACGGTTTTGGTTTCTTTGAGAACCACGCCGGCAAAACTGAGTATGGTGTTGTACTCTACGACGATGCTGGAGAGAACCTCCAACATGAGCCGCTGTCGTCGGAGCCTGGTTCTGTTGACACAGAGGTTGTGAGCACCGGTCGGAGGAATCCTTTTGCTCTTCTTGGTCTTGCCTGGCGACTGGCGTTTCTGTTGTTTCTTCTTGGTCTGATGGTGTTTCTGCTTTACTACCATCTCACGCTTGACAAATCGTCGTCGTTCAAGAATTTCATGAATAGTCAGACCTTTGGTGTTCGATTCTTGTTTGCTACTTTTGGTGTCGCCATATCATTCAGTTGGACAGCTTTCTTTATCAGTGAGTCCTGTCAGCCCTGTCATGTTGAACCATCGCTAACATCACCTAGCTATTACTATGGTAGTTCCATACCAAGTCATGTCGTATGGCCCTCAGTCCGCTTCGAACTCGGTGCTACTCACTCGCCCAACAAACCCCTTTTCAGGTTTTTGGTCTGCTGTCAAGCACCGCCAAATTTTCCCAGGACTTGTAGCCGTCATGGCAATCTTTTCGGAATTCATGCCTATTCTCCTGGCCAACATTCCCTATTCGCTGTCGCAGGTCCGAATTTCCCATGACATCTGCGCACGTATATCGGTTGGAATATTGGCTTTGATGGCTCTCACAATCATCATCAGCTTCCTCATTCGCTGGCCCGACATGCCGGTCGATCCACGCTCTATTGCCGGGGCGATGTACTACGTCAGTGAGAGTAACATGGTGGACCATTTCAGTGGCATGGCAGCAATGGATGGCGATGAGCGAAAGCAGCGTATCAAGGAGTTGGGTGGAACATATGTGTATGGGGAGTTGACGACGAGATCAGGTGAGAGGAGACCTGCTGTGGAGTGGGATGACCACACGCTAGGCGTCGGTCCTGTGGTGCAGCAGCAGAGGAAGGACAATGTCTACGTGAGGCATGAGAATGTTGATACAGGGTACTACGGACATCAACTATGATTTATGAAGGCGTTATGAATTTGGGAGAAATGGAATACCTGGCTCTGCGGATAGGAAAATGTTACGACAACTTGCATGACAATTGGGATATTGGAGCTGGTTTAGGCAATCCTTGTTTTTACAATCTTGATGCTGCTTGTTTAATGAATGGATGAGATGTTTTCGTTATCCTAAGCTATATTTGACCTGCTTTTGGGCTTCTGGTCATCTATAGGTCGGGCAACCTCAATCTGTGCCTTGAGACATCCGTATAAGTGACCCGATGGAAAGCAGATACGTTGGCCTCCTAGGTCTTAGGGTACAACAGTAATTAACCTAAGAAGCCTGGTCTCAATACCATAAAGCTGATATCGTCTTTACTCTTCTTGCAACTCGGGGTAGTATCGGTAGATGCCTTCTGAGTAGGCATGATGCCTATTGCTCTCAAGATATTTGCTGATATTGGGTCTCTCCTTGACGGCTTCGTATACTTTGAAAACACCCTCGTAGTCACCAGACTTTTCCAACTTCTCGACAGATTTTGGGAAAGCAAACTTGGTACCATCGATAGCCTGTAACGAGATTAGAAATTTCAGTATGGAGTCCACCGCGTCGAAATACTCACCTGGAACAATACGAGGTCTGCGTAAGTAAGACTATCGCCGTACAACCATGGTCCTTCCCCACTGGTCTTGGCATCAAGCAGTCGCTGCATGTACTTGAAGTATTTGGGAAGACGCTCCTTGATAAAGTAGCTAGATCTTTTCTTGGCTTCCTCCTTTTGTTCGTCGTAGTACTGGCTAATGGCGATGGGATGGTGAGTATCGTGGAGTTCATTCACGAGACCATCCATTATGGTCAAAGCAATCTGGTTGAGGTGGTACAGCCCATTGCCCTCCTTGGGCGCCAACCCGAGTTTGGGTGCAACGTAGAGAAGAACGTTGGTGGTTTGAGAGATGAGTAGATCGCCGTGCCTGAGTGCCGGCGGAGCTAGAGCAGGCGGGTTAAGATCATCACCTATGTTGTCGGTGGCAGTGAGTTTCTTGATGGCTTCAAAGCCCTTTTCCGTATCTTGTGCAACGTCTGAGTACGGAACACCGGCTTCTTCGAAGACGAGACGGATGAATTCGCCGCGACCGGGGATGCCGGGCCAGTAGATGAGCTCGTAGGGAGCTTCATCATCGGTCTTGACGCGCTTCGGATCAGGTTGAGACATTGCGGGTGCTATTGAAATCCTTTCGATTGAGGAGTAATGAAAAGTGATGGTTCATTGAGGGGCTTCTTAATCGATGTGATATAAAGTCACTTCACCTCACATCATTCTGATGCGGAGGAGTGGGGTCGATCCTTCCTCCCCAAGACCCGCCTCTTACCTCAACATTGTTCATGACGATGGTCTAAGATACTGGCCTTTTTAATTGCCTTTTGGCTGAGTGTATTCATGATTTCGGGTCATTCCGCATTTCGAAACCCCCAACTCCCTCCTTTCCGTTTTCAGTCAAAACATGCTGTTAACTGTTGTTGGTTGTCTACTAACTAGACTGCCTTTCGGAGTTTGGAACCGGACGGCACGGCACGGGGTGGGGGCAGTCCTACGGCAATGTACATATACAACAAAAATCACATTTGGAGAACCACGTTCAATCAAGGAACTGCATGTATAGACAAGATAACAAAATGCTCTGGGCATATGTATCTTGGATTGCTATGGGATTGACTGCTGCCATCACAAGGGACGAAATTTATAAGTCGGTCCATCGCATTGGATGAGTTCTTAGGCCATCGTTTCTCATATTATCTTGAAGCACAGAGCTCAAGGTTTCCAGATTAGTTCGTCACTGCAGGAAACATCATCATATCGTGGATACACCCTATCTATGAGGCTGATAGATAGATCCAGGATCATAGAGCTGAATCCTTTGCTGGTCACGTTGGAGGTCTCAACCATGTTATCTGATTGGGCCGCATCTCCCCAGACACGTTAATCGGCAAGCCAACATCACAGATATCGCAAGTTCCTTCACGTGAAAGCAGATAGTAGACCTCTTTAGGACAAAGCTGCATAGTTCTTTGCTTAGGAATCTCCTTCTCGGCGGTGTACTCGGGTTTTCTTCTTAGTGACAAGATTCCGCAGTCAGACAGAAGCGGTGACAGTGTTGCATTTTATTTCTTTTGCTTGAGCAAGAGACAATATACTCTATACTCGAAAACTTGCAACTCGAAACAGTCGGGGAATTCTTTCGGGGTTCAAGGGTCTATCTCGCCTTGGAAAATCCGCAGGTGCTGGGTCAACGGTGCTTGCTTTGTGGATCGCCTAGGTACGGTTCATTTGTGCCGAAATTGATGAGGATCTGGGAAGCGGATCACCACTCTCTTCGCCGGCACTCTTCCAGATGGAGTATTTCCCCGGTATTTGGCGACGATAGTACGTATCTAATCAAATAGCTAGCTGTGCGCTGTGACGGAAACTTGTATAATGAATTGGGAGCTGAGCTGATAGTTAATATTAGTGCTTCGAAGCAGTGCCGGTATATCCGCTTTAGGTATATATGTTTTATATTGAGATCAGCCGCAATGTGTTAGACCAGAAGATCTCTTCTAGTACGTACTGGGGCATTGACTTACATGTCTGTATTTGGATCTTCAATATTCGGGTTGTGGGCAAATGATCAGAATGTCACTTTCATACGGTAGGGTTAGTAGGTTGTTTTAGGTCAGGTGTAGACGTTTTCCATTGAAACTCTATCTCGAGATTTAATGCATTTTCGGAACCAGCTTCTAGATTAAGTTAGAGCCGTAATTGTTTGTGATGAATTACGAAACGATGTCATCCCGAAATGTCAATTACAAACATGTGAGCTTGGCCATGTTTGATATCTTGCTTATTAGCAGACACACTGTCAGGTTGTCACCTGAAACTATCGATGGAATGTAATGATTTTTACGAAATCTGTGTATATACGAAATGCAGGGAACTTCCATTTCAGTCTGTATATCCGATCGATGTAGGTGGTCGAGGTCAACTGGTTATTGGCTGATGAATGGGCCTTGTAACGGTTTGGGTCCGAGCGAATTATTAGACGGTCGCTAATGTCTCTCCGTCACGTTTTTTTTTTCTCTTACCCCTGACAGCTGCACCCTTGACGGCGGGCAAAGTGCTGTAAGTTGGGTACAGTACGTACTGAAATGTCATGCAGTGGCGTCAACCTCATCCTTGAACCTCCCTCTTTCATGTGCCCACCTGCCTATTGTGTATATTTATACTGTAAGAGTGAATCCATGGCGTTGAATAGTTTTCAGGATGAGTTGTTTTTCAGGTAAACATGTGACGAAATGAAATGAATGAAGAAAAGGATTGGGAAATAGAGATAGGAAGAGGGGTACTGATCAACAGTTTGGATCGTCAAAAAACCATCCAAGAAAAGACAAGAATTTTTTCCCATGTTAATTAATAGCTCTGTTAAGATGTGACAGCTGTCAAGTCGACATCCAATAATGTCTCTTAACTATTTCTGTCGGTCCGTTTTTACTAAACAGCTTTTGTGAGATGACAGTCGTTTCTGGTCTCTTGTTGGTTACAGGCCCCGGCTCTGCGCCATGAGCATCCGCCTTTGATCGATCAATGATAATCGAAGTACCCTAGGGCTGCAACCTCGGCTCCTCTGCGGGGCCCAGCAGGTCAACTTGGCCTCTAGCATATCGTTAAAGCTCCGCCCGGAAGCTAGACCTCGTCAGTAAAGTACGTCCGGTAGAGTCATCAAGTCCTTGTCCATGTCAGAAATCAGTGGGTTTGCCCCCCCCCGACAAGGCACTCTCCCGTACTCCCGGGCCCCCAATCAATCCTCGCCTGCAACTGCTAGAAGAAAATCCCTTTCGTTCTAGACTAGGGGGTACCCTTGTACCACATTCGATGGGCGGCCTTCCTCAACCTTTCAGCGCTTCCACATCCCCGTGTAAGCCATCACCCAGGAACCCGCCGTCACGCGATGTGGTAATAATGCAACTTAGACTAAGAAGCAGGGTTCTGTTACGGCTAAGTTCTTTTCAATCTTCAACTTGCCTCTTACGGCTTCATTTGCGTGGAGGCGGGTCAAGGCTTGAAGCCAACCACGGGGAGACCAAGAGAGAACCACTCTTTTCATGCAATGCAGACAAGAGATACATACATACTTATAATGATGATCCTCCTGTTTCTCACCCACCTTTGCTTGCGGGTCTCTCTCTGTTTCTTGATCTTTGACAGTTGAGTTACCTCAGCCATATACAGCAGCAGTCGTAGTAAGTAAACGCCACTACCTGCTGAACAAACGACATCATGCGTAATCCACCTCCGGAGGTCATGGCTACATGGCCAAAGCCAAACCATGTCAACCCAGAGCATCGTGGACCTGCACTGCTCATAGTCGAGATCAGCATCATGTCTGTCGCCATCCTCACCCTCATGGCCCGTCTCTACGTCCGAATATTCAAAGTCAACAAACATGGCCTAGACGACTGGCTTATGCTGGCCGCCATGGTAAGGCATCTCCTGCCTCGGCTTCATGTGCCAACGTCGATCACAATGCTGACGGATTCTAGATTTTCGGCATTGGAGTCACTATCTGCGTGATTCTCGCAGCCCAGCTGTACGGCTGGAACATCCACGTTTGGGATCTCACAAAGGAGCAGGCCGAAACAGGCCGAAAGGTCTCGCTTGCTGCCCAGACACTATTCCTGTTTTCGTCAGGATTGGCAAAGAACTCGATTCTTGTTTCCTATCTGCGTATTGCCCCTGCTCACTCATGGCTTCGGCGTTTGACCTATGTCTCAATTGTTATTGTCACCACACTTATCTTTGCCTTTCTGATCGTACTATGGACGCAATGCACGTAAGTTGACACACATGCGCATTCGTATAGCCTCTAGACTCTTGTACTAATCTGATATAGACCTACCTCTGCCTACTGGGCCTTGACAGGAGGTGACAGTTGCCATCCGGAAGGTCCCGGTGTACTGTAAGTATACCAGCGTTATTTTTTCGGACTTGACTAATGAATTCATGTATAGGAGTCAAGCAATCACAACAGTTCTGACCGATCTTCTCGTCTGCGCTCTGCCCTTGCAGACACTATTTCAACTCAAACTCCCTCTGTCACAACGCATCGCCCTCATCGTCGTCTTCTCGCTAGGTCTGGTTGTTGTCTTTGCGGCCTCCATGCGCGCATATTACACTCATTGGGTCACCGACGAAACGTACGATGTTACCTGGGAGGGGTTTCACCTTTGGATCTGGACCGCTGTCGAAGCGAATCTGGGAGTCATCTGTGGAAGCGTTCCGGCCCTCCGACCCTTGTTCAGAAACATGTTTCGATCAAAGTCCAGCAGTTACTATAACAACACCCAGTCGAACGTTTATCCCCCTGGCACCGCCCCTGGGGTTGTCACCGTTATCACCAGCCCCAAGAAAAATTCTCGAAATTGGAGCAACAGTCTGCAAAGAGGATCGAAAGGAGTGAGGTTGGAAGATGATGACATCGATGTTGAGGGAGGCTATAACAATGCGCCACGACAGAAGAGCACGGATAGCGGACTGTCGTCCCTCGAGATGGACACATGGCCTCAAAGACCACAGCCTAAGTCTTGGCCTTTAAATTGACGAGGCAATGAATTTTGGTATGGGTTGGCGTTAATGGTACTCGGGCGAGAGTTGATCACGGTTTCAAAAAAGAATATTACGAGTTACGATCTCTACAAAAAGAGAAGATATTTGCATAGAATAATGCTTTGTTAGCATGATAATGACATGATATAAACAACTCAATCATCCCATTTTCGTATTGTAACAGAAAATTATTTTATATTGCAAGAAATGACTTATATATGTCCTGGTATGTAAATCGCCCAACATAGCTTATTTCGAGGACGAGTCATTTTACTCGTGAATGTTGTGAGACATTGAAAAGTGACAGATCGGGACACAGACTCAAATGTGATAGAGCTGTGGCCAATCTTTTAGAGTTGACATGTTCGTGTTGTTTGATTCCTTCGAGGTGGACCATTCAGCCGGAACACGCTAGGACGAAGGAAGGATGAGGTTCCCGCTCTGCCGCATCCATCGTTGTTAATCACTCGGACGCTACTCTGCCAGCCAGCGCCTTGTTAGTCTTGTTCGAGAGGGTTGTCATTCAAATACTGCGGCGAACCAAAGGGTGTGTCGTGTTTTGGTCGTAAAAGGTAACACCAGTGATAAATGTCCGGATCATTAGGTGATAGTTTTGGGGTGAGAATTTTGGCGAGCACTTCAACGTCGAACGGTAAATCATCAAGGTTGAACCGGTACTCCGAGAAGCTTAATGACACCCAAATACCACCATCTGCAAGACAACCTCTAACACCAGCAACCATGCGGCGCAGTGCCGTTACGCCGCCACAGCAGATGGCGTCGACGGTACTTTTATCAACGACAAGATCAAACTTTTCGTTCAGGTTCAGCTGAGTGGCGTCTTGAACATCGTAACGCATTTGAACATCTCCAAAAGCCTTCTTTTCGAGATCGCGACCTCGATTAATGGCGAGTGGTTCGTAGTCGACGTTCAAAACATGACGGAAACCCCGGGCGCGGAAGTGATTCTGAAGGTCGCTTGTACCGAAGCCGATGTGGAGGATACGGGCCGTGTCCGGATCAAGCCGGTCAAGAGCGGGCTCGATTATTGAAGTGAACTCGGCTGACGGGAGGAGCCATTCAAAGGCCTCTTCGGACGCGAAGCGCTTGTGCCAGTAACTCTGCTTTTCGAAATCAGCCGCCATGATGGTATCAAGAGCGCTGTGTGTCGTATGAAAGGTTGGCGAGGAAGGGATGGGTGGGATCTGTGGTGCGGAAGCCATCGTCCTTTAATACGGCGTGTTCTATTTTTTTAGTGTCTGCTAAGGTACTGTATCATGGCATGAGAACGCGATTTTTTGCGCAAATCCTGGTTGTTGGTTTGGTATCTGGGCCCACAGAACTGGGATAGTTGACGATGATGAATGGGGCGGTCTGAAGGAGGATTCTGTGGTTTCGTCATGTTTCTCTGCTGCTGTGATAAGTGTAGACGAGAGGTAAGTTGTGAAGCAAAGGGCAGACAAATGCCCGCGTATTCAGCTCTTGCCATGATAATCATTGTTGGCCACAATAGAGCATCTGTAGAATTCTGAGCGGGCTGAATAGCAAGGCCATCGTTTGGTGAGCTGTCCGTGCGAGTGCCCGTTTACCTGAGGAGTGTTGAGTAAAAGGAGTGCAGGTTGTTTGTGTATGACAAGGCCAACCACGAACAAACAACTTGATGTGATAAAATGTGCCTGATGCTCAGGAACAATATCACCAAATTGAGCGACATATTGTTAGCCTGAAGGGTCCAGCCTTATCTCGCTAGTGGGAATAAAAGGCAGAGCAACTGCCGGTTTTCGTTCAAAAATATTCCAATCATTAACAAGGTTTTTATGCGCCAGCTTTAATCGATTCTGATCATCCTCCTTCGAGCCAAAGCTGGTGAGCGTTGAAGAAGGCAATGACGTAGGCGCTAAGTTTTAATGGTGATTTACAGGGGAAAGCGGCCCCAGTTAGAAGGTAACAGAAAACTGGTCTGCCGAGTCGTGAGCAAAAGAAATAACCGGAACAGATACGCGTGCTCTTGAGTGGGAGCCGCATCATTTAATATGTCATCCGTTTGACCTTAATAAATTCTTTTGGCCGTACCAACCCCGTCCCTATTAATAACACCCAATAAAGTCTCACCCAGCCACATTCTATAGCGAGGCGCTGGTCGTTGTTTCAGCTCCGCCTCGGAATGCCGCGTCAACTTCAAGGAATTGGACTTGAGCCAAGACAATTCTAGAGGAGGCTGCTTACGAGGCGTCTAAAAATGCCAATGCCGTGGACAATGGAAGATCAAGATTTTTAAATAAACAAATACCAAGATTCACACTTTTCAACCCAACACCCTCGTTCTCTCTTCTTTTTCGCATAATCGTACCTCAAGTCACTTCTTTCCTTTGTTGGCTTGGTAACCCTGATAAACAGCCACTTCTACAACACCCAGTCAGGCTCTGAACGATAAACCTAATTCGAGAGCAAAACAACACATCATGGCGCCTGCTCTACACTCAGATACGTACGGCGCTGCTGTCGAATACGCAGCCAAAAGAAGCATCAATGATTTAACAACACGCGATCTCCAGAATCCAAACCACACACAGCAAGTCACTTTGGGCATCATTGGTGTTTATGTCGTTGTTATTGCTATTCTATGGAACGTTCCTTATGTCCGCATGGTCCTCTGGCCATTCAAGGTATGCCAGACGAAAAGAAAAGGAATGTACTAGGTACTGACTGTTTGTAGATGTTGGTCATTGCCTTCCACGAGTTTGGCCACGCCATCACCGTTCTTCTCACTGGAGGCCGCGTCAAGTCTATCAGTCTTGATCCCAACGAAGGCGGCGTAACTCACCACATTGGTGGCGCAAACGCTATTGTTCTACCAGCTGGCTATCTAGGCTCCTCCATCATCGGCGCCCTGCTCATCTTTTGCGGCTTCAACATCGTCGCCAGCAAAGTAGCCAGCATTGTTCTTGGCGTCTGTTTCCTCCTGACTCTCTGGTGGGGAAAGCGTGATTGGCTCACCATCCTCACTGTTCTCTTGGCTGTCGGACTCCTCGTCGCTTGCTGGTTCATCAAGCATGCCGAGGCGCTACGTTTTGTCGTTCTCTTCATTGGCGTTATGTCTTCGCTCTACAGCATTTGGGACATCTGCGATGATCTAATCTTTCGGAAAGTCAATGAGTCTGACGCCAGTGTGTTTGCAAAGCGATATGGTGGCTCCTCTCAGTGCTGGGGTGTCATCTGGTCTATTATCTCGATTCTTTTCATGGCTGCCAGTATTGTCGCTGGGTTGGCAGTATTTACGCAGTCATTTGAGCAACAAGAGAAGGACTCGCAAAAGTTCATTCCTACCTAGGTTGATCATTCTTGTTTAGGAGGACGACGGGGCTATTTTGTTTGTTGATTTCGTATACCCATCAAAGCGCGTGGAACGGGCAGGAGATTTGTCGTTTGTACATATGAATAATAACGCCCCGTCATGACACTGGGAGCGGTTAGGAGGATAGGGTGTTTGTGTTTGACAGGTCATCAGCGGACTGTCTATATTTGATGCTCTAAGAAAATATCATCCTAGGAGGGTTGCAAGGCTGACTACCAAGCTCTAAAACAATAACAAACAACCCAATATGGAAAACATTTGACCAAACAGTGACCCGGAGGAGGACAACCGAGCCGCGTTTGCAGACAGCCGGTCCTTTCGTCCCTGATGTAGGCCAAAAAAACGTCTTGTGCTACCAATGTGACAAGTTCCAAGTTAAACACTAGCCTCCTGAAACAAAAACGACAAAGACAAATTGGCAAACATCATATATACCGCCATTTCTAGTACTATAAGAACAGAACGAATAGTCCATGGAAGCTTTCATTATTCTTTCCACTTTGCTCAAGATCAGCTTCGCTGTTTGGTACTCCTGACCTTACCTCACCTTCAATTAGACAGCATGGCTCACATCAAAACCTGCGGTTCAGTGTCAATCGGTCGCCCAAACCCACAAGAAGACTTCACACACGAACCTGCAGTCATAAGTCTTGCCGGAGAGTATTACTTATTCGGTGGTCCCAAAAGAAGCTATGGGTAAGTATACAACCGCGAACACCTTGACTCATAGCTGATCTTTGTCTACTAGACGGGTGCATGAGGATGCCTCCAATCCCACGACCATCGACTTTGATCATGAGTATGGAGGCAGAAGCTCTGAGTACCTTATCCTTGGCCCAAACAAGCGATTCTTTCGATGTTCTCGTTCGTGGACGGGAAGAATTGCCGCTAGGAGTAAGTTTTGCAGTGTACATATGCTTATAAGATACTGACAGAGGTCACAGACACTGGTGACTTCGAGGACTATGAAGAAATTGCCGACCTCTTCCATATCCATGATGTTGAACGCCCGCAATTCCTCTATCTTGGTCCCAACAAGACTTTCTACACTCGCGTAGTAGACGGCACCGAGAAATGGAATCTATCTCCCGAGATCATCTGTAACGGTCTTCAGGTCACTCCTCAAGCGACAGTATCTGGAGTGAAGAGCCTGTGGCTCGGTGTCGGCGACGCATGGGTTGCCCAATACGGAGACGATCGCTTCCGTTTTGACCTCAAGGGCCAGTATGTGAGCCTTGAAGCCACCTTACGAAGAAAGCAGGAGGATGAAGTCGTCATCGCTGCATTGGCTTTGAATGTCACTGATGGAAACTCATATGCGTGTGTCTTTGAGGATGGGTCTGTAATTTACGAGGCTGGGCCAGCCGCGTTTGATGGCAAGGAATTTGAACGTTGGTGCGAGAACAACTTCGACTTCCCTCAGAAGGTCAATTCCTATTGATATTTTGGAGATTGGTCGTAGTTTCGAATCACTGACTGGGAGAAAAAAGCAGGCGACAAAGTTAGTCTAGATTTCCTCCATGTCGTATTATCGAGGCGCTCATGTACAGTAACATTGCGATATGGTACAGGATATGAGTGTAGCGATCTATGGATATTCCAATGGATCGATACAACTTTGGCGCTGATGCTGTCAGCAATAAAGTCTTTCTCCATCACCTAGGTTCCGCCAAGTAGTAAGCGCATAGAGCCAAGCTTACAAGTCCAACCTCAAGATAAGAGTTTAAACCAATTCTTCGGGATTGATGATATCACTTTCCTCAGCGCTACTGTCTTACCACAGGCTAAGATTACGCCCAGACATCATGCAGTAAGCTGATGGGCATGGCACAAGAAAGATTGATGATCAAATTCACCAGTATATAACAAGATCACTCCGAATCGAGATGAACATTGAGATATATGCTCCTATAATAAACCAACCTAAGAATAATGGCCTCTATCAAGACTCTATTCCAGCTTACTTCCCAACCAACATGGTTCGAGAACATCGCTATAAAGTCCGGCGGAACTATTGTGACAACTCGTCTTGATGTCCCTGAAGTTTGGGCTGTTGATCCAGAGACATCCTCTGTAATCCGAGTTTTGCGTATCCCTTTCCCTGACGAGATCACCAATCAAGCACTCACTGGTATCTGCTCCCTCAAACCCGATGTCTTTGCCGTCGGTGCGGGCTCCTTCGACTTGCTCGGGGGCGCGATATCTAAGCCTGGGTCGTGGAGTATCTGGTTTGTAGACCTCACGACAGAACAGCCCAAGGTGACAAAGGTTGCAGATATGCCTGCGATTGGCATGATCAACGGCATCGCGGCATGGGATGAGAATAATGTCCTAGTCACAGACTGTCTCAACGGCAAAGTATACAAGCTTGATGTTGAGACGGGATCATACAGTGTTGCGTTGGAAGACAAGACCATGACGATCCCAGTCGATGCTCCCTTCCAAGTCGGCATCAACGGGATCAAGGTTCATCGAACTTCAGAGCAAACTTACATCTACTACACAACCACATCCCGCTTTTCCGTATATCGCGTACCCGTCACGCAACAATTGCAGGCCGCAGGTCCTGTGGAGACACTGGCGTCAGGGGTTGTTGGCGACGATTTTGCTGTGACCCGCGACGGAACCGTTTGCTTGTGCACCAACATATCCAACACAGTTGTACAAATCCCGGCGGCTGGCGGAGCGACAGGAAAGGTAGCCGGTGATGAAAAGACCCTAGACCTTGCGGGCGCAACAGCGTGTGTGTTGAGTGAGGACGAGAAAGTGCTGTACGTTGCTACATCGGGAGCCAATGTGATGCCCGTGGATGGGCAGACAGAGCCAGCAAAGATCGTACAGGTCAACCTGCACTAGTATTCTGTTTGGTGATTTTTTTTTTGCAAGTAGACAACAAGGCCAAGATATTGATGTGCCTCTGGATAAAAATTCTCATCTGAGTAATAGTAGCCCTGAAGTGAGCCAATCTATCTTGTTCCCATGCCTAACGACGAAAATGCCCCAACGCCAGGTTCTTCCCATTATCAAATCGACAAAGTCTTGTTTCCGTAATGTAAACATTAATGGCCAGAGCCCCTTGGTACCTAGTACATCCGTGGGCGACTCTACCATCGCCCACGGCGTCCACGGCCTCCAAACCCGCCTCGGCCACCACCTCCCGACATATTTTGATCGTATCCAAAACCGCCTTGGTTGCCACCAAAACCGCCACTAAAATTGCCCCCTTGACCGCCCTGTGCGCCTTGACCGCCGGCTCCTCCAGCGTTTTGCATGCCGGAGAACATGGCGTTCATCTGACTGGGGTCCATTTGGCTTGGATCCATACCCGAGGCCATCATCTGCTGCATCATAGCCTGCATCTCGGGAGGCATACCATCCATGCCGCCAGACATACCGGCTTGCTGGCCTCCAGAGTTACCGCCGCCTGGCATACCCATGCCGCCCATCATCATCATGTTGAAGTCTTCCATCATCTTCTTGTTGTTCTGTGCGAAGACGTCGGCTCCGAACTCGCCTCTAACAGTCTCTTGCTTGGAGGCGTAGAGTGCCCATGTGAATTCGTCGAAGCCGTAATTGAAGTAGTCACTGATATCTGTACCGGGTTTTCGCCATGGCTTGTCACTGTCTGGAAGGTCTTGATATGGTCGTGTTAGTCTTCGATCGCAAGTGCTCGGTCAAGGTCTACTGACCTTCATCAATGTTGACTTGGGTGATAGGTTTCCCTGTACCAGGATGAATAGGGTTCACGTTCACGTCGATCGTCGATTTCGAAGCCGCAGCCGAAGTCTTGTCGGCGCTTGGTGCAGCTACGTTGAGTGAAGCCCGCGATTCTGATTCCTTCCTAACTGGTGCTGGCTGTGCAGGCATATCATTTGAAGCTGTTCTTTGAGGAATATTTCGGATGTCGCTATATTTAGACTGTCTAGCGGAGAAAAGACTCGTTAGCACTCTGTGGTTCATCAACGAATTCAGGAATCGCGTACTGCGGAGGAGCTGGTTTCGTGCCGTCTTTGCGCTCTGTGATAATATCGATATCCTACAATTTGGTGTCAGTTGGCATGGTCGAGTCATGTCGCGGACTTCTTACAGAGTCATCATCGTCGTCGTCATCTTCGTCCATGGCCGCGCCCTCATCCTCTTCTTCGCCTTCCTCTAAGTCGTCTGCTTTGGGCTTGTTATCCTCGACAGGTGCGCTCTCGAGCTTAGGCTCTTCGGGCTGGTAGAGATCATCATCCTCGTCGATATCCATGCTGGCGATTGTGATGAATAGTAATTGGGTCGCGTGGAATTTGAATTGAGCTTGAAATTGTAATTATTGAAAATTGGATGTGATGTACAAAGACGTCAAGCTCAAGCTCTAACAATCCAATTGCTTATTCGGCGCCGACATTTCTCCGGACAGCTGATGTACGGAGTAGACTCTGTGCTGTAGCTGCTCAGCGACGCTCACCGAGACTGACCGATAGCCTAATTGGCCCAAGCGCAAAGTTTCTCCAACTTGGAGACTTTTTAATCGTGTCGCGCCGTGTCAAAACACGGTCAAGCTGCAGGAATTTGACTTTAAAGCCACTGTCGCATTCCATCCAAGTGCTGTAATTTTTTGCCCTGAGTATGTCATTGACCCGATCAGCAAGCGGCCCTGCTGGTGGTTTAAGCATCAACACCGGTGCTGCTAACGCCTTGTAAGCTCCACACCCGACTCTAACAAAACAATCAATCATTCATCACCAATAATACCCACTCAACTTTCTGCTTTGCTTTCTTCGGCGCGAGCTTTGTCAACCTACCTACCTCGTCGAAATCCTCCCTCTTGCTAACCGGCGCATCATCAACAGTGGCAATACCGCCTCTAAGCCATCAGCTGCTGGAAGTCTCTTTGGTTCATCTACCTCTGCCACTCCTACCACCACTACTACCACAACAGCGCAACCAGCAACAGGTAACATGTCTCTCTTCGGCGGCGCCGCGCAAAAGACTGGTCTTTTTGGTCAATCGACAACACAAAGTGCACCTGCGCCTGCGACTGGTGGTCTCTTCGGAAATGCTGGCGCAACAAACACCCAGCCGACACAGAGTACTGGCACTGGACTCTTTGGCAACACAGCCGCGAATAACACCCAAGGTCAGCAACCAACCGGCGCGCTGATACAAGGAGCTCACTGGGGAATAGGAAACACTCAACCGACGACCGGTACTGGACTCTTTGGTCAATCAACTCAGCAAAACCAGACTCAGCAGCAACCTCAACAAACAGGCACAGGTCTCTTTGGGCAATCCGCAGCGACAAACACCCAAACCAACACAGGAACTGGTCTTTTCGGTCAAGCTCAAGCAAAGCCCGCTACCACGGGAACTGGTCTCTTGTAAAACACCCAAATTCTTTGTGTTGACGCCGCTAACTTTCTACAGTGGCCAAGCTCAGCCTCAACCACAACAGCAGAACAACACATTAGGCCAATCCACGAACCAAGTCTCAGCTGTTCAGATCAACTACGACAGTATCCGCCCACGCAGTCGATTCGATGATCTTGCTAAGCCCGTACAAGATGAAATTGCGCTTCTAGACAAGGGTATCCAACGAGTTATCAAGATGCGAGACGAGATTGGTGAATTCATGCCTCAGCACGAGAAAGACATCGATCAGCTTGGTCTCGACGTTAAGTTTGTCGAGTCCAAGTTCCGTACCGTTCAAGTCGCTCTCAACAACGATATCCAGACTGTCAAGGCCCTTCAGGATCAAACCCGAAAGAACGCCGCCGACGCTCGACTATGCTTCCGAGGTGCCGATAACCTCAAGCTCCCTACGCACTACCACCAGACTGGTCTCTTCGCTAGCCAAGCGCCTGCCGCCGATACTAACGGCTCCGGTGCTGCGTCAACACATGCCGATGCCCAGGATCTGATCACCTACTTTAACCGCATCTGCGACGATATCGAAAAATACAAGGCACGTCTTGATGAGTACCGTGGAGATATTGAGAGAGATATGCCTGGAGTTGAGAACGGTCTTTACGAACAGATTCGGGCTCTGCGCGATCGTAGCGCTGGCAGCGTAGTTGTGCAGGATCAGCTAAACGAGGTGTTATTGGCGCTAAGAGACACAGGAAGTGCCATTGTTGCGCAGGCTGGACAGATTGCTGATACCCGAGAACGGTTGTCACGTCTTCAGGCTGGCATCGTGGATAGTGGAGTTTATGCCATGGGTATGAATGCTTAGATTACTAAGGCATGATTGGCAAAGAGAGGGCAAGTCAGGGACGTCAAATGGCTATATCAGCATGTTGGACATCACGAGAGTCCGTTCTTGTGTAGGGGACAGGTTTTCATAGAGGCATAACTTGGATGGATCAGGGAGGTTCTGGTGTTGACAATTGTAGCAGGAGACTTTAGTGAGGTTTACTTCACGACATATATGAATACCACTCGGAAAACCAGCAACACCATTGAAGGTTGGAGAAGTAAGAGCAGGGATACTTTTTATCATAATAAGCACAAAACACAGCACAATATTGTGGCCATTGGCCGTTAATTAGGCTCCATCGCAGTCAAGGATTTGTGCACTGAGATTTGCCAAATATCCTATAAAGTTCATTATCTTGCCTCGCGACCACAAGATCGCGGGCTTGGGTATCAAAGCAGTGCTGAGCCGTGATGTATATACAAGTAATCGCTGTTTCCCTTCTAACTCCCTTTTTTGATAGTCCTTGGGGTTTCTCGACAAACTAATACTAGAAGGTCCCTTCTCCGTCGCCATCATCTCCGTAATCATCGCCGAATTCATCGCCATTCTCAAAGTAGTTTTCGGCATCGTAGTCTCCCGCGTCTTCATCATCGTAAACTTCATCCTGCTCTTCCTCTTCGCCCTCCTCGTCTTCAAGGTCGCCCGCCTCGTCGCCATCTTCATCCTTAAGAGCCTGCAGACGTTCAAGGAGGTTTCGGCCCTGCATCTCATCTTCAACATCACCTGCCATTCCAAAAGCTTCCTCTGCACTCGGCAGCGCGTTAACACTCGAGAGCTCAAGCTTTCGGCGCTTGTAGCCGCCGGGCACGTCGGCGCTCTTGTTGGCTGCAGCATCGATGGTATCGTATAGTTCACGGGGGAAAAGCTCGCGGCAAACTGGGCGATTGGACCAATCCGGAAGAGCGCGCTCCTCGCGGGCGAACTTGTGAGAGTAGGTGGGTACAGCAGTGAAGGGATCTACGGAAGCCTTGCTCTTAGTTCCAAAGACAGCATTCTTCTGTGCCTGCCCATAGTGTTTCCTAGGTGCTGTCGGATCGTTGAGAGCTGTACGTTTGGATGTGTATAGAGGAGAAGCATGGATCTGGTGCCTTAGAAGTAGGAGATGTTGTACGGCGGATTTCTCGTGTGAGGATAGCTCTCGGGGGGTTGGGACGAGGTATGGCTGTTTGCTGTGTTAGCGATGTGTCAAACTCCAAGCTGTGAGGTCTTGGGCTCTGATATAGAGCACAAAGATACGGGACAAGAACATACGGGGAACAACTCAGAGGGTCGCGCATCAGGCTCATCACCTGTATCCCACGGCACATTGGGTCTTCCACCTCTTCCGCCGCCGCGTCCACCACGGCCACCACCTCGACCTCCTCGAGACATTGAGATGCGCCCTCTGACCGGGAGTATTCCCGATCGGTTATTAATGAACTGGAGTGTAGGTTGAAGGTTGGGTTAAGCCTGATTGCAGTTGTAGAATAAATGTCACTATTCGCGATCGAGGTTTGACACAGAATGATTTTTTGCGGGGTGTAGTTTAGATTCTAAATGCGCCTACGAGAAAAAAGGACCTGGCGGAATTGGCTCCGTCATGACGATGCCCCGCTAACCAGGCACTTTCTCTCTTAGACGGGACAGCTTCAAAGACTGCATGAGATACTGAGGGAGGTTTATTGATGATATACACAAACATGATGTCAATCGACAAAATAAATTTATATGTACGAATAGTTAGATAGTGTAGTGTACTTGGCGTGAGTCCTTCTTTTTCGTTTGCTTGAATCAATTATGCATCTTCTATAACCTGTGAACTTCAGGCTTCTTCCACTACGTACCCCTCCATAACTTGCAGCTTACATCCACCATCTATCTACAACTCATACACTGGACTAGTACTGACAATCAATCAACCCTCTTTATCTCTTTTGATTTATTAGATACTGCTCGTATTATAATCAAAATGTCCGGTCGAGTTGTGCCTCAGCAAGGCGAGAATGCTCCTGTCAGTGGACTGGCAGAATTGCACGTCCATCTCGTCGAGCTTCATCAACCTGGTAACGAACAAGCATCGCTAAACCACAAGCTCTTCGACGATGTCGAGCTTCAACTCACACGCAAGTTACACTCACTTTAACTATTTAATAGAGATGCTGACCTTAATAGCTTCGAACATCCCCATCATCCAGCCAACTCTTCTTCCTCCGTTGATGTCTCTTCTCAAAACCACAACCCAAGATCCGACCGTGGTTTTCTCCCTCACCACCAAACTTCTATCACCTCTCTCATTCACGCAATGCCTCTCTCTGGGCGGCGCCGAATCCCTTATCGAGGCTCTCAAGTCGCCCCTTGCAGGCGCGAACCTCCTCGCTCTCAACATCATCCAGAAAGCCGCCAGCAATCCCAGAGAAGTCGACGCTCTAGCTGCTCAGCCTGAAGTTGTCGAGGAGCTACTTCGCACATGGTTGAGTTCCCCAGATGCGGATGTCGGAGGGCGCTCTACGAGAGTCTTGGGCAGTCTTCTCGAGACAGATTGTGATGTTATGCCTGAGACCCGGCCAGCTACGACGAACGGTGTTAACGGTACCAGCTCTTCGGAAACAGAGCTCGTGAAGCGACATATCCCGGGGCATGCTAGCCTTTGGCGCTTGGTTATTTGGGATCGACATTACCTCGATATTATTGTCTCCCTCTGCCGTCCTGCAACCATCAACCGACAGGCAACTTTTGCACAAGATCGCCTGCTGAGAGTCATTCCTCGTCTTACCGCTCTCCATCCTCGTGCCATGGCCATATCTCCATTTGCGGATCTGTTCCCTCTACCCGATTACGCTGATGAATCTATCGGACATGGAATACTACAGTGGGCAGCGCTGAACATGGTTGATACCAGTGACATTCTCATGCACCAGACTCTTATTGTCTTCTTTGAGTCGTTTGCGAGTATCATGCGGATTGCAGGCGACTCAGCCGACAAAGACGCCATTGTGCGAAATGTGGTGAAGACGGCTATTTCACGAGATCAGGAACTAAAGCAATCTTTGGAGACACTTCCCAACCGGACAGTGCAGGAGGAAGCGGAACCCTTGGCCAAGTACATCAGCCGAATACTAGAATAGGGGTCATAAATACTTGAAGCACAGAAGGATCCAAAACATTAATAAAGTTGCTTTACTGACTTGCTGCTCCAACTCTTATGTTCCTAGCCAGCGGGAGCCCACAACTCCAAGTACTGTAGTCTTTTCTGCGGGAATATCCAGATTCAGGGTGCCAAAGCGTGAGTCCTAGACGATTAAGAAACTAGCACAAGACGATGATTCGTGAAAGGCATAAACTTGTATATATTGACACATCTCAACTCAGCCCATAATACATGTCCACAGGCCACCTATCGCTCCATGCGATAACCTGGAGTATCTAAAACAGCGTCACGAACATCAACATTCTCTATGATTCCATCCAACGCCCTGATTCTCTTCACCGTCAACAACCGCGGAGGAAGTCCGTCCTATAGCATTCGCCTCGCGTCTGCCTCTCGATCGCCCATCGGTTCAGCCGTCATACGGCTAGCCACGCTGTCTTGCCGTTGTCTAACATGTGTCATTCCTGCAATACCCAGTCCCAACTCTCCAACTCGTCGCAACACTATCAAGAGCGAGGCGCGCAAGTCTGGTGTAAGATCTTTTGTCAGAAGCTCGACTGCAAGAGGATAAAAGTCGGGGATATGCTTCTTGAAAGCATCCTCAGGGAAAGTAGTGTAACCCTCCAGAACATCAACGACGACAGGGCGCCATGCGACGATATTTCGGTGCTGGCTTTCTTCTTCTAGAGTGGTATAACCGTAGACGATATCCTTGCACAGAGGTACCAGCGCAGCCTCGACATCAGGCCGGCTTGACAATCGTTCAGGTGCGTCGTCAGCAAACATGCGGAAAAGGATGGAGATGTAAGTCGCAGCTGAGCCACTCTCCTGCTTCAGGAGGTTAGGCGGCTGCTTCATGAAACCCTCACGCCATAGCCTCATACGCAGTTCCTTGTCCTCGTTGAATTTACGAGCAAACACGAACGACCGTTTAAGTAGTGACATGAGACGCAAGAGCTCCTGAGAGGGAATATGTGCGTAGACAGTGTCATTGCTGAAGAGTTCGTTGACTGTTTCAATCATCAATAGCTGCAAAACGCAACGAGAGATAATTCGGTTGAAGAATCGTCGTCGAGCTGCCGTTACTACAACGGGCTGTTGCTGGAGATTCGACGATGGTTTAAATTCTTCAAGCGTGACATGAGGGCCGTCTCCGATCGGTGTCCGAAGGTCATCATCATCAGCTGGAGGAACAACACTGTCATCATCATCCAATTGTGGGTTATTGATCTTCAAAGACTTCTCGTCAACGGGTGTAGCATCTGTTGAGCCTGCAGAGAACTCAAGACCATTGGGAGGGGGTGATATTGAGGCAGTGTTGTTGATCGCAGTTGCTGAGAAAAGCTGGTATGCAGTAGTTCGCTCAAATAATTCGCAGAAAGCGCCAACAAGCTTGTTCCAATGTTCTGGCTGGAACTTGGTAACATTCTTAAGGATCAGTTGTTGCAAGCAGTTGCTGCCGATTCGCGAAATGGTATCGTTTTCTTGACAAATGCAAAGCGCCAAGAGTTCCAAGAATCTGTCCAGCATGTACTCCAAGGCGTCGAAATAATGCGTGAAAAGCGTGATCATATTTCGCAGCGCTTGGATCATAGTGGTTGATAGCCACACTGACAACTCCTCGTGATTGAGAACGTTGCTCATCTCTGGCCGAGACCTCAAGACCATAAAGATGGGGTACAGTTGTTGACGCCATAGAATGTCCCAAAACTCGGCTGGGAAGCTACCTCCATACCTCAACAGGGTTTCGAAGAAATACTCGAGGGCATTTGATCGTACTTCCAGATCTTCACCGGTCATGAGAACGTCATGGAAAGCAAAGAGGACGGGGAACCAGTAGCCTTCCTCGACCGAAGTGTTTGATCGTGATTTTTTCTCAGAAGTTTGTGTTGCACCATCAGGGGGTGGAATGTTGTTGTACTTTTGCGACAAGGGACATTCAGGCGTCTTGAGCATAGTAGGAATCAGAGACTTGAGTAGCTCCAAAGCTGCCAGACTCTTCTTCTGGAACTTGAGGTTCTTGGAGAACTCTGTCAAGCATACAATCAAGTCAGTGAATGCGCCCTGAGAAATCACCACTCCAAACTTGGTCTTGTACACCTGGTTGACGTTTTCGTAAGCCAGGTTAACAATACTTTCGTGAGGTTCGCGGGCAGCGACTGTGAAAACACCAAACATAGTCCTCCAGCCAGATCGGATGTTATCGCCACGGGCCTGGATCATTTGTATCAGACATCGAAGAACCATGTCTTTGACAGTAACGTTATGTGTGTTCGCGAGCACATGCTCGAAAGGTTTTAGGAAGTCCTTCTGAAACTTGAAACCGGCCAATTCCTCAATCTCCATAAATCGCATTGACAGTTGGCGCAGCGAATCAAGCGCAAAGAACACAATGTTCATGTTGTTGTGACATCCAACTCGGTTGAAGTGTTCGCCAAAGACCTCCCAGATGTTGCTCCACTCAAACCTAACACGGTTCATGTTATAGTAACTGATCTCGACAATTTTCTGCAAACTGTAGGTACGAGGCATGTCGTTAGATCCAGACACCTTGATCTCGTCCCAGCTGACTTCTGTCAGTGCCCGAGCAAAGTAAACCATAGATTCACCAGTCAGGTTTGCCGTATTAGTGAAAATGCGGTCAACGCTACGAATCACATCATCGGATCGACTCTCTAGAGCAATCTCGGTAGAGAAACCCTTTGATGAAGTTCCTGCTCTAGCCCTTGCCGGCCTCTTGGATGACGAGCGGGAGTCGGTACTTTCCGACCTTTGCGGGGGTAGGAAACGGGCTTTCGATACATCAGGCACAGCACTCTCGTCAACACCGCCCGAGATAAGTTGAAGTCGGTCAAGTTGACTGATGCACATCAATACGTCTTTCCATGACTCACGGAGAACGTTACCCTCGGTCTGTCCCAACTCAAGCACGACCTTGAGAGCTTCGATGTTCTTGGCCAACATCTCTTGAGGGTTGTTAAGGTTGGTTGTGTTCTTCAAAGCCGACATGAATGCCTCCCTGGGTGTAGACATATCAAACAGACAAGCGATTTGTGTGGCCAACTTCATACCCTCAAGGCAAAGCTTGTTCACCTCGAGATTGTGAGACTTCTGGATCTGACTGGAAAGGGTGGAAAAGATCGACATCCAAGTAACGCTGAACATGGGGCTGACATGCTTGAAGGAAGTTGCAAGAATGTACTTTGTGCCAGCTTTGCGTCTTTGGCTCTTGAAGAGGTCCTTGAATAATTGTTCAGAGCGCAGAGCAATCTCCTCGGACTGTTGCATGTAGGCTTCGCGCTGTAAATCACGGCCAACGTTGGAGAGGGCCTGCCCAAGGCCAGCAGCAATGCCAGTCGATTGAGCAGGTATATTGCCAGCCGCAGCTGCCGCATCTCGTTCACTCTTGAGAACGATTTCGTGAGCTGCGATTTCATCATAGATGCCGAGAAGGTAATCATCAGGCAAATCGGCATTATCGTTAATACCACGATTGTTCTTGATGAACTCTTCCTTGCTCATGCGTTTGGCGATCTTGACACTGTGTAAGTCAGTGTTAAGTAGAATGACCGAATAAGCTAGGACGTATGCAGTGTCGGCATTGGCGAATGCATTGGGGTTTCCAAGAACATAACGCTCAGCGAATTTAAGCATAAATCGATCGATCTTTTGAGCTTCACCAGGCAGGCGGAAAGACTGAAGAAATTGGCGCAACGAGTCGACAAATCTCCGCTTGGCGAACTCCATGGTGTCGACAAATGCGTGCATAATGTCGATGTACTTCTGCTCTCCTTCACCCAAGTACTCTCCAATTTGAGCCTTGTCGAGCTTGTCCTCTCTCAACAAGAACTCGGCGATGTCCTTGGGGCTATCACTTGGAATAAAACCATCGCGTATGAGCATCTGGATACCCTTCTTCGGTTTGAAGTTGAATTGGTTAATTCCCTTCATCAAGGCCGTCTTTCTCATTTTCTCTTTCTCCAGCTGATCCGGGTCGTCTTCCAGAATAGGGGTCGATGGAGGGAGAGGAGTTTCCACACGAGAGACGCTATCGTTAATGCTAGGGTCAATCGATGGCCGAATGTCGAGAGAGCCCTTGATGTCCTGGTTTTCAGGGCGCGTGGGCTCGGCATCACCTCGTATCGGTGCCGACCAGTTGACCATGGATCGCAACGTCTCAACCAACGCTTCAATGGACAATCGTTTGATAGCATATTCCTTGGGGTAGTCGGGCTCAGAATCTTGATGGGGAGCAATGTGAGCTACTGTCAGAGGGGGCGGAAGGGTTGTCTTGAGTTGCCATTCGCTCGCAGGGGTGGTCTTTAACCGTATTTCTTCGTACACTTGCTCGTTAATTGTTGTAATAGTGAGCGGGGTTGTCGAGAACTTGGACAAATCCTCGATGATTGTTTGGTAGATATTATCGACAGTCTGATCGCAGTCATAATTAAGGTAGATTTCAACCAGGGCCTTGGGGTCGGCGCATAACCGGTTGAGGATTGTTATAAATTGAACTTTTTGCGACAGTGGCGCCGTTCTCCGTGCAAGAAGAGCCAAGTAAATTTCATTCAAGAAGACCTCAATCTCTTTCTGCCAGGAATGTTAGTAAATAAGCGTTTGCACTCCAGAAGTCGACTTACCTTGAAATCAGCACGCATGTACTTGACCATCAACCAAAAGATCTCGCTGCTCACGTTGAAAATCCGGTCAACTGAGCTAGCGCCATTACGAGTAATACTCAGACAAAGATAAAACTTGATCGCCTGCAGAAAACTCGTAGGCTCGCCGCTTTTTGAATTCTTGATCGTACAAAAGGGAGAAGTAAAAACAGCAATGTTATTGTTTAGAAGGGTGTGAATAAGGTGAAGAGAAATGAGCTTGGAGCGCATTGGCTGACCGCGGACGTCGTACAGCTGGTCGGGTGGTAGGACCTTGGTCGAAAGGTTACAGAAAGATCGAAAGACGAGGTAGGCATCCCGGATGTAAACCTCATCCTCTGCGTCCAGCACATCGCCGTCCTCTGCAGGGCCGGAATCTTGACCCGCCTGGTCGGACGCTGGCGTGCCAGTCTCCTTTCGTTCGGGCTTGAGCCTCGTGACCATGGTTGGTCCATCGCCCAGGTTCGAGTCGTCGAAGCTCTTGCGATGCTCAAGATCTTTCAATGTGAGCTTTGCGCCACTCTCGGCTGGTTCGGTCGAGGAATCTGCAGCCTCGGAGGGCTCAGCTGGCGACTCATCACGGTCGCCACTGTCGTTGGCGCCATTGGTCGATTCGGCGTGGTCAAAGGTAACGTTGCTGGAGCCATTCTTGAGATGTTCCAGGTTGAGGCGGGCCTCCTTCATGTGCAGTCTCGTCTTGACTCGCTCAAAAACAGTACCAACCATCTGGGTCAAGGTACCCTGAGCAACCTGCTGGTTGGCTGTACTCCGCGACAGCAAAAAGACATTGTATACTTGTCGCACTGCCTTGAGGAGGCCAGCACCGTGGACGACGATCTTGTCATTGAGAACGGCTGCAAGCAAAGACTTGACGATTTGAAGTTGGATCTCAACAGCAGTCGTTTCGCCTTGGAAACAGTTACAGATAGTGTCGATGGCTCGCTCGATCAGGGGAGGGACGGGCTCGGCACCCTCTTCGGTCCCTTCGGAAGGGTTACTTGGCACGGAGAAGTATGAATAGGAAATGAGCTTCCCGATACAATCGAGTGCGGTTGTAGTAAGTTGCACATTCGTAGAGCGCGATGCTAGTTGCAGAGGAGCGAAAACGATCTCGGGGTCGGGAAGCTGGTCCTGTTCTTTGATGGCATCGAGGGCCTTGGTGGTGGTCTCCTCCAGCTGCTTGTTGCGCTGCGCATCCTTGGAGGCGGCAATGGCCTCGAGTGAGGAGACTACAAATTTGAGGGAGCTCATGAGGGAGCGTAGAAAAGGCCAGTGGCCATTCGGTAGGGGAGAATAATCGAGAGGGTCGAGGTCGAAGGAGGGAGGTTGTGAGATTTACGTCGTTTCCGCAGGGCAATTAAAGAAAGGAGACGTGGATGCGGCGGGAGAGGGAGCTAGAGCTCACCTATGCGCTGTAAGTTTAAAACTCTCGGCGCTGCGCGCAGACCAAGCTTTAGACATAAAAAATAGACTCACAAATACGCTGAATATCTAAGCTGGTCACAAGCCAGCAGAAAAGAAGGAGAGAAGAAAAACAGCCCGCGTCTTAGTGATGTTGTCGTCAGCTTTCAGAAAGCTAGTATACACTATTTAGCCCAGGTACAATCAATACCAGGGATACGAAGTCGAAGTGGACAGCATTACCAGTGGAGGCCCCAGTTTCCAATAGTGAGCTCTGACTGCGGGACCCCTTAGCCCCAGATTGCCTCGTAAGCTGCCAATTAGGGGCTGAGAAGGGGAATAGTGTCCTCTGAGTGAGATACCTACCGATACCTGCCAACAGTAACATTTTACAGAAATCGAGGTTCTAATAGGGAATAAAATTGTAAATTTCATCATTCACCAGCCACAAGAGGCTCAATACTACTTACCCGATAACAAGAGACGAAATTATCGAGTCAGTTCATGGCTTTTCAGTCCAGGTCTTTAATGATTCATTTTTTGCACCCTCAAGTTTCATAGGAAACCTTCCAACATTTCAGATGCTTGTCCCCAATTAGGCACCATGTCAAACGACACAGAAACGGCTTTACGTCGATCCAAGATACTCGATCTGGCAAAGAGTCATTCGACGCTTCTTATCGCCAATGTTCATGAGATCCAGAAATTTATGTCAAGTCTAGAAGCAAAGTCGAAACCTATATCCTCATCTGGACTACCGACTTTTCTAAAAGCCTTACAGCGAGAGAACTGCGCATTATGCAAGCTCATCGAGGAATTTTCATCAGACCCAAACTATGACACTCAACAGCTCATGGTCCGAGAACGAAAGCTTGATGCCAGTGTCACATTCGCAATTCAAAGCATTGCCCAATGGAAACGACTCAAGAAAAGCCATGGCTTTGTTGCCATCAACCAATCGTTCCAAGGCTCAACAAAAGATGCACGGAGGCAAGAAATTGAGAAACGGCAGGTTTCAGGGAAAGACAAACACAACATGCATCGTCTACTAAAAGAGCAGGGCCGTGTTGAAGTCGATGTCGTTGAAGGAGGACGAGAATGGATCACCGTCAAGGCCATCTCTCGCGACCGACTTGCTCGTCAGATGAACGACTGTGGCTGGGGATGGGGTGAACATGAACTTGGTGATCAGGTTGGTCGAGATGAGTGGGAAGACACGCCGTTGGCAAAATATGTGCAGCGACTAGTGACAGCTGCGAGAATGAACCGTCACGAATATCGGTTTCCTCGAATACACCTTATTCTTGCTAGTCTAAGTCAAGGCGAAGAAGAACTGGACATTCTCCTCCATCAGCTAAAACATATCGATCCTCTTGTCGAAGTCATAATCGAAGACCAAGACAGCGATTTTGTCACTGCCCCCAGTCCACCACTCGATATAGCCATTGAGAACCTCATTGGTGATGAACTGGCATCACTTACATCCACGATCAATCTTGATCACACTATCCTCATCGACCTAATCTCGGATTTGACACATCTAGATCTTGAACCACAACCGTGGCAGTCACGGACAACGCGCGCTCAGATAAATGAAGAAAATGCGCACCAAGGTGGACTCATGGCTCGTGTGTTATATCCAGTCTTGGCAGGTCGTAAGCTCGTATGCACACGGGAGGCTGCAGATCATTTTCATGATGTTTTACGAACCGTTGGAACCGAGTCTGAGCGCGAACGCGGGAGATTGTTGATTCCCTGGAGTGGTACTGGTACACAAGAATTGTCCTCTGACCTCATTCGCGAGCGGTTTGAGAAACTCACTGTTCACCCGTTACCGTCCAATGTTCAGATTCCCGTGTCCGTCATCGACGAGCTGTGGGATATGGACGCTATATCGGCTGCTATAGCCAAAGGCGTGCTTCCCCAAGTGGCCCAAGATGTGGCGTTGAGCAGTGGCTTCAAGAGCTCCAAGCTGTCTATCTTTATGTACGGTTGGGCCGCGGAATTAACAACATTGACGAGTAATAAGGAAGTCCGAGGACAAATACGGACTTGGCTCGAGGCAAATCGTAAAAACGACGAAGAAATGGGACCCCAGATATGGCGTCTAGAAGTTACGAGGAACCTGTTGGCAAAGGCAGCAAAGCCAAGGGTGGGGTGGCAAGAAGGAGATGGTGCTGATGCCGACGAAGCTGATGATGAATGACATATTGTGTAAGAAAAAGTGTAAATAAAATGGTCATGAGAAGAGCCCAGGATATTGGAAACTCTGGTTGTTGGAGTGCAACTCAAGATTCATGGGTCAGTCTGTTTGACTTTAGAGAAGATTTTTGGGTTGTTTGTCGTTATAAACCAAAACTCGAATGTCAAATTCTACTGTACATACCCTTAGGACGTTGCATTGTTGACTCTGAAGTCTTAAAATGTTGAGGTATCCTGAGTTGCTGATATCGATCTGATAAATGTTCGAGTACCTAAATAGGGTAGGCATTGAGACCCCTGGCTTCCTGTGGAGTTCAGGGTCCTCACCAAACTGAAGTGAGTTACAATTAACGGACGAACTCTAGACCGAATGCTTATTTCTATCTCAATGGCCTACGCAGTATGAGAGAGAAAAACCCAATCTAACAATAATTAAGAGTAAGCACAAATCAGATGTTTCTGCCAAAGGATTCAATTCTCAGGTATACTTTCCCCTATAGGTTTAGCTTCATCTCATCACTAACAAAAACTCTCGGTCTTTTGGTTCGGTCTTTTGCATCCCCACCGTATTGTTCATGTCTCTGAGACGCACCAAGATACGTGCAACTTCCTTTTCTCTCATAGTTAGAGTGTGACTGTGTACTACTATTCCAATTCGCCGTTTTTCTCGCTGATTTCAATTTGTGTTACTTGCCGTTTTCTCGGGGTTTCAAGAATGTCTCGAAACTCACCCCCAATCATATCGACTCCGAGCTTCTTTCTTAATGATCCGCTTGATGTAAGTCAGGACACCATAATAGAAGAAGGGACGTTAGCACTGGCAGACGGTTCTCTTAATTTTTTGGCCGGTACTTCAGCTGCCGGGGTTGCGATGGCCGTGTCTTCGGCCGCCATGGCGGAGAAGAAGAGGCGTCGGCCGGCCCTCGCATGTGAGCAATGCCGGCGCCGAAAGATTCGATGCAACAGAAACTTGCCCTGTTCGAATTGCTTCAAATCAAATATATCGCCTTGTACTTATGCCCCTACACATGTTCCAGCCTCACGGAGCAAGAAAGGTGCTGCGGATTCATCTTCACATGTACCGGGGAGATCAGCCCCTGTCGTTGATTCGAACCAAAGACAGTCCCCGTCAGATTCTTCTGCAAAAAGACACTCTTCTAGCGTTCCAAGCTCGACGATAGGTTCAAACTCGGACACATCGACTGTCGATGCGTTGGCTGCCAGGGTCAAGGAGCTTGAGCAGAAGCTTGCCGAGTCCTGTCACATCACCCAACCAGGAGAAGATGTATTTATTCAACCCGATGACCAGGAGGAGGAGCCGGCTCCAATGAAGGGTACTGTTTCCAAGACGCGATTTTTCGGCCAGAGCCACTGGATGAATGGTGTTGTCATGGTTTGTTGCCCGCTTTACATCCTGAACTTCTTTTCTAACGTGAATATACAGTTTCCCAATGTTTTCGACGTGCTCAAGTTGCCAAATGAACGAAACAAAGAACCTCACATGATATTTTCCAAGTGCAAAACCTTAGGTCGTACCATTAAATCACATCGCCTCAAACCTATCTCAACAGATAAGCTAGGACAAGCCATTCCTGAGCGTGGCCTTACAGACCAACTTGTTAACGCCTACTTCGCCACATTCGAAGGTGTCTTCCGTATCCTACACGGCCCTACATTTTGGGTAGAGTATGAGCGCTACTGGCAGAATCCTGAAGCTGCTAGTCAAGTGTTTGTCATGCAGATGCAGACATGCATGGCGCTCGGAGCAACAATCCATGATGATGTCTTCAGCTTGCGGCCTACTGCTATGCAATGGATCCACGAGGTCCAGATCTGGCTCACATTACCGCCAGAAAAGAGCAGGATGACGATTGCTGGTATTCAGATTATGTGTATGCTGAATCTGGCAAAGGCTTGTTGCGGAGTGGGCCAAGAACTTACCTGGATCGCTGCAGGCTCTCTAGTTAGGCAGGCCATGTATATGGGTCTACACCGGGATCCTAAACATCTTGCCAACATGTCTGTATACCGCTCTGAGATCCGTCGACGTCTGTGGGCAACTATCCTCGAACTCAACCTGCAAACTTCCTACGACTCTGGAGGCTCGCCGTTGATCTCCTCGAAGCACTACGACACACGGCCCCCAGCTAACCTCAACGACTCTGAGCTCTCTGATGAACCGGATGCCGAAAGACAACCAAGTGGTGACCCTGAGGCTTTAACTGACATGTCAGTTCAGCTTGCCCTTCAGAAGTCCTACGCACTTCGCTTGGTGATTATCAAGCACGTCAATGAATTTCGATCCAAGGAGTCCTACACCGAAACACTGCGTCTAAACTCCGAACTCACAAAGACATGCCGCACTCTTACTGAGGCGCTTGCTGCTCTATCGCAAGCTCAAAGACACCAGCCTCGCATTATCTTCACACAATTCCATAGTGCCCTGGTCCAAATGTTTACATATCGCTGCTTTCTGTCTCTTCATCAACCCATGGTAGCTCGCTCCAACGACGACCCAACGTATTACTACTCTCGCAAAGTATCACTTGACTCTTCGCTCAAGCTCGCACAGCTATGCACCCTTTCAATACCACGCTATGGAAATTATCCCACTGGCGGTTCGAATGACCCTGCGACAAGTCTCAACCGTCTCATCACAAACGGCACAGGGATTTTCCGTGTGTTGCCGATCCAAACACTCTTTTCTGTGTCACTCGAGTTCATCAAGAAGTGCGAAGAACAACGAGACAGTCTTGGCGGCCTTCCAGCTATGGGCTACGGGGAGCTTCGCTCTGTTCTCAACGCCGCTCTAGTATGGTATGAACGAAGAATACTCGCGGGAGAAACAAATATCAAGGGATATTGCTTCGTTGGTGCCGCCATAGCGCTTGCCGATGCTATGGAGCTGGGTTTGTCACAGGAAGACACCGATCAGACTGTAATCGATACTGGGGCACGTTTAGGCAACAAAAGTTACGAGCTATTGAAACAGGTTGCCGAACGTGACGGCATACCAGTTGTGGACCTTGAAGACGAGGAGGCGATACAGTTTGATGTGCCGCTTCTTGACGGTGATGCTATGCAGGACATCATGGATATTCCGCTGGACTGGATGGTGATGGGTGATTTGGGTTTAGATGGAATGGGAGGATTCAATTGGGCTAGAGGTAACATGCCCCAAGAGTTTGAATCCGTTGACCCATCAGTCGTGTCACAAACACAATTCTAGGGGGTATCACGAAGCACTGGTAATGAGTATGATGAAAGACGAATCCCACCTCATGGAATAATACGCAAATATTAGGCAGTTATCTTTATGTAGCATATGTATGTATACTTGAATCAGATTCAAGCTGAGACATGCCAATTCACGTCGTCTTGTTTAACGTCACGACTGATTTTCTTGATATCCCGAGGTACGATCTTGCTGATAAAGAACTCATACCTTGTGTTTGGCCTCAGTGTATGTTCAGACCGAGCCAATGTGAGGCTGTCAACTGAAACAGACCTGCTCGTTGCTAAGCAGTCTGTTCGAGCCAAAGGGTATCTATCTGTACGCACGAATATCAAGACTTATAGATAGGACCAAAAAACACAGAGAGGAGCGAATATATAATGAGGGGATATGCAATAGATTCTTTGTCCAAAACACCCCCCAAGTTCGAAAGGATATAACATTATTAATCAATGGTCATTGTACATGGGCTTTTCCGCCTCGTAAATCTTCCGCACTTGCTGCAACGTGACCGAGTGATGGGAGCTCTATGAACTGCTCGTCGCCTCGGCCTCTACCCAGGATCACTCTCGTAGGCATCCCTACGGACTCCCGAGTAGACTCCTTGCCGCATCTCTTCTGTCCTTCAGAGATCATCCCCACCTATTCTATAAAAATCATTTCCTCGCTCGACTGGCCTTTGGGCTCTCGGTAAGTTTCTGAATTTAGAGGTAAATAATTATTCAGCCCCCAATTTACAGAAGGAGCTCGAGAGGGTTCTCGATAACCTTCTTGAGCTCCTTCATCCACTCAGCACCGACGGCACCGTCAACGACCTTGTGGTCGAAGCTGGCAGTGAGGGTGATCTGGTCGTCGAACTCAACGCCGGCCTCGTTGTCGGAGGGGATGGCAACCTTTTTGGTGGTACCAACAGCGAGAATGGCAGCCTGAGGAGGGTTGATGACAGCAGTGAAGTGGTCAACAGCAGGGTTCATGCCCATGTTGGAGATAGAGATGGTACCGCCCTGGTACTCCTCGGGCTTGAGCTTGCCATCGCGAGCCTTCTTGGCAAGAGACTTGACCTGAGAAGAGATAGCCTCCAGACCACGGCCCTCGACACCAGTGACGATAGGGGTGATAAGACCAGTAGGAGTGGAAACGGCGACGGAAACGTCAACGTTGTTGAACTGGCGGATGTGGCCTTCGCGCCAGCTGGAGTTGACCTGGGGAACCTTTCGGCTGGCAACGGCGATGGCCTTGATCAGGAAGTCGTTGACGGAGAGCTTGTACTTGCCGTCCGCAGAGGCGTTGAGAGCCTGGCGGAGCTTAAGAAGCTTGCTGACGGAGAGAGAGCTGGTGACAAAGAAGTGAGGGTTAGTCTGGGTGGACTCGACCAGACGGTTGGCAATGGTCTTGCGCATGCCGCTGATGGGAATGTCCTCGTAGGAAGCAGCGCCGGAGGCGCTGGCGACGGGGGCACTGCTAGCCTTCTTAACATCGGCCTCAGTGATCTGTCCGTTCTTGCCGGTACCCTTGATGCCATCGATGTTGATACCCTTCTCGCGGGCAAGTCGCTTGGCGGAGGCGGCAATGTTGGGCTGACGGTCGAGAGCAGTCTGGAGACGGCCCTGAGACTCGTACTGCTGGGGCTCGGAAGAAGGCTCGGGGGTGGAAGCGGACTCAGACTTGGGCTCGGACTTCTCCTCCTTGGAGGCAGCGGGCTTAGCGGCATCACCACCGGCGTCCTCAACGGAGAACTTCTCGAAAGCGGCGACATCGGTACCCTCCTCAACGAGAACGGCAATGGGCTGTGAAAACCGAAGTTAGTAACATTGTACATTGACGTCAAACAGTATTGGCTGTAGGAGCAAGATATCCCGAGACCCGAGTGGTTGCCTGAGTGGATTCAAAAAATTCAACGACTTACGCTGCCAACAGGAATATCCTTCTCGCCAGCATCCTTCAGGATCTTGGCAATAACACCCTCCTCCTGGAACTCGAAGTCCATCTGAGCCTTATCGGTCTCGATCTCGACAAGGACGTCACCGGGGGCGATGGAGTCACCGATCTTCTTCTGCCAGACGCCAATGTTGCCAGCCTGCATAGTGGGAGACAGAGCAGGCATCTTGATGACCTGGTGCTCAGGGAAAGAGGCATAGTGTCGCACAACGTGGGCAGCGAAGCCGGTTCGCAGAGCGCTGTGTGTAGGGGTGAGAACACGCCTTCGGAGAGCGGCGCTGAGCATTGTGGAAGATATTAAGGTCCTTCTGATCGATAGATATGTTAGTCGGTGTTGCATGGGGGCAGCGCGAATATGAATTGAGCCACTTTTTGGGGTATTTGGGGGGTTGTTGGAAAAAGCACTCACCGGCCGGATTGGCAATTGAAAGAAGAATTATTCAGATACGTGACGTGAGATCACGGAAAAGAGATCGAGAGCGGAGGTAAGAGGTCAAGGACGGAGAGTGATGCAGCTCTGTCGTGAGAAGGAGAGGGAGAGAAAGAGTCGGGATCGGAGGAAATTCTTGGGGTTGGACAGACGTGGAGTTTTTTGCATGTTGAGCTCCGACGACTGAGGTACTTTGAAGCTTTGGCGTGGACTAAGCCTCTTTGGGATCCAAAGTGACTGCAGGGGCCTTGGAAAGTGCCCGGCATTGGTGGTTCTGAGAGGCAGAATTGACCGTTGAGAGGGCAACTTTTGGGCAGCTTTCAGGGCATTGGCGCCGTTTATCGAGGCATTTAGGGGACGACAGGCGCTATAAGGCACACAACTAAGAAATGACCCGCCAAAGAACTGGGAGCTCAGAGGGAAAAAAGGGACGTGGACGCCATCATGGTACCTCGACTTCGGGGGATCATTGCGCGATATGAGCGAAGTCCGGTCAGAAAGGATATGCATGTACAACTCTATCATGTTTGTATACTAAAATTGAGATATTCTTCACCAATCTTCCTTCCATCGTACGGCTATAGCCCCCAAGCCTGGAGCGATAAGCATTCATCTTCAAAAACCTGCTGATATTTGTGTTGAGACAATTTTCAAGTCCCCTAAAGTACCTCCATCTTATCTCCATTGCGCCTCCGAATTGCTAAATTTTCGCTGGGTAAATTATCCCGACTTCGGGATAGATCGGCCCGGATGGTGGGGGCTATTTTGATTGGTCCAATATGACTAACCAAGATCTACGGAAATAACGACGATGGTCAATTCCCAAATGCTCGTTTTCGCTAGCTCAACATCAAGACGAAGAGTGTGGCGACTGGAATATATATACCTATTGACGTGATTCGAAAATCGGATATCTAAATTATTCATCATTACATACATCTAATTATCAAAGAAATTTTGTACTCCTCCGTTTCCCTTATATATCATTAAAATGCAATATCAATTTCCTCCAGCCCACCACACTTTGACCAACTCTTTTGGCCCACTCAGTGCTGATGAGATAGATCTCTTATGCTTCGGCTCTTTGTTCCCCTGAGAGCCTTTTGAACTCTTGGAACTCTTGGACTTGGAATTACTGGTGTGTCCTTTGGCGAGCATCACAGATTTTCTTTGGGTACTGTCAGCCCCTAACATTGCTGTCCCTTGACGAACCATCCCGACTTTCTCCTTGACTGGCTTCGGTGGTGGCTTGGGAGGAGGGATTGGTCTCATCTCCACTTCCTCTGGTATCGAATCTTTTGGGATAAATGCACGAATACCGAAGTTACCCTCGTCCTTCTTTCGTCGTCCATCGCGCCCCCTGTTCCGTCCTCTGCGATCCCATCCCATTTCAAATTGCTGTGGCGTGTCTCCTTCGGTAAAAATAGCTTCGAGCTCACTGTCTGGCTGCCACTGCGCGGCACGAGGTAGTGATCTGAAAAGGTTGCCGTCAACAAGAAGGGCTGTTATAGAAGCGATGGTCGTTGGTGCGCGAGGAAGTCTGATTCTTCGCCAACAAATCCACGAGGTAATGTGAAGAAGCATCAATGCTCCCACAAGAGATTGCAAAACTCGTGTAGCAATCTCATCCTGGTGAAGCCTGACCTTCCCTGCCATTTTACTACCACTGATGATTGGGACGGCTTGAGAGACTGACTCATCAGGATCGATACCACTGACAATGGTAGTGCCATTTGCTATTGGAAATGTTCCCCTCGACGATAAATGACGCCGACTCTTGGAGTTTAACGACTGAGCCCTGATGATTCCATGCTGAGACAAAATTGCTGACTGAGTTCTGTTTGTAGCATCGGCGGATGAGCTGCCGAATGTCGAATCAGGGACAGCAAACTGAGAGGAGTTCAGCATTGCAAAGAATGAGTCGAGGAGACCATCTGAAGAAACATTGACAAGCGTAGAATAGTCTAGTTCCGGTATAGCGACGCTCGTATCCTGGGCTGTGTGTTCGATGGGCGCAGGAGGATGATCTGGGTAAAGATGAAGTTCAGGGCCATAAAAGACAGCTCTGACATCAACTGCCTCGATCGTCTCGTTGCAAGCGAGGGCATTGATTTCACCCACTGACATATCGCTATTCCCCAGATTATCCAACTCACCCCAGATGTAGATCCAGTCGGAGCATTGCGATGACGACCTTGTCTTTCCCTGCCCAACGCCAAATACTGTGCTCCCGCTCAAGTCCTCGGTACGTTGATTACTGGAGGGGCTCCTCGTCGTTCCAATGATAGCATTGTTACTGCCCTGTCGCCCAACTCCACGGCAAGTTTCACCTTCGAGATCCACGCGCAGTGGGTTGACAGTTCCGTCATCGAGTTCGACTTCGAGGGTAAGATTTGTAGATATCTCGTCCGATTTGTATAATCGACACGACATTCTTGGTCGAATTGCTGTTAACCGTGCACTGACAACAATATCGTCGCTCTCAGTGTCTTCTACCAGGGATACGGTCGGTAGGTTGAGATCGGCAAAGGTGAATGGGGGATAAGGGGCATTGCCAGCAAGTACTAGCGATGCCAGGATGGTGTCGTTGGTACAGTCGATACATATGGAATCATCGGGGGAAGATAGCAGGCTGTTGGCGAAGAAATCCTCGGTGCGTAGCGGAAGACTACTGTCAAACTCAATTGGCCTGGGGTCAAACAGAGGAGCAGATGCAATCACGATAAGTAGCGCCACGAAACCACCAGTAATCGCAGTCAGGGCAGCGATGTCCCAGATCTTGAGAGCTCGTCTCCACGCTACATGCCTCAAAGCATTGGCCAAATTTAGGCCCACGGTTTCATCAAAGTCTCCTCGACGTGCGAGATGTGAGAATGGAGAAAGCAGTCTCGTCCACCACTCCAAGGAGAGCATGTACATAGCCACCAGTAACAGTACTGAGGCCGGTACGATGGTCCATGCTAGATATGCCGCATCGTCATCCATCGTTCTTAGTCCTTCGTTACGATGCGACAAACGAAGCGAAATCTCAAACCCTATGATAATGCATGCCAGCACAAGGATGTATATCAGTCGAATCAGACCGTGTAAAGTAGCAGGCTGTCTCCATGTTGAGGAATTGTATCTTTGTGGTTGGCACGTTGCAGAAGGCGCTTTACCGCCGAAGATGTGAAAATAGCCCAGGTTGGGGCTGTCCAGTTTTTCGTGGCCTTCAGCTCCGCTCATGTAAGTCGAACCCTCGAGTCTTGATCCGAGGACTTTGTTTGGTGCAGGTCCCATGCCTTTAAGAGACTCAACGAGTGGGTGACTGTGTGCTACTACCGAGGCCATGCCAACGATAGTGCTGGGGTCTCGTGGAAGAAACCCTTTCTTTGGAACCAGCCACATTGTTGCTAGAGCCAGAAACAAGCAAAGTACCAACAATGCTGTTATGAGATATGCGGGAGCAGGCCGTACAACAAGACGTCGTCCAATGAAGCGGGCAACAGCGGTCGTTGAGCTGGTAGACGGCTCCATCATTGCGTATCGAGCGATAAGAGCCGAGTATTGCGCGTAGAAGTTCTCAGAAAGAAGGCTCAAGATGTCCTTGTCTGTTAGCGATTCCACCTTGGGAAGATCCCATCCTTCTCTTGAGCCTAGCAGAAGCGCAGCAGACATGGCTTCGTCAATATGGATAATAGCATCACCATCGTATGACGAGTTCACGGAAGTAGACAGAAGCTGCTTTTCGTTGGTTTCGAGAGATTTGAACAGTGCGCGGGCAACTGTCCAAGGATGAACCTGGTCCAAAGTTGTATTCTCAGCTTGAGCGTTGGGCGTGGCCGAAAGAACTGTCTCAAAAGTCTTGGAAACTCTCATCGTGGTGATGTTGTATTTTGGCTTGCAAAGGAACCCAGATGATGATGATAATGTTCCATTGAGTCGTCCGTTTGAAGTCTTCGATTGCTTCGTGAGTTGATCGATGTCAAAGTCTAGAATACCAGACATGACAGCTATTCTCTGTTCGTCGTCTTTCGTCGAGCCACCACAGCTGGCAGGTTGAAATGTTAAAAACGCTCTCGACAAGTCTCTGTCTTTGGTACTCGCAAGTTTCGTGCTTGTGAGAGCTTGTTCCGAGGAACATCCTGTTTCCGATACTGTCACATTCAATGCAAGAGAACCTCCCTCGACAAGTATCATAGAGTCTAAAGTCAGTTCCGCCTCTTTGCATTCCATGCCACCAATAAATCCATCCACATCCGCCGTGATCGCTATTAGTTCAGTAACATCGCTAAAAAAAGGTGTATATGCTGCTCGGGGAGTGACCCCGTTGGGAAATGTAATATTGTCGGCCGCCAAGGCAGCAAGAGTAAAATATGGTAACGAGCCAATGTTTTCCAGACCCGAAACACTGTTAGGAAACTCATTCTGGACTGTGATAGCAGACTCATAACGAGCAACAGTGATAACCCTGGGTGTGACAAAGGCCGTGGAGAATATAATGATTAGTTTAAATATTATTCCGGCCAAAACCGGAGTTGCAACAAGCCAATCCCTATTTCGGACTGCCTTGATAATAGCCATGGGCCCAGAAAGGGAAGCGTAATCCAGTAAAAGAGACTTGTCGGCATCGGTTTGATTGTTCAGCATAAGGATCCACGGCATGGAAGTCGAGGCCTGAAACTCGACTCTGTTCCAGAATGCAGCCACAACGATGAATACCAGGGTTGTCCCATATTGCCACAGATATCTTGACGCATCATCGGCTTCTCGGAGGCCGTCGTTGCGCTCGGATAGTTGAAGTGCGATTTGCACTCCCGCAATAAGAGCTGCGATGGCGATAGCATAAAGAACCAGAATTCGTCGATGGAGAAAGACGGGTCGCCATGGTAGTTCGACTTCGGTAGGTTCGGCTGGAGTCCCGGCTCGAGGTGAAGGAGGCAACGATAGACTGTTTGTCGACTTGATGCTTCCAAGAAAAGGCCATCGTATTCCCTTAGTGGTGGATTGCGTACTTCGATTGCTTGGATCACACGGGGCCGCTGAATTAGCTAACCTTTCTGAGTCAAAAAATGAAGCAAGGTTCCCGTGCTGAGGCTTTGTGTTTGCGCTGAGACCAGAGAGACCGGATCCGTGCCGGCTCGATGGTCCTGGCTCAGAATTACCCTCGACCCCATGAACTGCGCGAACATGTCGATGATAGGAATCGTAGGATTGATGACTTCTCGGGGGACCAATATTCGAGCTCGGTCTCGTTTCAGAGTCCATTGTTGCTAGATTTCGTGTATTCATCTAGAGTAGGTGTCCAATGTATGTTGCGCATCGTCGGTTTGTCCTGTTCGAGCATGATACTGAGAAACAATCGCTATCGTGGAGTAGATAATCCCACGTCTTTACATAGCCATGTTGCAAAGAGTCGTAATAGAAAGAATATGTCAACGAGGTTCTCGTGGGAAGGGGAATGAAGCTGGACAGTCTGATGATGATGAGTGACGTGTAGTCTGAAAGAACGGACTCAGCCAAAGCCAGGGCTGGAAGATAATTGGAAGAAAGGATTAACGAAAGACGTAAGTAGAGAAGAAGTAAAAGTGAAGGGAAAAAATGGTAACAATATTTAGTGTGTGAAGAGTAGAGTAAGGGAAAGGACAAGTCAGATTGGCTAGCATATTGATATCAAGGACTTTCCTTGCGCATAAGTCGAGTGGCCAAACCATCTATAGTATGAAATCTATCATCCCGCAGTTCTGAGCTTACAAAACATAGCACCCAGAACCCTTGGAAGCCATGACCTAATTGCACGAGGAAACGAGTTACCTTAGCAGTTGCATGCAATAGTGAAGCACTGGGCTGCAGTTCCCCGTCCCATGTCTTGGACGGAGGAGCCTCAAAATGACATGGCTTCAGGGGATGTAAGCCCACAAGGGGATGGATAGGCCGAGTCTAGGTGAAACATGGCATAGCAGGGGTGGTATTGGGCTTTGCTCTTCCATAGCACCTAGGATCCCAAGCATCTGGGCTGGGCTAGGCTGGGCTGGACAAGGCAGCACAGGCACAACAGGGCGACAAGTTTCAATTATTGGTCAGGATACTCGATAGTACTGCAACCCTCCCAGCGACTCTCCGTCTTCTCTCACCTGAGGCTTGCTGCTGCGGGAGCTGTTTAGAAATTAGGGCGCACTGTAAGTGGTGTTGCGATATCTTAACAGCTTTTTTTTATGGTCATGACAAGATACCATATTGGCGGAGAAATACTGACAGTTGTTTATTGTGGAAACCCGTTGTTTAGTTCAGGAAGAATTGCCCAAAAAGACTTTTTTATTCCCCGGCCGGATGGGACAAGAAGACGAGGGTTGCGTGCATAAAGTAGGGGTACCCCTGGTTGGAATAGCATCACTGCTATGCGAGATTATGCCCAATCTTGGCAATCTTGGAAACAAATTATGCTACTGCGATCTTTTGCCATGCATTGTAAAGTGATTCTGGGTTCAGATCCTTCACCAAAGTTCAAATATATTGATGTAATGCCTCGGAGATCAAAGCGTAATCGTCCGGTCAAATCATCTAAGCGAGCTGCCATCTCAAGCGTAAGCACGGTTTCGAATGTCACTAGTGTCGTCTGATATTGTCAGAGACTGGGTGCAATAGTTAAGAATGACATACTACCCAGTAACAGATCTGAAGATCAAGAAATTGATCAGCAACTTGGCCTGATGCTGATCTGTTGACACTGAACTGGCAGATCAATTAAATAGACGTTGGCTCTCTACTAAAAGCAATGACTGTCCTCTCTTAACTTCTGTATAATCTTACAGCGTCTGTGCTTTTGACACAAACAAACAATCTTCAGCCCAACGGCGCCCCACGTAATGCTAGACATGCATCGTAAAGTAGCCAACGGCCTGTTTCCCGCTTCTCAGGGTTATGAACCAGTATCGTACTCAAATTACACCCATCTCCTGCAATTTCATCGCTCGCAATGGGTTGTTGCAGCTCCAAGAGTGCCCTGTCAGCCAACAATTCACATGGGGCCTCCATCGCCGCAGTCGAGTTATCCAGTGCTCTTGGCGACACCTTTAGCGAGATAAACCTCCAGGGTGAATTAAACATCTCCGATAAACCAGTGAAAAAGTCAACGAACTGACTTTGGCCACTTACAGGTAACGTGAATGAGCAACTTCGGGAACTTCTGCAGCGGCTAAACCATGAAGCTTCAAAGTATGTCAATTCCAAGGTTGACGAGGACAAATCACCAAAATGGGATCCGTAAGCATTGCAAGTTACCTTCGACTTACTAGCTCTGACTTTCATATATATAGCCCCCAAGCTGAGGTTCAGTTAGTATCCGCAGCATGGAAGTGTGCTCGCGGAACCTACAATCTCGAAGGAACCATAACAAACACCAGTTACTGCACCTTTCGCCGTGAAAAGGCACTGCGGGAATCCTTCGCCGGTACTGTTAAAGTTATCACGTCAACTGTCGCCGAAACAACCTCAGATGATGTAGGGAAAAGCGACCTGTTGCCAGTCCTGATACTTGCGATACGTGGGAGTGCAAGCAAGATGGACCATATCGTCAATGCCAATTCTCGACCACAACCTACCAGAGGGTTCATTGTAAGTGTATATTACATATTCTGTTCATGTAGCAGCCCGGTGATACTGAGTTCTCGGTGCGAGTCTACTCGCAAGTCGCATTTCACTAACAATTGTAGCAATACACTGAGGATCTAGGAGCTCACTCTGGTTTTCTAAACAGTGCACAAGCCCTTGATTCAATAGTAACAACCTTGGTCAATGATTATATACAAGATTTCAATAGATCCAAGGGTCAGAAACCACATGTTCTATTTACTGGCCATTCTGCAGGTGGAGCTGTATCGCAGCTACTTTATCTTCAGTACATATCTAACCAAGCCTTCAGTAAGTCATCAAATGATATGACATGCAGGAATCGCAACTGATATAAAACTCAGATGAATCTGCAAGGTTTTCATGTGTCACTTTTGGTGCACCCCCATGTGTGACAACACCCATTGATCTGTCCTTCTACCAACCGGACTGGAGATCACTCTGCCTCAACATCATCAACGAGTTCGACGTCGTCACCAGAGCCGACAAGCCTTACATCCTGTCGTTGGTCGAAGTTGCAAGAACTATGCTCAATCAGCCATCGAAAGCACTATTACCTGAACCTGAAACAAACAATGAGATAATTGATGCCTCCCTGAAAGCCACTCAAGACAAGGAAGCCAAAATCTCCTCTCCAAAGAACGAAGAATCATATGATGAAAGCAAAAAGATCTGGCACTTCTCTCAACCTCTCTACAATCATATTGGGTCTAGTGTTGTTCTCTTGTTGCCATCAGAAGATGAGATGAAACTCAAAGCGGTTGAAGTCACGCCCGCAGAGTTTCAGAAATTGCTGTTTTGCCGAGTAGCCGTTCATGGCAAGAGAATCTACGAGAAGAGAGTTGAATTGTTGGAAAAAGGACGTTTCAATGATCGGTCAGGCTGGTAGCAAGACGATGAAGATTTCTGATTTGATAGGCTCTTTCTTTCAGTAAGCTTTACAACTTCTAAACATTCCTCAAGAACCATGCATGCTGACTACTTTTCTACACGAATAGGTAATTTAATATGGTTTCTCCGCCTTGCAGATTCCACTGCGCGGTGATACTCAATATCTGCCATTACTTTATCAGCGAGGTCTTTAGCGAATGTAGAGGATCGCTGTTCTTCGAGGTATCCATCTCTGTCGGAATCATCCACGGCCGACGTGATGGCCTGGCATTCCCAACACAAGCAAACATGGTACTCCAATCCAAAACGGGTACGATAAAGAGCCTGCGTCTCATCACTGCCGACATCCAGCTGGTATCTCCCAATCTTGTCATCATGGTTGATGAAACGACCACACCGCGCCTTCATGGAAGTCTCGTACGCTGCAGGCGAAAGCTGACTTGTGTGCCAAACAAGGTCGATATCTAGCGTGGGTACCAGCATCTTGCCTGGATAGAGCCTAAAAAGCTCGAGATAGTTCTCGTAGCGCTCGACTGCTCTTTGGAGAGTTCCTTGCAAGGCTGGACTTCGAATCCAGAGATGTGCGTTCATCTTCTTGACAAAGGCGCGCTGACGCTCGACATTGTTCATAAGATCAATGATAATGTCAGGGCGAAAGTCATCGTCGACGTCTAGGTCTTCTGTATTGCCTTCCTTTATAATGGAATGAAGTAAATTACCTGAGAACACAGACTCTCCTTTTGGGACTTGCCAGGTATCTGAGTCGTATTTCCAAGTATCGCGGATGGGGCCGTGAGAACAGATGGACTTGTGCTGTAGGACTGTTAGTAATTTAGTCTATGCATAAGATATTTTTGATAACTTTCAATCAGAGTCCATGGGAAGTTCACCCTTGGGAGGTACTCTAAGGAATTTGTTTGACAGTACTCTAGAAAGTCACTAGGGTTGAGTAAGAAGGCATGCCAGACCATGAGTACATCTATAGAACGAGTCAGTTTACGACAGAGGGGGTCGAGAGGGTATACGAACCAACGGGAGGTAAATACAAAAATTCAGTCATTGATACTCGGCCATTGCCGTCATCTATCCAACTATTCTTCTCTCCAGAGGCAAGTGAAGCATTATAGTCATTGGCCCATACCATGAATCTTCGCACTGCTTCACCAAGGTAAAACGTCCACTTCTTGTCCTGGCTGTTTTCCCATTGCAGATCTCGCAATGTAGTCTCTTGGTTCACCCACTTATTTAGGCCCTTAACGAACTTGCGGCGGTAAACCTTTTTAGTAGGACCGCCCAAGTCGAAGGCTTGATCGAGGGCTTTGGAATCCAAGACCTTGATGCGCAGTGCGTGAAAGACTTCGAGCAATTCTAGATGAACTGCGCATTGGGATGGAGTGGGTAGATTATCCTGATGCAAGTTGTTCAGGTGATCGAAAGTGCTTGGACTGGGAATTATAGGGTTTTCATCGATTGTCGCCGCTGAAGGATAGTATGCGGAGTCTACCTTTCTTTTAAATTCACGACTTGTTCGGTGAAGAGCGCCCAGATTGTATCCGATCAGATGGGACATGTTGGTGTAAGTAGTGGGTGTACGAGGTTGAATGATAGAAGTGAGGACAACGCAATCTCGTTCTATTAAGGTAGCGCTGAATAAACATGTGAGAAGATTACAGAAGCTGATGCCTTCGGCGCTGTATAAGGAGTTTTATCATTAAGAACGACGAATAATTCAGAATCAGGTGAGGTAAAGCACAGGCTGTGTGATGAAGTTGATGTTGTATCTCGGCCAAGATGCTGGTACTTGGACGGCTAACAGATTTGTATGAAAACATATGTACTTTTTACCCACAGCTACACACTTCAAAAGTCCCATCTCGCCCTGGCAAAGAAAGAATTATCTACAGGCAACAACAAACCCATGTCTTTACGGATACTACGCCTAAGTCTGCCTTGAACGCGGAAATGACTTCTATCAATGCGGAATTTAAGGCTGGTCATTTGAACTTCAGCTGCCAATCTTGCCGTTTTGGGGCACGAGAGACTTTAGCCGGGCGAGCTGAACACACTAAACAGGGTCCTTGCTGGGGCGGAGTATCAGGCGATGGCACTGTAGCTGGGCACTTTGTGTGAGATGAGGCCTTTGGCGATGGCCTCGGTATAAGAACAACTAGAGTAGCAATGGATGCCTAGTTTATGAGATAAATTTGAAACACTCAGTATGTGAACGAGAGTCGTTTCCCGTCTCTTCATCATCAAACCCGAGTCATCTCATCTTAACACCGATCAACTCAATTGCAATGTCGCGACTAAGGAGCAAAGTCTTGCCCATTCTCGCAGTACCTTCTCTCCATCCATCACACATCACGTCTTCACCTGACATACCATGGACACGAGTCGGCTCTGGAAAAGATCATCTTCTCTCAGAGCTTGAGCGTTTGTACTGGGATGGTGTCAAAGCCGAACTCGAAAATATTGTCCGCACTCTCAAAGTCTGGCATCAGCCAGAACACGCCCAAGTTGATATCCAAGATGAGAATGACAATCACATCCATGGCTTCGATACCTTTCTCGACCAAGTTTCACAAGAAGCTCGAGCACATGCCATTCGATATGGTCAGTATCAAATTTATCATCATTGTATATTTACTGACATACGCAAAGGGAAAATGAGAGAAAAGCAAATTAATAGAAATCAGTGGTTCTCCAGCGGCGGATCCCTTATTAGCTCCGAATCTGTTAGACATGTTCTCACAGATAACGTGGCAGACCGCATAGCACAACAAGTCAGTGATGGTATCAAAAGAGACGTGAGACGGGAGATTGAAGGTACGTCCTTTAATTCATTGGAACTATATGATACTGACAATGACTGTCTAGCTGTCACAAAACCCAATGGGATAGAGAAACGAACATGGATGCTACTTCAAGCTGCTGGTATACATCTCTTCTTCATCTTTCATACAGCACAGCTAACAGTTTTAAACAGGGCTTCTTGATATAGAGAAATTAATCGAACATCGCCCACCTCCTGAAAGACTTGGGTTTTCGAAGAGGCCAGCCATTCCTCAACGTAGGTCTCAACTCATGCAGTACACGATACCCGCTCCCTGCTAACATCGATGCAGTTACACTCTCAAGTAGCGAGAGCGATGGAACGCCCAACTTTGAGCCACTTCGTTGTATGCGAAAGCAATGCAACAAAGTTGTCAGAGGAAGTATGTTTATCCATGACAAACTTGACTCTGACCCCGGCATTATATGCGAAGAATGCTATCAAACCCATTACTACAGTAGAGAAGAATACGCCAAGGCCTACAAACACTGTATACTCACTGAAACCATCACTGCCGAGATGAGCAGAAAAATCTGCAGCTGTCTCGGACTGCGTCAAGATGACACCGAGGGTGAACCTGAGAGTCTATTTCCTATTGACGACCCAAATCAACATAAGGATACTGGCATTGGGGGAGGAGAAACATGCAAGCTGCTCCAGCTTGGCAACACTATTGCTCTTGCAAAGTATCATGGACTTCTGGATAGTGTAGGAGCCAAGCCGCGAACTATAAGAGACACTGAAAAGGCTGCGATAAAGGCACAAGGTTATGGAAAAAAAGACATCGTCATCTGGCCTCGACATTCCGCGGAAAAGACAAAGCCAGGTGATAGTGATTTTGAGGAAGAGGAAGAACTGAGACAAAAACCTGAAGCTCAAGGTAGCAGTCGGCGTCTCAAAGCTTTCAAGACTGTACAGCAGATAGGTTCGCATGGGAATGGTGTCAGCGTGGCTGAAGAAGCCGCTGCAGATAAAGATATACCACTGTTCTTCAGAGGATATACAGAAAAGCATCCTTATGGGAATGTTCATATGGCTCTTAGAGTTGGTCCTATCGTCATCGAGAATGGAGTTTCACGGTAAGTAATCACCCAGAATGGCCGTCCTTATGAGAGCAATAACTCACACGCTATTCACAGTACCAAAGGTGGGGCTCTCGTCTCGTTGAGAGATATGCCCGTCTTCCAAGAGTGCTTTCATCTTCAGACATTGCCTGAGCGAGAGTTGGCGATCGGTAGTGGTTCCGATCGTCTTCTTTGGCAGCGCAAGAGACAGTCTACAGGCCGCAAGAGATACAAGGCTGTCATGAAACAAGTTGTCGGCGTGCCTTTCAGTGGAATTGATACTCTTCCTCACGATCAGGAGCTCTCGGTCGTTCATGACCTTTTGGCTGCTTGCGAGCAACCATTCGACGACCCCAATTTATCTACATTCGACCAGATCAAACTACTAAACTCTGCACTCGAGCCAGCCTTGAAGAAACTCAAGGTTCTTCTTGGCTCTAGGCTAAAAGTCTATCTCGGCAGTATTTCTGAGCATCTGGTAGATGAGAGCGTCAGGTTGGCATGGAGTGCGACAAACAACAACTGCCAAACATTCTGCACTTCTCTCATCGACAAGAGCATATTTGGGCCTCTTGTCAGTGGAGAAGTTCCTGAGTCGTCTAAATATGCGCTTCCTCTCTATACCATGAGCTTTGTGTGTTCAGACGAGGGCTACAAAAAGTCGCGAGGTGTACGAACAAAGTTTGATGTCCCATTCGGACTTACTGAGGAATACCTTCTCCGCTTTCGTTTTGGACGTTATGATGAGGCCGATATCATCGATACTTGCCAAGAGTACTGGTATGACTGGGGTGCTTTTGGCAGTACGCTGTACAAGTATCAGGACTTGTATCCATGGGACTGCACAGAGGCATATGGGAGATATCCAACTAAGTGTGGCGACTGTAACCTTGCCAAGCACATCTGGGCATTCCCATTCGATTCTTGGTCTATGTCCTCTCATCATTTATCACGAGATCGTTACATGTATGCACCAGCACTGACCGATAAGACCTTGACTGCCGTTGGCCAGGATGCTACACCAAGTTCGTGGATGCGCAACAGACTGACTGTTCTGTCAGCAATGTCTACTCTTCACCGAGCTGCCACAGCCATGGCACA